GCATTGTTGAGCTGTGATTTTGCATTGAAGGTCTAATTATTACTTCATGATGATCAGTGTTGTATTGAGTAGGTCCTGGATTCTTCTCAACATCTTTACTTAGTTTGAAATTCACATAATTGGTCATATGATTCACACAATTGCAAGAAAACAATGATAAATATCGACGTGCTTTACATTTTAGTTTCATTATCCTGTGATAATGCCTGCTAAAGAAAGACAACAAATAAGCTTTCTTGGGTATAACCATTTTATTTAAGTTAATTATCTTTGGATCGCGTTTGTTATTACATTTATGTCGCGCATGATAAAGTTTTCTCACCTTACTAACATAGCGATGGAGCTTTGAAGACTTCGGTATGTCAATCATTGAAATCTTTTTGAAGACAAATTTTGATAAGTGTTCGCTTTGATTCTCGATAAATTTCACGATGGAAGGTTCACTCAATTTCTCGATAAGTTTCACGATGGAAGGTTCACTCTTAAGTGATCGCTCGTAAATTTGTCTCTCCAAATATTCACTCTTAAATGTTCGCTCATAAACTAGTGCATCGTAAAGGTTGGGGAACGTGTCGTTCCCCAAAAAGCTATAATCTTTCTCTTGACTGTCCTCCATGCCTCGTTCTTTTCAAAATGGCGGATAAGATTTTAATGAGCCAGCGATATATCTCAGACAGCGATATATCCCTAACAATGTAACGTTGAAAAAACGGACCGTCTGCATTTTAAGACCGGTGCCAGCCTTCGGCTGGGCCCCGGTAATGAGACGGAATAAATTCGTTGGTCGCTCCAAATGATTTGTTGGAAAATCTTGAACCCAAAAGTTCAGCTTAAACACCAGCTGTCCTGTGTCGTTCTGGACCCCTGTAGTCGAGTACTTGTAGCCTATGTAGTGGTACCATTTGTGCTTGCAGTTCTAAGATGTCAAAACGTTCCTGAATTATTCCCTCAAGGGCAATATATGCCAGTTATCATATTGTAAATAGTAACCCAGACTATGAATTTAAAAACATCTGTCGATTCAATTGAAAGCTAACTTGAATGAATTTTTTTTCCTTTCTTAAAAACAATGGTGATAACGCGTTGCCACGCGCTTGTTCACAAGAAGGTCAAAAGCAGCAATTTGTCTGTCGCATAATGACAAAGAGGTGAAAGCGCTTTTGTGTACCAAAAGACTGTTACTACTGGCTTGCCTCAAAGCTGACTGGAAAGCCCAATTGAAGTCAATAAAGTTGTTTCCTTGTTGAAGCACTGCAAGGGTGGGCCGCAGAGAATATAAAGGCGCAAAGAGGGTCATTAGCTAAACATTAGATAAGCCGGAAAGATCATTCTAGAACGAAAGGATCAATAGATAACCTTTACTCTTTCCAAAAAAGATTTCTGAAATGTGTCTGCAATTTTAAGTTTGGTTCGAGTCACGGTGACATCTAGATCTGTTGCTTCGAAACGTCTTCATTTAGGAAATAATTTGGCAAATGTTAAGGAAAAACTGGTTTATTTGTGACTGACGTTTTTCGTACTTGGGTGGGTTTTACTGGCACAATGCATACTAGATATCTCTTTTTCTTCCAATAATCATCAAAATGAATTAATTGACTTGACTGTTGAGCTATCTGTTATTGTGCAGAAGGACAAAACAAAAATCAATGATCCAAGCATGATAGTTAACGTTAACCCTGCACTTTCAATTGTTATCGAGTTTCCCATTACCGGACGTGTTTCGATTGTCTACATACAGCCTCCAATAGTGAGTCATGAGGCTCTATTCTTTAATTTGTAGACAGTCGAGTGCCGTCACATCTATCGCTTCATATTTAATATCCTCATGGGCAAGCGGAGACTACCCAGTTATTTAAATCATTTTAAAATGTATGCTAGCAACAACTTTGATGAATCAGAGTGCGTTAGGTAGCATCTGTAATCTTATAAGTTATGATTTGCTGAAACTATCATTTGTCTTTGTCAGACAAGTAATTGTTTCTTCTCATGTAAGTTAAATTCAAGCTGGCTACTCCTGCCTGGCTGCAATCCCTCTACCGCGCTTTAAGATGTCAACCATGCATTAAAAACTCTACTTGACCCTCATGATTTCATGCTTCATGTTTGCAAGGCTACCAGAGGAACTGAGCCGAACAAAGTTTGGAAAGAGTGAAAATCGTTTTCAATTAAAGAAAAAAAAGGACATCCGGCTCGACCCATGCAATTTAAGCAAGTTTCAATTCTATGCCCGACGTGATACAACGGCTATTTTTGTTAATTTGTAGGTCTATGATATTTTAAAGCTTGATTATGTAATGTTATGCACCTCAACTAGATTTGGGTGTGGTCGTGATTTGAGGTCCTTACAAATGTACGTACTCGTCAGTACATAAGTTTAAAAACAAGTCCTTATAGCTTTTAATTATTAGTTCTCGTCGCCGGGCTTTCATATAAAATCGTCCGAACCTGAAAACGACTTGAAGGTGCTTGGTTCTCACGCTCCATTAGGGTCGTTAGCGTTTCACTGTGATCTAAAATTCTGGAACATGATATTGTCTTTGTCTTAAAACTCAAACTCTCCCGCAAAAATTTCAGTTTCCAGTTACAAGTGATTGATAGCTTTTTGTTTGGGCTTAAGGCAGTAGGATGTTTTCTTTCAGGTCCCTTCAAATTTTGCTTTTCTTTTTCCTTTTTCTGTTTCTCTTTGCACACTATACCTTGTCATACAATTAGTTTTCACCTTTACTGCGTGATATTTGATATAAAAAATGACCTCGGATCTTGTACAGAAGAAGTTGCAGACTTAAAAATATGACTTATAGTTAATTAGAAAGTCTATAACCTTTGGAACAATGGCACTATTACGCAATGCAAAAGTATTTTTTTCCCATGATCGGAATAAAAAGGGCTATTTTGGGATCTACCTTGCACCAAATCACAGCATGTTCAACATTTATAGTCACCTGAGTCAAAAAATAGAAATTTACTCTCAGCGGGGTTCTTTCCATTTTGTAAATGAGCAACCAAGTTAATTGAATTTTCAGTGTAAAATAATAACGACCTAATAATACAATGGACCCATGTCTAAACTGCAAGCAAGATTTTCTTTTATGAATAGAATCGAGGCTCGGCAAGATAGGAGACTGGAGATAGCGAAAGGAAATGGAAACTGGAGAGAGTTTATCCTCGCGATTTTTTTTGTGTTTGTCTCGATGGACGTCCACCCTCGGGCAACCATCCTGAGGGTCTTCGCCTAGTATAAAGCGTGTTATAATGAAAAGCCAAGGCAGAGGAAAAATCTTTCGCCGCTATCAGCGAGGGTACGTCATAATTCTCTTAAGCTCGCTCACACCTGTCACTAGCTACGAGTCACCTAATTATGGGTGCATGCAAGACAACCTTCACACTTGGCGCCCTAGAACAGTGGCCCAGTACGGTAATACCATTTTATGCTGTTTCCCAGTCACTAGTACTGGTGCGCCAGGGAGTTTAAGCAGCGACGTTCTGTCTATCAAGAAGAATTTCCTTAACTATTGCTTGTCCCTCTGTCTTGTGTATCTGTCGTAGTTGTTTTGTAGGTGGCGTGTATTCGTCCGTGTTGTTTTGTTGTAAGCTGATTCAGCAGACGTGTTGATCAAGACAGTGACTGTCAGACAAACTCGACTCATCAAGAACAGAGGACCTTACAGAACATCAACTGACGACAGCCACTCCTATAGGGTTTTTTTATTTAGCACAGTTGTAACAAAAGAGGGTTTCCGTTCCTGTTCCCTTAACCATAGCCGTGAACGTCAGGGTTGGCCACTCTTATTATAGAAATTGCGCTCTGCCTACGTGATGTAAACTTGCGAAAGAGATAACAGGGAAAGGGCATGATTTCAGGCAAACCAGATATTGGTCAAAGGGTTAGCAATGCACAATGCTTAAATGAGGCAAAAATAATCGTGAGGAGCGAGTAAATTTTTCTTGTAAAAAGTAATCCGGACATGTAACCAATCGCTTTTTGCGTTTGTAATGTAAACAGAAAAAAAAATTGGAGAAGATGGGATGCGAAAATGAGCGAGGGAGACATGGCAAGGGACAGAGGAAAATTATTAGCAAAAACTCCCCACGTTATACGCGTATTGCTGCATTTAAAAATCGCCCAAAATCTAATAAATAACAACTGCTTATGAGACAGGTATCAACTTCACTTTGGAATCAGACCAAGAAAGGCCTTTCGAGTCGCAACATATTGTTGTTTCTGACTTGATGACTTCTGACACTGTCTATATATTTTCACTTTGTCGCCAATTTTTGGCGCACACAAGAGTCAGGCTAATAACGGTTGAATGCAGTTGAAATAAAAGATTTTCAATGCAATAACTTTTTTGGTTGCATACAAGTTAAGGCCCCTTTTATATGGAGAATACCTGTTCCGGGCAGAAGGGTCTTCCCCCTCCCCCAGCCTAGTCAACTTGAGCGAGCGTCTATATGAGAAAAAAATTTGACCACTTCAGTTGCCCGACCCAACAGCACTCGCACCTGCCTTGATTGTGTAAAACAGCACGTGCGCATGCTCTGATTGTCTCGCCTTAACCAAGTAACCAAGTTAACCTGGTTGGGCGCAATCTCGACCCCATGCGGAGCACTGGGGTCTAGAATGCGAGCCAAAGTGTTGATACGGAGAAAAGATGGTCCGGCTAGGATAGTGACCTTACCATCACAAAAGGGAAATCTCGCCAGACGGGTTCGCACCCTTCTAGCCAAGCCAGCCTTTTTATTTCTCATGTAAACTGTTCCCCACCTTTTGTGAGGGAATATAGGAAAAGTTGGCTCGCCTAGTGTAGCTCGAGTAGGCGGGTGACACTTCTACTTTCCTCCATATAAACGGAGCTTTAGTCTTGTCACTACCGTGGTTGATTGAGAGTGCTTAGGGCAAGTCAAATTTAGAACTCTTTTAGCTAGTTTGCAAGTATTTGAAATAGTCCTGATTTGGATGTCTTTCCGTTTTCTCTCTTCTTTTACAGCTCGCTATCCACATGAACTCCGAATGTCCCTTGCTTGTGATACAATGCAAATTCCATGAAGCTGGTTGTGCCTTTAAGGTATCATAACAAGAAGATATTGCTTTGATCCTACCACGCTTTAATTCGTCACTCCCTGATCACTTGCCTTGACTTTTTATCATATATGGAAAAATGTCTAATAATGACCGAGCGCGTAACGAGCGCGAGGTTACTTTTAAGAAGGCCGAACCAGCAGGCCATTATTGTGGCACTGAAGTAGAACAGTAGGTTATTATTCGCAATAATGACCCCCTGTTCCACCTCAGTGACCTGCTCTTCTATTTATTGCGTATAATAACCTTTTCAAAACAATGGAAAGGTCGATTAAGTTCTTGGCATAGTGATTGACCAGCTTACCGATTGACTTATTATGTTAGGGTCGATTAAAACGCCGCACTGTACAATTCGCCGAATCTATTGCAAATTAGCGAGAACAATGGATTTGCCTCCTTAGCGTTTAAATTCGGAACATGTGAATTGCGATGTTTGTACCCGGCTTAAGATAATCTTTCGAAGTAATTATTAAGTAGTGAATACCAATAAGGATATAAGAAAAGACAACTTTTACTGTTAAGTCTTTCCGTCACGTAGTTTTGTGGTCTCTTACCAGCTTCATTTCATTTGCACTTTACTTCGATTCACGACATTTACTTTACTCAGGGGCACCGCCAACGACTGTTTTCTGTGAAATATCTGTTCGGAGAAGCAGATGTTGCCTAGAATTTTCTATTACTTGAGGACGGCTTAAAATTTCTAGTTGACCATTCCATTCAGGTACAATTTTCGAAACTTCTGTAATAAATTCCCTACGGTTTTCTAAAGTTTGATTTTTACATTGCACTCCTCAAATTAGCCGGAAAAGTGTTCCCAGTATGTTAAGGAGGAAACCGTCGTTGGATGCCCCTGATTACTCTTGCGGCAACTTTAACTTTTCAGGCGATTATTTTAAACAAGTCTCTTGTTGCAGGCGGAACGATTGAAGATGAAGGATCACTTATCCAACAGCACTGAAGCCCATCTGAACGCTCTGTGTGATTTAGTGTACGCCCGAAAGAAGCAATTGGAAAACCAAAGGGAAAGAATTCAGTTGCAAAAAGAGCACATCCAACTCCAGAAGGAAACACTTCTTCTTCAAAAGCAGGAGATCATAGATGTGAGAAGTCGCGCGGCAAACGGAGAATTTATTTGGAGGATTACTGACTTCACCCGAAAGCTAATGGACGCAAAATCCGGTCGCGCTGCTGAGCCGAGGATCAGTGAGCCTTTCTATACCCACTCCCACGGGTATAAAATGTGCGCAGGCCTGTGGCTGAATGGTGTTGGTACAGGAAGAGGAAGGTACATATCCGTTGGACTTCAGGTAAGTTAACCTATATAGTTCCGTTTTGATGGTAAAATGTGAAAACACTTGAAGTGTTCCATAAGGGGATTCACTTCACTAGGGTTTCGTTTCAACGTAAAACCTGAAGGTATACCTTCCTGTGGCTCATCATAGTTAGATTGATCATTACATTCCTCATTTACTCAAGCCCGCGGTTAATCTTGAACATGTTACCGTGGAATCTCACAGTGTGAGGTGGTAGTTTGCTGAAAAGCATTGTTTTTCGTTCATTTCCGCACTTCTTAACTATCTAGCCGAGATCTTCTTCAATCAAAAAATGACTCCATTAGGTTAGATTTCTTGGTTTTATAAGAATTTTTGGATGATTTTTCGAAAGTTATTAGGGGGATTTTTACAATTTTGGAAAATTGGGAAATATTGGATTTGGGGCTGTTAAAAACGGAAAAATGTAGGGAATAATTAATGGCCAAATACCACCGCCACAAGCAGGTGCCTCTGAACTCATAGCGGACAAACTGTGTCATGTATATACCTCTTCTACCCTTATTTATTTCCTTCCCATAATTAACATCATTAACCGGCTTAAAAAACAAGCAGACTGTCCCCTTAATTCGCCCCCTTCTCGGAACCAGTCATCAAGTGTATGTTTGACTATCCGAGAGGACTTTTTGAATGCTATTAACGGAAAACTGTTTGTACATTTGAGACGGCCCACACAACAGTCAACGAACACCTAAATGAACACGTTATGGTATACTCTGTCAACTTTCCATAAAGTCAACTGCGCGATATTTTTTTCCCGAACAGATACATTAACAGCAAAAATAATCGTTCTTCCGTTGCGGTGTTTTCTGTTTAAAAACGTCCATTTTCCTGAATAATTTCTTACGCCCGTCCAGGTATGAAACAGGGTCTATAGTTCATCATGAATGATAGATCCTGTTTTATGAGTCGGGCGTAAGAAATTGTCCTGTATGACTGTGATGAAACTCTGATTCCCTGGCGTGAATCTCACGCAGAAGTTGATTTTACAATTATTCCATAGTTCATACAGGAGCACACGTGGAGTTAAACATTTTTTAAACGTTTACATTTTGTCTGTGTTAGGTACAAGTTGGCGAATACGACTCCATTCATAAGTGGCCAATTTATCCGCGATATACTTTCACTCTGCTTGACCAGCGAGGAGACCACAAAGACCGAAAAGACATCTCTGCCCACTTTGAGCCTCAGTGCATTTCACGGCCCTCTGCCGACCGGCAGCTGGGAAAGGGCGCTCGAAGATTTGTACTTCAAGAAGATATATGTCACGGCAGTTACTGCAAAGATAACATCGTTTATCTCAAGTTCCAAGTAGCATTAAAACAGCCGCCGTCTGGCTTTTTTAGAGTGTAAGAGGCGCCTGAATGCACTAGACTATCATTGTTGTCAAAAAATAATGCAGTGATACAATAATATATGAGTCAAATGCAAGAGAATAGAACACAAGTAATTTGCATATCAGGGGCTATTCACTCCCCCCCGCCCCCCCAAAAAAGTTAAATATCATTTTTTAAATGTTAATAACGAATAGTTTATATAGGCGAGAAATTATCAAAGATGACATACACAGACTTTAAAAAAACTCTCCTTGCGGTAGAGTTCTAGCTAATAAAAGAGACTTCCAGACATGTCCGAGAGGAGGCAGACGAGTGGAAACAAGCGAAGCGGGAGGCATGGGAAGGGGAGAAAAGACAGGCGAGTCCCGTCGTCCTTTGCCCATAGTGAGCGAGACGCCCTGAGTATAAGGCATTTCGATCTCAGTCGTTCCTCAAGAGTAAGAAACAGGTTTTGACGATACCAGAAACTTTAAGTCTCCACAAAGTTAAAGTCACATAAATTTAACAATTATTCTTCGAAATCGAGGTAAATATTCCTAAAGCCACTATTCACCGACATTGAAAAGAATGATTGTTTTAGTTATAGGCTCCTGTTTTAGTATATAGACACGAAGTGATCTCAACATAATCAGAGAGGAAACCAATAAAAAGTACGATTTGATTGACGGATCAAATCACGCAAAAGCTTAAAAATAGATCTTTGCAGAATTTTCAAACTTGGCAAATTCACAAGTTTATCACTTCGCAAACAACAGCGTAATGGCTTAAATGAAACCGTTAAAAGTTTTAATTGTTTCTTTACCTGAGAAGAAAAGTAGAGCTTTGTTGTTTTCTGTTGACTCGCCAAGTTTATAGTCAAAAAGGTTTGTTGTGTCGTTCTTCGCATGAAGTGCTGACAAAAATGGCGGCTCGGATGCTCGAGGTAAGACGTCGTCTTCTTGTAGCATTCTTTTTTCTATTTACTTGAAACGTAGAATTTCTGCAGACATTTGCTTTCAAATTTCTAAGTCATAAATAGACCAACCATTGAAATCTCGACCTTGAATGTAAAGAACAAGAGCATTCCTGGCCCGCCAATTATCCCTACTTTTGAGAAACGGGCACTTGGATAGAACCTTTTTTATGCGTGTGGACGTCATCAAAGGGTCCAAGGCCTCCTACGGTTCCTTAATTGGGTTCCGCATGGAACAGTCTTGGGACCTCTGCTATTTTTGACGTAGGTAAACGACTCAGTCTGCTTATGATGCACAACTAGTCCATTGTTTGCACAGTTTTACTCTCTAAAACTTCAGGGTGACATCAAGCTTTAAAGTCTTTTCATATATCCATTTGATAATTGCAATCTGCGATTTTATTCGCTTTTTTTTTCTATAAAAACATGGCACCCTTTCGCTTTGCGACTAACAGTAGATCTACCTTTTATCTTCCAAAAATTGAAACAAATTGTGGCAAATTTAATGTTTGATGTGATGGACCTAAATTATGGAATGATATTGGTGAAGGATTCCAGAATCTAAAAATAAATAAATAAATAAATAAAATAAACGGTGCCAGCTTTCCTCACTTGCAGTCAATTGCGGAGGGACCTGAGAGGTGAGATCGGACGTCAGCATGTAAAGGCGCATTCCTGCTGCCACTTCAGTCCATATTTTGATCACACCTCGTCCACCCAGACCGATGACGGCAATAATCAGTTAGACCATGACATCGGAGCCTACTTCCCCTACTCTTTTCGAACGATGTCACGGGTTCTTTTACGTCCCCTTCCAACTGAAATACAAGGATGAAGGAGACAAGGCCAAAGGCTTAACGTCACCGCCCAAATGACGCCATCATCTGAACTGAGAAAGGGGTTTGTCAGCTAGCATGGTCTCACCAGTTTTTTTAAAGACCTTGGTTGATGGTCCGCCCGGGGTTTGAGGTCACGACCTCCCGCTCAGCAGACCGGCGCTCTTCCAACTGAGCTAACCGGGTGGCGGTTAGCATCCAAAATTAACATCCAAATTATTAAAAATTAACTTTGCATGTTATTAGTGGCTACAGGAGCCGATTACTAATCAGCTCCTGGTGGTTATCGATCTTGACTAATGCTGGAGAGATTTTATGTTACTTTCTGGTTTTCTCCTTATATTTACTTATGTGTGTTTTAGCGACGAATTTGCTCCGTGATATACTTGATTTTTCAAGCTGAATTTAACTATCTACGACACCTCTTTGAGTTTGTCCGTCTTTTAATGATCACTAATAAATGATGGTCACCGAACCAGATTAGCTTTGTAGTTTATTTTTAATTTCATACTATTCATGTATCTATTCAGTTCTTCAAGTTACAGAATAAAATAAACGTTGTTGTTGTTTATAATGTTGTTAGCATTAAGTTCTGGGTGTAACCGTTCTATGCGACAGCCCCTAAACGCAGGTAGACTTGGCTCGGAACAGCATCCTGCTTGAGAATTTATAGCACATAAGTTAAAAAAACACACCCATAAAAACGCAATAAACAGCCAAAAAGTACGCATACTTCATTCGCTGTTAGGTTTGAAAACAGAATACCAATACTTGCTAAAATTATGTACACTTTAGTAGCTCCTATGAGCATAGTTCACTGTTTTATCCAACTGACGTTAAATTCCCATACAAATCCTGAACACGCCACTCTTATTTTCACCTTTGGCGTAAATAAAATACATGAAGTTCGTTTTCTACGTATTAGCCACCCTAGTCCCTAGGCGTTCTCTCTTGCCCCGTTGTCCGTGCGAAGTCTGGAAAAAAGCGGGCGAGGACTCTCTTGGTGACGTCACAGCTCACGGTGGAGTCTAGGATTGATCGAGCCGAGAACGCCATGAGATTTGGCTGCCTATTACTTCGGCGGAGCGCGAAGTTAAGGATTCGCGCAGCTCAGGAATGTTTCAAAGTTGCATTCCGGCGGAGGTCCGAAGTTGCCTCCGAATGTCCCGAAGTTGTTTCGGAATTAGTTCGAGATATCTTCGAGTTCTTTGATTTAATCTTTCAGGGGAAAGAAATAATCAGTATGAGAAAGCATCACTTCTGAAAGAAATAAAGAATAAATAAAAAATAGTCATAAGTTATACACGAGGTACAAGAAAGATTCGGCAGTAGGCTTTTGTCGATTGTGCTCGGAAAACGAGCATATTATGCTTCTGGCAGTGCTCAAAGTTTTTGCAAACTATGCCGGAATTGTGCTCGTTTCTCTGAATTATGCTCCTCGCATTCAAATTATGCTGCTTGGTTTTTAAGCGAAATAAAGGCTGAACACCGGGTAAACACAAGTGTTCGACGAGGAGCACGCTAGTTTGATATTAGATCCCAGGCAGCTCCCTACCGAGTCATACGAATGGGGCCTGAAATCAAAGAACATGACAACGACCGAACAGACAAACAAACAAACAAAGATCGTTTATTCCACTCTTTGCAGTAAAGACTGAATTGTCAAGTGATAAAATTAACAACAGTGATACTATAATACATATAAAATGCAATGAAACTAATCTAAAAATTTAAAAGTAATAAAACAATTCACTGTTTTGGTTTTAATGTAAGGGTGTAAACGTTTCCTGGCTAGATCTAAGATTATACGGTACACTAACAGTACGCAACGCCCATGCAGAGATAAACTTGCGACTTAGAACAAGTCGTCTTTCCTCAAGAAGCTTTCTAGAAACACAATTCAGTAAGTAGAAATATGTTTAGTACAAAATCATGACAATGTTTCACAACGTGGAAGGAAAACAAAAGATTATGCTAGCAGTACTTTTCTTTACAAAAAAAGGTAAAAATTATGCTCGTTTTACCAAATTATGCTTAAAATTATGCTAGCACAATCGACAAAAGCCTATTCGACCTATTCGGCAGGTCAAGTTTGCCATTAAAAAGCAAATGCTTCTTCGCCGGGAAACCACAACAAGAAATTATAAGAAGCAAAATACATAAAATCAGCGAAAATAATAGCAGGCAAAGCACAATACGATTGTCATCGTCATCTTGAAGCTGTTTGGTTAGTTTTCTTTGGAGATAACTCAAATATTTTAACTCATTCATTGTCATTTTCGTGCACGTTGTATTAAGTTCTTTTGAAATGTTTGTTTTTAATTTATAACCTTGAACTTTTTTCCGAAGCCATAGTTTCGTAAGGAATTTCCCTTTTCGTAAACATTTGTTTTTCATGGCCTCTTTTTCTTTCTTGAAAATCGAAAGATCTACGAAGAAATCTGGACCTTCCTTCATTATCTTCTGCCACAGCGTTTGATTGAACGCGTCGTATAGCAGCACGTCGGCTGAATTCCACTTTTTAATCTGCTCTCTCACCTGATTCGAGATATGTTGCTTTTCCTTTTGCACCCGTTCATTAAGTTTAAAGAAAAGAATGTCCTCCATTTTCCAGCACAATTGTCGTTTTAGCAGAACTAACGACTCGTCAAAGTATTCCATGAGCATCACAAGATCAAACTCTTGCTGCAGAAAACGGATGTAATCCTGTACCATAGTCAAGTTTTCGTGGTATTCTTTATCAAGTCCAAGGTCAAATAGAGATGGATTTTTCAATAAGTTTAAGTCAACCCCCAAACCATCTAGTACTCGACTAGACCGATAAAAAGTGATATTTTGGAAAAAGCTCTCCAGTGGTGTCATGGTGGAGCTTTGTGGCTGAAAAGTCTTTCTATATATATCATAATAATTGAAAACAGATTCTAATTGTGCGGGTGGATCTCTCAACATTGTGATGTAGCGAGTTGTTTCCTTGGGAAAAAGGAAGTGCATTGGAGCCCTATTATACCTTGCGTGATTGCACAGAATATTAGGCGCCTCACCAAATGTAGTTGCGTAACTTACTTCGAATCGAAGAGGCCAGTGAAAGCTGTCTTCCGTCGGCAAAGCAAATATCAGATCTCTTTTATCGCCATATCGGTTAAAAATGTTAGTCACTGTGCTTGAGCCCGTTTTGTATACCTTCAAAAATAAATTATTGTTTACCGGCTTGCATGGGACTGAAGTTTTCTCTTGTGCCTGGTTGCCGGTGAAGTCGTATGAACTTGTGACTGTGTTTCCCTCACTATCATTAAACCTTTCTTGTTTAAGTCTATGACTAAAAAAGGGAAAAAAAAACAGTCATTTAAACTGAATGGTTATTTTGTTGTCTTTCACAAAACCAGATTCAGACATTTTACTCAGTAGCAATTTAAAGATTTCCCTCTCCATTATAAAGATTCCCCGTTCCCTGTTCTTCGTTCCTCGTTCCTCGTTCGTCGTTCCCCATTCCACCATTCCCCATTCCCCCATTTAAAATAGCCGCGGGTCTCATGATATATCAGGCAATATGACGGGATTACAACCATACTGTTTATTGCCCCACCCGCCAACCGTGGACAGTAACAGGGCGAATTGACTTTAAAATTTTGCTTGTTGACATGGCACCTATTTATTTATGTGAACTTTAATCGACGTATATTCCCTCGAGAACGTAGTGCTCTTCTAGTTAATCTTTTTCAGTTGCTTGTAATTCTATATTGTAAATTAGTTTTAGCGGAACTCTCGCGTTCGTGGAACACCATGGGTAAGAAAATTTGGTTACCTAGGCATCCGAGAAATTTTGGTAGACCGTATGTCCGCCCGCCTGTCCGTCCACACCACAGGCATTGTAGTCGTGCAAAACAGCGGCAAAAAAGTGTGTTGCACGTGCAAATTTGTTTTTTTGCTACTTAGATTTATTGATTTTGTTCCCGTCGCCGTTTATCACATTACACCATTCTTTTTTTTTTTTTTTTTCGGAAGTATCTTGTTAGCGAGAGTTTCGTTTTTAGCCCTGGCTAAATCTGTATATTAAATCTGAGCCTAAGACATTTTCAATTAATTTGTAATTAATATGATACTTTGTTGCTTAGAATCTTTGTAGCTTAGAATGTTTATTGTTACCGTATTGTTTTCATTTTACTGTAATTATTATTCAATTTCAGCCATTAATTCATGAGTAAGGCCTTTTTCAAATGTCGTGCTACTTCCGAGCCGAACTAAATTTATATCGAATTAAACTTTAGCACGCGGTAACGCGACGTTTGAAACCAAGTCGTGCTATGCAGTAGCTCGACTTGGTTTCAAACGTCGCGCTACTGCCGTGCCGAACACAATTCATAAATTATAAATACATTACAATACATTTAAAAGTTTGCTTAACCGTTTTTGTGTGTGTGTGTGCTTTGTTTTCGGCGACAGCCGTTCTATTCGACTGAATTAAATTCAACGTCTAAAACCAAGTCAGCGTGCTAGTGTCGTGCTCAAGTCGAGCTACAGGCGAGCCAGCTTAACCTGAGACAGTAGCAGGCCTAACAGAAACATCGCTAAATAATTTTTTCAATATGGTTAAAAACTTCAGCGTTTCTTTCTACTTGTAGTAGTATTTCTCAGTTTCTTTTTTTTAGAAATAAATGTTCAACTTTGCTTTTGTCTCGACTTGTCCTGCCTAGATTAGCTTAACAGCTACGTATATGCGGACTGGGGTATCCAATATTGTAAACCGTGAATTGTTGTTTAAATTACGCAACATACTAATGATTTAACAGTCGGTTTCATTTGGACAGGTGTTTCCTTGCAAGTTGTAAACGCTCCTAATAACGTTCCTATTCTGTCCATTTGTACGAAAAAGCCGTGAAAATGTCCGTTGAAATATGTAATATCATAGTTCATACTAGTGAAAAGTTTCCTGAAAAGATATTCGTGTTTCCCAGCCCAGTATCCGGGAAATTGCTATAAATTCTATGCGAATATCGAGGCTGAGAACTACGAAATTGAAAAGGGTAAAACTTTGTGCGTTGAAAACCTGTTTGCTCTCAGTTAACTTTTTAATTAACCGTATAAAATTATCCTTCTCTCTAAACGACAAAACTAGCCAACACCAAATAAAATTGCACTGATTGATGCCCCAATGATATTCTAAAACCGAAAAGTCATAAGATATAGTTCAAGAATAATACAAGAATACTTTTTCATCCTAAAATCGGCAAAAAATAAGAATATTTAGCCTGGGCTAGAAAAAAGGCAACATTCTTATAAAAACAAAGTGTACTTACCGAGGCTCCTTCATCAATGGAAAAGTCAAATTACATTCGGAAATTCTCATGATGGACATAAGAAACCCATAACTCATTACAACTGCAATTAATATTCTGCAAAGGACTTGTGGTCTTAAAAACCCCATGACAATCTTAAACAGATTGCCGTCCAGAAAATCACACTGCACTGATGATGAAGTATTTAAACTGAAGGGTATTTGAGAATGATTTTAGGGCACCGAATCGATACTTACAAAATGAAGGAAAGTTTTTTTGATTTCTTGATATCAAGAGAAAGACGCTGGAAACTGTGGAAACGAAAACTGGTTGTAAAAAATGCAATGCAGTGGACGACGTTCCGCCGGTTAACGTAAGAATTTTTAATTGACGTATTCTGTCTTAAAAAGCCCTTTTAACGATCAAATCCTACTTCAGTCATTTTAAAAAAACCTCAAAAATGAAAAGCTATTTTCTTAAAATTGCAAAAACGGTTTGCGACAATTTGGTTAAGTTTTCTTTCTTTCTTTCTTTCTTTTTAATGAGGGTTACCCGTTGAAAGCTGCGTGCAAATTTATTAAATTAATAAATTCAAAATTATAGGCTTGTTTTCAATCATCCATAACGACATGGCAACGATCGAAATCTTACTTTTAACCTAATACGTGTAATGTCTTATAAATATATATGTATCCGGGATATGTGTTTTCCGTGCCAAGTTTGAGCTGAGCTGATCCTACTGAATTCAATATTAGCTGTACATGATTCGGCTCATTTGTATTGTAAAAAAAAAAATTGCCTTGTAAAAAAAAAAAAAAAAAATGTGACTACTTAATATCTTGTAATTTGCTAAATTTTTCTTTGAGATAAGTATGTGACGCGTGACATAGCGATGCGTTACGTGAGCGTAACCGAGTATCGTAAGGATTGCCGGGAAGTGAAACATCAGACCATGTGCTTTTGGAAATCGAACTCCGTACGAAGTTTGTCTTGAGAATAGACGTCGTTTACGAGTTGCAGATTTGGAGTGTTTTACATCGACCACCCTACCAGCACTGCTAAAAGTTTTGCTTGAGGTACATCGTTTGAGGTACGTGGTCTACGTCGCGTTTCACTTGACGTCCAGTGCAATCAGCTGATCACGGTAAGGTAAGAGATGTTCAATAGACATGTAATGGCCGCTTATATCCTCGTTACCTGAGCTACTGCAGCGAGCTGCGAGACTCTTGTTTATAGCAACTTCCTTCCAGTCCATTTTTGTATAGGAGGTCTTGGATTCAGTAATAGGTGCTGCTCTTAAAAAGAAGACGCAATTTTTGTGGGTGACTCTAATCGGTTACCAGAGACCCTGGGGGGCCAGAGATCCGGTTACTCTGGGAGGGGGCTGGGGGAGAAAAATGGACGGGGTTGTTCGCGATATTTGACCTTGTATTATTTGACTCTATATTATGTGCTCAAATATTATTTGAACTTATATTAGTTTCCCCTATAATTATTTGACCCTATGGCCAAACCACCCCTCAAGTCGGTCATTTAGGCTAAATTTACATATGTTTCACATTTCTTTTCATTTCTTGACCAAACTTGTCAGTTAGATTGGTGACCAGGTAATTTTAAGTTTATGCTTGAAGCAAAATGTCAAATTATGACGACATAAGGGCTGACGTCACCAAATTCGATGAATTTTTTAATTTCAAAGTCAAACTTATATCCGTCTGAAAGAGAATTGGAAGGGGAGTACAACGCTGAAAACCGTTTTTCGCTACGACACTTAGTCGAGTTATTGGACTTTAAAAGACATATTAGTGCACCCCCGGAACCATACTTTTCCTTAAAAAAAGAACCCTTTGATTTATTTTTGCATATTTTCTTGCAAAATAAGCATGATTTTCAGGTAACGTAAACCTTTTATAGTTGCTCAAAATCGTATCATTTTAGATTTTCGTTTTTTGACTCCAAAACGCTAATTAAATTTAGGAAAAAAAATGATCAGATGACATTTTGTTTTCGTGCAGTTAGAAATTTCTTTTTTTTAAGATTTTCTTTGTCCCTCAGCTTTCGACAATAAAAATGTGTTATGTTTATATTAAATAGCAATAGTGACACGACAATAACACGCTTAAATTTAGACTTATTTTACAATACGGTACCCCGTTTTTGTGGTACGAATTTATCATATCTCAGCTCATATTTAAGATATTGTAAAATTGTAAATTAACCAAAATTTATAAGATACTTTGAAGACCGATTTGGGAGATCGTTTGGCCCCGGCGTGTATATATACTAGGGTATCTAAAAGATAGTAATGCTGTGGAACATTCTGTTGATATTAAAAGAATCGAAAATGACATTGAACGTGTCCAATTTGCATGTTGGAAAGTAATAATTACTATCAGTCTACAGAAAAAATCGTAGGAACGTTGTTTAGAGAATGATCAAATGGTTATCAACTTCGGTTTTCCCACAGTAAATTGTAGGAAATGATAGAAATTCAGATTGTTAATCCATATATTTAATATACGGTGTACTATCTTTTCTCTGGAAAAACGATTATCATACTTTTCTTGATGCTTATTGCACTTTATTGAATAACAGTTGGATATATTTATAGAATACAACAACACAAAAAACGGGAAAAAAAAAGAGAAAGAAGGAAGGAAAAACAAAAGGTATAAAGAGGACTCGAACCCAGCGCCTTCGGCTCGACGTGACTACACTTTATCGCTACACCGAATCCGCACTACACCACAAAGGCTGATTCAGTAACTTTAGGGAAAGTCTTTAATTTTATTCCCTTTGCATGGAACTTCCTTAAAACAAAGGGATACGGTTATCCAGAGTCATAATGTGGTGATGAGTGGAAAGCAAAAAATTCGGAAGGCGCAGGTAGAATTTCCTTGATTATAATGGCTTCTGGGCGTCTATCTGAAATAGGAAGTGAGTCCCAAGTGTGTACGACCTATAAGAATTAGCCACGAGTCTAACAGTAGCTCAAACTACCAGAAAGTCGGTGGAACTTGGTGCTCAAAGTTACTGCGCTTAAAAAAAGTGATCAACTTTAATTCATTAGGTACCCGATACTGCGCCCCTTTAAACTGGTCTTAAAGGGACGCTTCAATGTACAGGCATGCACAACTACGTATTTTTATAAAACCTACCCTCTGTGGACAGGAAGCACGTCTGCCTAGGCGGTAGTCACGCGTTGGACTGTACTAGAAGCCTGCGAAGGACGTGATCCGTGATAAAAAACATCATCATGTACTCATGCCTATACTAACAAAAGCTGTATTCTTCTGTCCTGACGTTAATTCGGCAATTGCTACAGTTATGGAAATATAATTATGTTACGCCTTCATACAGTCACCATTGAGTATTCCGCACTTAAAGTCATCTTTGTTTTATTCTTATGCTTATGCTTACCGCGAACGAAAATCCATCCCGTTGATGCAAAAAATAGAAAATATAAAGGGAAAAATGCTGCCTTTAACGTAGAAATAGATGGTCTTTCAGCGTTTTAAAAATGTGGTAACTAAGGTACTTGTTTATATTTGTGAGGATCAGTTCGCCACTTGCATTGTTAACTTGACCAAAACGGAACATATATAACCATGAGACAGGAGTACATGTGTGGTAATGTTTATCGGGCTGCCGCTAAATGCGCATGCATTCGTTCTTCCCTTTGATGTGGGCAGATTCGTGATTAGCAAATAACCGCAATGCAGGATAATATAAGTGATATTCAGCGACTTTCACAACATTGAGCTGAGACCCAAATATCAACCAATGTTCCCGCCCTTCGTCCGTAGATTGTTTGCTTTACAGTTGATAGTTTGCTGTTTAATAGCAGCGACCTCCTTTCCAAGAACAGAAAACAAATCAAACCGCTAATGTCTCGTATGGTGTATGATAATCTATTTACTTTGGTTTGGCTAGCCTTTTCACAGACCCTCTGTTTTCTCTTTAGAGGTAGTCGAGCACGCTTGTGAAAATAAAACCGCAGGGGATTTATTGACCGCACTGAGCAGGGGGGGTGGGCAAAGGAGTAAATGGACGCTTTCGTGCGCTCTCTTCGCTCGCATGCTCACCAAATTGTCGAAAAAAGGAAAGGAAAACGTTTTTGAACAGGTTATGGGTTGATTGGCAGCGAACGGTGTTTCTTGAAGGACGATCATTGGATGAACGACACAAATTCAGGGTTAATTTTCATGTGACAACTCATTTGTTTTGTTAACAAGAAGCCCAGCAGCCTGCGGAACGATTTTAAAACAGTCACGCTTAAAAAAAAAATGCAAAAATAGATATTTAAAAAATATATGGTTAACTTTAGAAGCTAGAACCTATTTACAAGGAAGAGGGTGTTGTGGAACCACATAAAGCAATTCTTTCCCACTAACTCTGTGATCCGGCAAACAGCACGCAACATTTACCGTCCCAGTACACTCTTTAAGGCCACCTGAATAAGGCGTCGAGTTGTCTCATTGCTAACGTGGATTTCAGGACAAAATGTCTCGTTTTTTTCAGACAAAATGTTTTAGTGATGGTGGCGGTGAAAGTTTTTTTTTTTCTCTCGGTCGAGACCTGAGTACTCTGAGACGTCGATCAACTGTTTTGAGTTTCCATATTTTTTCCCGCGCTCTGCCAGAGAAGGTCTTTGCTTATTTCACCCGATGAACATTCCCAATTTCGCTAAGATTGGAGGATTTGAATGTTGAAACAACATGAGCTAACATGGTCTGGCTGAATGAAATGCCCGAGACACTCGCTGTATAATTATGTAAGCTAAAGTTAGTGCGAAAACAAAGGAAGACGAGAGCGATCTGTCAAGGAGGAAGTCAAAGAAACGAAATATATCAGGTATCTACAGAGAAAAACATAATCAATCTGAAATAAGAATCCTCTCGGAAAGAGAATATTGTGTGAATGTGGATTTTTAAAAGCTGCAGTTCTAAATTCATATCGCTTGTCATACTATTCAAAAGATTCAGAGCTCTGTCTCAATTGACGATCGACTCTGTTGCGAGCAATTGTAAACTATGTCTAACTCAAACCCTGTTTAACCCTTTAACTTCTTGGAGTCATCAACATTTAATTTCTCCTTACCGTAACACTGGTCAAACAAACATGTAGGTCATGAGAAAAAAAGGAAAAGATCAACAGATTCCCAGGGTCTCAAGTTTTTAGTTAAACAAATTTTCTTCACCAGTTCGGAGATATTAGGGTTTAACCCGTTTATTCCAGAGTACAATATATATGGAGTCTTTGTAAGGTATATCTGTAACTTTTGAGTCTGTGGACGAATTAATCCTATCCGGGCGTGACCATTTAAACCATGCATCAAAGTTCTTTGGCAGCGGCACTTCACTAGACACTGCTCGTTTTCAGTATATTTTACAAAATAACATTTGAACATCCTGTTGAATATTGACTGTCGTTACCTTTGGAGAGAAACATTTTAAATGGACCGGTCTTGGCAATTTTTTTTCCTTCTTGGCATTGCTCAAAATCAAAAGACGTTTAGAGTTCGACTTGGTTTTGCTAATTAACACCTGCTATGTTTTAATACTGAACCAGCCCAAAGATTTGCTCTAGGCTCTGAAATTTCCAAGTCAATGAAGATAATTGAATCATATAATTTATGCAAAAGCTAAGTCTATGAAAATACTTTAGTATCAAAATAAAAACGCGTGTACGGGGATGTAATACATACAGACTATAGCTTCAACTAAGTACGGTTTAACATGGATGACGCTTCCTAAGTCTGGTAAAACTTAATGAGGTTGGCAACTAAGGAACTTCGAATGAGTTCCTTAAATTGATGATGAAATCCAACGAATGTCTGTCAGAACCTCATGAGAGAAAAAGGGAGTTGAAATTACTGCAGTTTAATTCTAGTCATCTCATCGATAAATTCTAAACCAATGGAGATACTCTTTGCCAACTGGTCAACTTTGAATTAGCTGTTTAAAAATCGAGAGAAACATCTTTTTTACCCCAAAAGTATCCAAAAATGGACATGTTACTTAGCGAGTACAAAACCAGTCAGTTGTGAAGCCTCTTAAAGCACTGTTTGCCATTTAAATTGTATTCTCACACACAGTCACTGACACAGTACGCAATATTGATCGTTCCAGCCGGCACTCTTTAAGGCCGTCTGAATAAGGCGCCGGGTGGTCTCATTGCTTTAATCTTATGATACACAGTCCTTAGCAGAGGTGGATTTGAACACGATAAACGTCTTAGTTTTCAGATGAATTGTCCCAATGTCTATTAGTACCAAGGGTGCTGCGAACGAGCTGCAGGTCAAATCTTGCCAATGTCGAGTAGGCAGCAGGGGAAACTCACTTCATCCCTTATCCTCTTTTCCTTGAACTTATTCCGTTGTATTGTCACCCTACTCATCAGACCCCCCCCAACCCCATAGTACGCAATTTCCGCTACGCAGAAACTCAGCTTGGGTTTGGGCCAAAATTGGGTTTAAATTCCCGATATGTTTTCATCGGCCAACACTTCTCAAGATAAAAGGGTAAACAGAACTTTGCCTTACAAGGGTTAAAATCTACCCAACCAAAATGCTATTAAAAACTTTCCTGCAAATACTTATTGATAGCTCAACCATGTAAAAGGGAGTACCCCCCTCCCACGACACCACTCCCTCCCCTGCTGCCCTCCCTTAGGAAGGCCCCAATGTACTGGACGGAGAAATATCTTCTATGGCTATTTTTCTGAAATACAACGGGAGCAAAATCTTGCTCAACAGATAAAAACTTTCCATTCGCAAACAGTGGCCTTCAGGGTCTTCAGGGTCTTTATGTATGAAGCCGATAAATATTGTTTACATTTTATTGAATCTTATTGATTTATCACGGTGTGATTTTCGATTAAGTAATAAAGCTGTTATGCAATTAGGGTATTCACGTGTATTGTGAGTAGAGCAAAGTGCTTTTGTAAAACTGTGTAAAGTGTGACAGGCTCAAGAAAGCGCTGATGCAGGAAAGTAGGTTAGAGCCTCCGTTTCCGCTTAAATAAAACATGCCGGTCCATAGTACATCGATGTAATTAGTCATACATCGACAAGCAACATAAAATTTTTGAAGGACCGTTTATGCTAGGAAAGTCAATCAGGTAGTTTAAGGAGAGGTTTTTGCGGCAGATATCAAATTGAGAACAACCGCGTTAGAACCAATCTCGTACAACTTTTAGTTACTATAGATTGCATTATCATACACGGTTTCTAATGTATATCCGAAATATATCCGAGTTTTTGGCATTACTAATTAAAAAGTATTTCTTGGGCTTTCGATGGCCAGGATGGAAACTGATGCAGCGTAAAAATTTTCAAATTAGAGTTCTTCCCATCTAGTCGAGGCAGCCCCCTCCCTCTCCCTCTTTCTGTTTTTTTAACTTTTCAGTTATAACTCTTTTATTTATTTCTTTACTTTTCTACGGATAGCCTGAGAACAATTTAGCCTGAACAATAGTGACCATCCGATTTAACTTTCTCACTCTGCTGTAGTGTTGGGAAAGGACATTCTTTTCAAATAGATGTGTTTTTATTGTAACAAAATAATTACAGAATGTGGTATTTGCATAATGAATCAAAATATCACAATTTAGCTTGAAAAAATAGTAAATAGAAAATGATTGTCTCGATATCTTTCGTACAAAATTCCAGTGGGGAAATATAATTTGAATTGTGAATGTTGTAACCAACGCATTCAGTACATGGGGTCTTTGCTTAAGACGGAAAGGAAGACTGTTCATTGCAAACAGTTGCCTAGTCCTACATTTGATCTATTAAGTGGTGGCTGAGACTGAGTCTGAGATTTTAGTGTTCCTTGATGCAGCCCTTAGAAAGGAAGCTCTGTAACTTGTCAGAAAAACTCTAAAATTGTCCTACTGCAATACGCGGTTGAAACGTCGCGATCAATATCTAAGTGCCAACCATGAGACAGATGATAAACGAATCCCTTTAAACTGGAAAATAATTTGAAATGTCTATGATCTTGTTTAGAGTACATTTATAGATTAAATAGCTAAAAGAGAAGACGGTCTTTAACATCAAAACCAAATGTACCGCTTGTCTTCTACCGATCTTTAAACGCTTTTTGACACTGATGCCAAAATTCTACACTGAATTATAAAAAAGCACCACATCAAGCTAATTCAACACTCAAATAACCAACGATAAGTTTCTAATAAGTGTTTGTTTGCCAGAGTTCTTTTCAATTTCGTTCTTCTATTTTCACGTAAAACTTCTGGGGCACCAAGGTAAGACCAAATTCACCCTGAAGATTAATGCCCTTATAGTCGGCTGGCAAACCATCCTGAGTGAAGCGGAAGCTGTGAAGCAATGCGGCAAGCAGGACAGAAACTTGTTTGGTGGCCAGAACATCACCAGGACATTTGCGACGACCGCAGGAGAACGGCATAAATCCTCGGAAGAACTTGGGATCGATCACTTGTCCTGCTCCATCCAGGAAACGGCTAGGATCGAAGACATCTGGATCTTTCCAGATTTCTGGATCGCGATGCACTGACCACAGATTGACCATGACGACCGTATCTTTAGGGATGGTGAAATCCCGGATGTTTGTTTCAACGGTCGTGGAGCGTAGAACGGAAAGAGGAGCGATAGAAGTCACTCTAAACAGTTCGTAGACTGCTGCTTGAAAGAAGGGAAGTGATGGCATGTCTTGGAGAGTAGGCAGGCGTTCTCGGCCGATCACGAGGTCTAATTCTTCCTGTATCTGGGTCTGTATCTCGGGATATTTAGTGAGGTATGCCAAACTCCAGTGAAGAGTAATGGCCGAAGTGTCAAACCCAGCACCAAATAAATCTCCCAACACCCGGATAATCTGTTCGTCACTAAGCAGAGGAGCCATACTTAACGTGTCCTCTCCTTGTGGACGATTTTCTCTTTCTTTTTCAGTTTCCTTTTCGACGACGTTGATAATACTGTCTGCGATGTTACGAACTTGTCCCCCAACATAAGTCTCTGTATTTTTGGCATACAACTGGGAAATGACATCCAACACAGATTTGACTGCAGCGGTAAGATCTGAAAGCGCTTTACTAGGCAAATGTTTTAGCAATGGCAGGAAATCAACATGGCTGCAAGCTGTTATAGCAACTCGGAAGTTATGAGCCAGTTGAAGCATGTTATGGACAGCTTTGTTGCTGTATGACCAGCTGACTCCGAACAGTGCATCGGTTATTATGTTGGAGGTAGCGCACTGCAGAGGTAGGTGAACATCTACGAGTTTCCCTTTCTGCTGCTTGAGACAGTGAACCAGGCGTTGAGATTCCTGAAGCAGTTTCTGTCCCAGGGTATCTTTGTCCTTCACGAAGTTCTGGATCGCACTTACACCGATCTTTCGAGAAAGACGCCAACGAGGTGAGTAATCCGTGAGCGTGATGCTGCTATTTGTTCGATTGGCCAGCTTGAAGGTGTGCAGTTGTGGCCTTCCAGCAAAGGCAGTCGACTGCTTGATCAAGGCTTCTTCGATGGCGTTGAATCCGTTCAGCACCACGACCAAACGATTTCCAAGCATTAGGCTGAATACATCGCCATATTTCTGGGCCATTTTTGTGAAGTCAAGATGTGGGTTCTTTCCTAAGCGGAAACATGACCCTAAGAATGATAATAAGAATGCATTAGTTGAAATACGGAAAATGTCGAAAGCTGACGTATTACAACTGTGAAATTGTTGAGTATAGCCTGGAGGGTTCTCATGATATTTATAACAAACGTTTCGTTGTTGTGTGAAACTGTTGGGAAAGCGCTTTTTATCTTTATCAACAAAAGAGAGTGAAAAACTACATTTGGAGACAAGGACAAACGGTTTAAAAGTAGCTTGTTAGCTAACTGCTAGGACATAATTAGTTTAATCGGTAAGCGGTGTTGAGAATGTTTCACCGGAGTGTGGCCGGAGCTAGAGAAAAACAGGAAGTAGTATGAATATAAAATTGAGAAAAAGAAAGAGACGACATTGTGATGCTGTTGGGAATATCTTGAAATTTTAACATCATGTTAAAAGAGAACCTGTTCCAGGAATGAACACAGAATGATATGTCCCAGAGTTAGTCAAGGAATCGCTTATTGCGCGACGTCTGTATGTGCTATTTTGCTTATCTCAGAGCGGGTTAACCTTCCTTTTTTTTTTTCGGCTGATTACATAACGTTACCTCTACCTTTTTTTCATTTTTAAAAGGGCCCTCCGGGGTGGATATAAATAGACGTTGTTTTTTTTTCTTTTGGCAAAAGTCACGCGTTGAAGCTGTTAAGAAATTTAAGGAAAGGGGCTAAGCCAAAGCAAATCACTTGCTCTTCCTTTATTTTTTTTCTTTTTCAAACCGATACTTCGGGGCCGACTTGAGTAGATGTTGTTTTCTTTGTTGAGGCAAAAGTCACGCGTTGTGTTCATTAAAGGAACTGCTTATGAAAGGGGCCAAGCCGTGGTCAATCATATTCTTTAACAGCAAAGCCGTAATGCAAACAACAATTTTCAGTATCGATATCGTTCATGCTATGCGATAAAAGAGTATGAAAAGGAACACCCTTGAAAAAAAGGCGCCGTAAGCAACCCGTGAGTTTCGTTCGAAAGGTTTAAAAAGAACACCTCTTTTTCAGGAACGCCAATCTGTGGTGACAATATAGCCTACACAAAAATTCAGGAAACCCATTGTCTGTAGCCTATTGATACTAGAATGCACGATTTTTTTTCTAGTTTCATATAGGAAGCGGTTTTGGTCGATGTCGCTTCGTAATCTCCCTGAACTTAAGGAAACTGGCACGATATGCCCTTGACGTCTCTGAAATTAGTAACGGCTTAAGCGATGCGTGCAATATAAATAGGGTTGCCACTATACATTGTCAATTGTTCTTTTGTTGTGGGTATGTTTGATAATATGCAATAAACGTAAAGATAATAGGCCATTGATATCAGCTTCTCTTGTTTAAGGTCAAGCAGCAGGGGCTTACAAAATTTTGTAACTCAGGATTGAACTAATTACTGCAGATGTGTGGTAGCCACTTAATTGCTCGGTTTCCCACATTTTGTTCAGCTGAGGTTTGCACCGTCATGTTTACTAATCTTTGCGGTTGGTAAGTTCGATGATGTCGCAAAAGCTGTCACACACGACGCAACTTTATTGGAGAAATTTGTGTTAGTTTGCAAAACAAAATCCGATGAGCAACAAGCGTTTTAAAATCGGTCATTCTTCACAGTCTGTTGATTTCTTCTCTGGATTACTTTGTAGTAGTCAGCAAATAGTGCTTTATTAGAGAGACTTTCTAAAGCACCATTTAAAAGCGCTACGCTAAGTTAGTATTGCGTCTAATTTAATTTTAATGTCAATAAAGTACCCACTATCCTTTATTTCTTTTAAGCTTCCTTTTTTATCGGTTTTTCAAATCTCTATATATAGTGTTCGCCACAATTAGAGTTCTTAAGGAAAATTGGAGGTCAAGTCTCCTTAACCGTCTTGCAAACTACGCTGTTCTTAGTGAGCGACATTCCGTAGCCTCTCAATTCCTTCAGAAATCCACTGAAATGGCGATGTATAGACTCAAATAAATCTTTTTCAACCCCAGCGGTTAAATCTCTCCGGTAAGATTTCCTCATATTTTAAATAGACTCAGCTGGACCGGTGCGTCGTGTGCGTTCTTCTCCTGTGTTAAGAAATCTTGAACAAAACACAGGTGCATTAACTGTTCGAAAAAGTAAATCTTACGTAAAAATTTCTATAACTCGTGAAAGGCTTATTGATAAACTTTCTAGATGACTGTTCCATTCATTGTCGGCGTGTGGTGCACGGAATTTGAGTCGCATTTCACGATTTTGTTCGTTACAGAGGACCCCTAAAATATTTGGCTTGGAACATGACGAACATAGTGACGGAAGGTATGAGAATATCTCACATTTTCGTGACCCTTAAACTGCATCTATGATGTTTAGGAGAACAATGAGAAGGCTCTCAGTAATAAATTCGTAAAGAGCTGTTCAGTAAAAGTGGGTGACAATTACGGTGAGAAGTGACGCTTTTAATATAAAGAGCACTGTCACGGAAAATGAACAAACTCAAAGATGTATTTATTATAAATGGCTGCAACAACTTAGGATCATTTCTTTTCAGTAACTATATGAGGCGAAGATGACGGAAATAAGTTATTCGAAAGGTCAGCCGACAACTGAGTCTACAAGACAAATAGGTAATTTTTTTACGCAGCACGAGTGAGTGTGCCTATTGAGACTCCGAGATCCCAGGCTTTAAAAACTGTAGCAAATGGATTAATATACTACTCAGCGAGGGATCTCATGGAAGCGTTTTTCACAAAAGAAAAAAGAACCTTTTTTTCTTAGACGAATACATCAACGGGAGTAGACTAAATAAGAGAAAAAACAGCAGCATGGTGCCCTAATGTTGTTTTTTGTTACGGTCATTTTTCCGCTGGAGCGTTAAAATAGTTATCAGTTATGAAAATTCTTTCTTGGCTCTTGCAGACTCCTGTGTTTTTAAATAAATTTGTTCACGCGGAAGCACTCTTGTGTCAACGAGTTTAATCTCCTATATTTGCAAAGTTTAACCAGCTCATCTTGTCACGCTATGTCAAAAACATTTGTCACAAGGGGCTCAAGTCAGTTTTCTTGTTTTTTTTTTAGCTTTTGTTTGCAAATTTGCTAGCTCTGCGAATGTCGCGTCCAGACAAGCTGCTCCTTCCTAACTTGGATTCCCTGAGTACCCTTAATCTTTTTACTCCCCAGTGGAACCTAATTAGGTAGATGTAACTTTCAAGCCTGTGGACGGATCTTGAAGTATGACTATTCAAATAAAACTTTAGCAGTACTTTCACATGATACTACATTGTAAAGCTGTTATGAGTAAAAGAGTTGAATGTCTCTTTAACTGGACCTTCCCCTTGCCTGGCTGGCTACTTCCACGTCTACGTCTTTAGTTAAAATGATTACTTGCTTCTCGGAAAAACATTTTACAGTTCTAGCGTGTTTACTATCAATGTTGATGTTGAACTAGAGAAAATTCGTAACGGAAATTGTTTTAGTTGTCAACCACTCGTGAGACTCACTATGCGGATTGAAACTACGCAAGTGGGTGCGGGTGTATATTTTAAGCCACCTTATTGCTCATTTATTTAAACACCCACTTTTTCCACTAGAAGTTTAAGAGTTGTTTAAGTTCAAAGCAGTTCAGTGTTGTACACCAGCAAAGCTGAGCGGAAAGTTCTGTTGGTCTTAATTTCATTCTCAGTACCTTTACAAAGTATTCACGGATTTTATTACTCTTATTTTTTGTCAATGGGTCGTCTTTGTAAAATGGATATATCGCTCATTTCTTCTTCTAAAATAATATACGAACCAGTTCTCAGAGGATAACCTGCTAAGTAACAATGGGATAATGGCATATTGCGCCATCTCATCAAAATAAAAAGCATACGTCAGACATATTTGGTCAATCCTCGCTGTTGAAAAAACTGTCACTGAAAATAAAGGTTGCCTCGTCACTATTGTACTTCGCTAAGAGCACGCAATATTCACCTTACTTGTACGCTCGTGTCATGCAATGGACTGGCCTCCTAATTATACATTCATTACGCAGTTTTATCAGTTGAGAACAAAGACCCTTTCTTGCCGACAATTTTTTCTTCAGAACAATGTTAGAGTTTTCATGTTTTACAATTTTATCGACCTTAGGAATAAATTTAATTTGGAAGGTTTGTTCAGAGAGCGGGACGTTGGTGTGAGCTTAACAAAACCGCAGAGTTTGTGGAGAACCTGCTCAGAAACAAATCTGACTGCAAACTTGGGTATTTTAGATGAACTACAGACATGACATTTTTTTAACAGCTTACAAGTACATGAAAATCAAAACGTTAGTTTCTCAGTTGTTTCTTGGGAATTGTTTTCAGTGTCTTTGTGCCGATGTCGTTAAGTTAACTATATTCGGCCTCTAGTTTTCATGTTACGGAATTTAAACTTTTGAAAGGAGCGCTAGCAGTGACTTTAAAACTTGTGAATAGTCCTTTTGTAGATTTGGTTATTATTGGCGATTCTCTAAAGCATAAAGCCAGGAATTTGACAATTTAAGGAAGAAATCTCAGTTCTTACCAAGCAAAGGCAGACCCCAGGGCCCGGGAGGAAGCTTTGAAAAAGAATGTTCCCAAATGGCTTTTCCAGAGAGGAACACACAAATCAGCAAGCAAAGTAGCAAAATCTGCCCAAAAGTGGATATATCTTCAGTGGCAAACAGAAGGCTCATCCTGACAGCTTGAACGTGAGAAAAGTGAACAATTGTCTACAGTGTTCGTGTTAACACCCTGTATCGCCGGCGTCCAAGGTTCATATGGTCTCAAGAGGAATTGAGATTGAGTATAAATATGCGACAAATTGTTTACACACCTGATTGACCCACTAGTTATTGATGGCTATTATCACGCTTTTATTTTCGGGTCAATAAGAGGACGGTAATTTATTAGCGCACGTTTTGAGTGAGTGCTCTTTGTATTCTCTGGTGTATGCTATCTCGGGACGTGATTCTAATAAAGTACACTTAACTTTATCGGTACTTTACATAGTTAGCTCGCTTCTTCTGGAAAGTAATTAATAGAGTTTAAAAGAGGTTACCAAATCAAATGAAAAAGAATTCAGAAATAATTCAGTTGCGCAAAGTAATGTTACTCTTTTCACCTTATGATAGTTTAAATCTTCAAAGACATACCAATAATTTCTACAAAAGACCACAATGGTCTGTGCTATTTTTGAAGTATTCGTGCTGAGAAATTTGATTAGACAGCCCTAGGGTCACAGGGAAATACACAAAAATAACCCAGCTTATCTGCCCGACTGAATATCAATTTTGGTCAACAGCCTTGGCTATTTTTTTGCAAAGTTATTTGAAGTGAAGATAATTGGAGTAAGCGATGTGGTAGCACTGCTTATGTGACGAGTGAAGTGATTGGTTGAGAAGTTTGTTAGTTGCATTGAAGGTTGAAGGTTATTCGGGCTGACTTCACGCACACGTGCCATCCATGTGACACGGATTACCAACTATTAAGACCTACGAATCTTTGGGCAGGCTTTGGTCATGCAAGTAAGTGAACGTTAAATAATGAGACGGAATAAATTCGTTGGTCGCTCCAAATGATTTGGTGGAAAATCTTGAACCCAAAAGTTCAGCTTAAACACCAGCTGTCCTGTGTCGTTCTGGACCCCTGTAGTCGAGTACTTGTAGCCTATGTAGTGGTACCATTAATTGTGCTTGCAGTTCTAAGATGTCAAAACGTTCCTGAATTATTCCCTCAAGGGCAATATTTGCCAGTTATCATATTGTAAATAGTAACCCAGACTATGAATTTAAAAACATCTGTCGATTCAATTGAAAGCTAGCTTGAATGAATTTTTTTTCCTTTCTTAAAAACAATGGTGATAAAAGGTGGTCCTCCACCCAATTTGGGTCTCTACGATAAACTCTTTGCCACGCGCTTGTTCACAAGAAGGTCAAAAGCAGCAATTTGTCTGTCGCATAATGACAAAGAGGTGAAAGCGCTTTTGTGTACCAAAAGACTGTTACTACTGGACTTGCCTCAAAGCTGACTGGAAAGCCTCAATAACAAGTCTATTTGAAGTCAATAAAGTTGTTTCCTTGTTGAAGCACTGCAAGGGTGGGCCGCAGGGAATATAAAGGCGCAAAGAGGGTCATTAGCTAAACACTAGATAAGCCGGAAAGATCATTCTAGAACGAAAGCATCAATAGATAACCTTTACTCTTTCCAAAAAAGATTTCTGAAATGTGTCTGCAATTTTAAGTTTGGTTCGAGTCACGGTGACATCTAGATCTGTTGCTTCGAAACGTCTTCATTTAGGAAATAATTTGGCAAATGTTAAGGAAAAACTGGTTTATTTGTGACTGACGTTTTTCGTACTTGGGTGGGTTTTACTGGCACAATGCATTCTAGATATCTCTTTTTCTTCCAATAATCATCAAAATGAATTAATTGACTTGACTGTTGAGCTATCTGTTATTGTGCAGAAGGACAAAACAAAAATCAATGATCCAAGCATGATAGTTAACGTTAACCCTGCACTTTCAATTGTTATCGAGTTTCCCATTACCGGACGTGTTTCGATTGTCTACATACAGCCTCCAATATTGAGTCATTGAGGCTCTATTCTTTAATTTGTAGACAGTCGAGTGCCGTCACATCTATCGCTTCATATTTAATATCCTCATGGGCAAGCGGAGACTACCCAGTTATTAAAATCATTTAAAAATATATGCTAGCAACAACTTTGATGAATCAGAGTGCGCTAGGTAGCATCTGTAATCTTATAAGTTATGATTTGCTGAAACTATCAATTGTCTATGTCAGACAAGTAATTGCTTCTTCTCATGTAAGTTAAATTCAAGCTGGCTACTCCTGCCTGGCTGCAATCCCTCTACCGCGCTTTAAGGTGTCAACCATGCATTAAAAACTCTACTTGACCCTCGTGATTTCATGCTTCATGTTTGCAAGGCTACCAGAGGAACTGAGCCGAGCAAAGTTTGGAAAGAGTGAAAGTCCTTTTCAATTAAAAAAAAAAAAGGACATCCGGCTCGACCCATGCAATTTAACCAAGTTTCAATTCTATGCCCGACGTGATACAACGGCTATTTTTGTTAATTTGTAGGTCTATGATATTTTTAACCTTGATTATGTAATGTTAAGCACTTCAACTAGATTTGGGTGTGGTCGTAATTTGAGGCCCTTACAAATGTACGTACTCGTCATTGAGCATTGTGAAGTAGGAGTTTTTCATAAGTTTAAAAACAAGTCCTTATAGCTTTTAATTATTAGTTCTCGTCGCCGGGCCTTGATATAAAATCGTCCGAACCTGAAAACGACTTGAAGGTGCTTGGTTCTCACGCTCCACTAGGGTCGTTAGCGTTTCACTGTGATCTAAAATTCAGGAACATGATATTGTCTTTGTCTTAAAACTCAAACTCTGCCGCAAAAATTTCAGTTTCCAGTTACAAGTGATTGATAGCTTTTTGTTTGGGCCTAAGGCAGTAGGATGTTTTCTTTCAGGTCCCTTCAAATTTTGCTTTTCTTTGTCCTTTTTCTGTTTCTCTTTGCACACTATACCTTGTCATACAATTACTTTTCACCTTTACTGCGTGATATTTTATATAAAAAATGACCTCGGATCTTGTACAGAAGAAATTGCAGACTTAAAAAAATGACTAATAGTTAATTAGAAAGTCTGTAACCTTTGGAACAATGGCACTATAACGCAATGCAAAAGTATTTTTTTCCCATGATCGGAATAAAAAGGGCTATTTTGGGATCTACCTTGCACCAAAGCACTGCATGTTCAACATTTATAGTCACCTGAGTCAAAAAATAGAATGTTACTCTCAGCGGGGTTCTTTCCATTTTGTAAATGAGCAACAAAGTTAATTGAATTTTCAGTGTAAAATAATAACGACCTAATAATACAATGGACCCATGTCTAAACTGCGAGCAAGAATCGAGGCTCGGCAAGATGGGGGACTGGAGATAGCGAAAGGAAATGGAAACTGGAGAGAGTTTATCGTCGCAATTTTTTTTGCGTTTGTCTCGATGGACGTCCTCCCGCGGGCAACCATCCTGAGGGTCTTCGCCTAGTATAAAGCGTGTTATAATGAAAAGCCAAGGCAGAGGAAAAATCGTTCGCCGCTATCAGCGAAGGTACGTCATAATTCTCTTAAGCTCGCTCACACCTGTCACTAGCTACGAGTCACCAAATTATGAGTGCATGCAAGACAACCTTCACACTTGGCGCCCTGGAACAGTGGCCCAGTACGGTAATACCATTTTATGCTGTTTCCCAGTCACTAGTACTGGTGCGCCAGGGAGTTTAAGCAGCGACGTTTTTTAGCGACGCAAGTTGACAGGAAGTGTACTTTTTGAACTCTTGAGCCGTGATCTTGCGCACATTTTCGGGCAGATCGTCTCTAGAAGAGTAAACACAGTTATCAATTAAAATTTGGTACCGTCAAGGCGTATTATAAGAGAAAAAGGCTCACTTCCGGTTGACGTACGTCGCTCAAAAACGTCGTTGCTTAAAGCTTCTCTCCCAGAGTAAATAGGGAGCTGAAGCAACTACGACGACGACCACAACGACGACTTCAAAAAAGCAATAAGTTTAATGATCAAAACAACAGCTCTGCACGTGCATCACGCTTTTTAGTACATTTCTTTGACGTCCCCTGCACGATTACGAAGTGAAACCTCCTAATTTGATGTTTTATAGAGGACGTGGACAAACGACGACGAATTTCCCTTCATCTTTTTGAACCTGAATGAAATCCTTAAGAATATAACTCCCGGAAAAGTCGCCTGCATTTGATATATTAAGCGGGTCCAAATAGACACGATTAAGTTTGAAAGAACGCAAATTCATTTTTTTACCGAAGTTTTCACTGCCGTCGTCGTCGTCCTTGCTTCAGGTCCCTAATGACCAAGTCCTTCTTTCTAACTCTCCAGTCTGTAATAAATCCGATCATGTGACCATTTAAATGACACACCTCTTCGGCATTACTTTGACATTGTCCACTTAGTTTTAAGTGTTCATCTCGTTAGTATAGGTAATAGCACGATTTGTTGTGATAGTTGGCATAAATACCACGAGTGATATTTCGAAATTGATATACGTAATTTCAAGAGACGTTTAGGCTAGTGAAATTTGAGACAATTTTGAATTTAGCACGAGTGGTATTTATGGCAAATATCACGTATCATGCTATTATTTGTTTATACTACTACCTGCAAAAGGTTTGTAATTTCCACATGTAGGTATTTCAAATTAAGCTGAAAACGTTTTTATGTAGTAGTATTAAATTTGGAATTTTGTCAATTTTGGCATTGGCCACCCGTGGAAGTGAATTAAGGTTAAGATCTCTGGGGATGATCTGTATTTTTTTTAAACCGTCGACGATTATTTTTCTGGAACAACCGGCGGAAAGCTTTTTTTGGTTGGCTTATCGGTGAATTGAAAAGCTTTAAAAGTAGCTGACTTGCTAAAGTTAAAGAGATTTGGAATCTCAGATCTGTTTAATAAACTGTTCCATATCTTCTCTTACGAGGATTTCGCTCAGGACCGCGACAATTTTTCTCTCTTAATGGGCTCCTAGCTTATTAGATTACGTAGACACCTTCTTCTTCTTCTTCTTCCTCTTTTTTTTTCCAGAAAGCTAAACGATTTTCATACAGCAGTAGTTTTTGTCTATTTTTTATTTGTTTTTATATAATTATTTGTTTGTTTTTCAAGAACATTTATCCGTTTCTGATTGGTTTAAATCCTATTGCTAATTCTTCATAACCAGCTCAGTCGCGTTGACCAGATTTGAACGATGTTTGCCCATATAAATACACTAGACGTCAATTGTACTGATAACCGATCCTGTAATTCTTCATATCAGCGATAGCCGTGTACAATAATTGCCAAATATCAGTTGACACAGAGAACATTTTTCTTAAGTGGACGAAAGGAACCCGGAAAATGATGCTCTATTAGATTGTTTTGCCAATTTCCTACTGAATATTTGCCATCAAGTTCTAAAACTATTTTTCAAGTTCAGGTATTCAGGAATGCTATCTCGATATATTTTACTTTTTATCAGGACGCGTTATCAAAAAGATGAAACTGGGGGCCAGATTGAACTAAGCCAAATATGACCTGACGTAACCTGAATATTTTTTTCGCAGTTGAGTCTAACCAGTACAACACAAATGGAATATTTTCAACGCATTTGGAGCTAGTCAGCAAATCTGTGCTACTCAGTACAGTGCATATTTTCAGCACAATTAAAGGGACTGTGTCACTGCAGTCCAGTTCATTTTGTTTAATTTTGCAAATTACTCGCCCTGAATGGCTATGGAACTTAAAGTAGGCAAAAAAATCACACGTAAATGACAAAATCAGAGATCCGAGACAAATATGTCTCCTGAGCATTATGTTTGAAGTTGCAAGCAGCAGGGATCAACTTTGAAAAACTGTTAGGCTGAACAGTTTTCAAAAATCCTATTTTTCAATCGGTGTCAATCTTCTTCAGTTTTGCCCATCCGTGGCATCTGTTGTTTCTGTTATGTTATTTTAACCTTCTTTTAAAGTTTTGAGCGGTTATTTTTATGTTTCTCTTAATCTAATGGGCATTTTGTAATTTCTTAATTTGGCTGAATTTTGTGACACAGCTCCTTTAAAAGGAAGCATAAATAAGGAATCCGGTCCGCATGAAGCTCATAATAAAGAACAATTTACTAATTTCGTTTATCGTGATTTACATTGATGTAATATGTTAGTATTGTATAGCTCTGAGGACAATTAATGGATTGGCTCTATGTAAATAAAATTGTTGTTTCTATTTAAAAGAGTAAAGAATGAAATCCTTTTGCTGCTTTGAGTATGTAAAAACTATATGACCAAAATAGGAAAATGATTCACAAAATCCTGAATTTAGAAATAGGCAGATTATTAAAGATTGTGTTAAGATGTTCAAAATACTTGAATGCTTATTCCATATCGATCCATATGTGATTCGTAACGAACTCTTGAGGTACAAAAAAACTCGCGTAAATACTTGAAAGAGCGCCGTCCCAAACAAGCGCTGCATAGTAAAGCAAGAGAATGGATCGATTAAATTACTTTTAACTCTACGTGTACTTTGCTATCGATCAGTCCTGTAAGTAAGTGCACCAAATACAATCATGTTAGAGAATGACAAAAGCGGACCTTTTAAGTGGGTTTCGGTGGACCAGATTGATAGATAGGAGACGTCTGAAAAAAAAATCTAGTCGGATATCGCAATGAGTGTCCAATGTTTTGACATTATTCCACGGAGACCGTCACAGACCTTTTGTAACAACGGAAATTTATTCATTTTTAAGGGACACTAGATCAGACTCATTTTACACCTTTTCAAGAGTAAAGTTGCAAAGTTCTGCCTGCTTGTCATTTATTAAACTAACTCTGACGTGCAGCAATTCATATAACTGCTGTCAAAGGACGGTTTGTTTTGTAAACAGCCACAGATCCAAAGACAATGCAGGAGACTGTTGCGTAATAAGTCAAATTTTTTAGTTGTTAAATACAACTTGGGCTATACAAGCTCAGAGTATTCTTGAAATTTCACTGATCAATGCTATTCTTAGATTTTCTTAATTTAGGCCTGGTTTTCGGCGTTTTTGAATAGTCTGAACAGTTCTTTAGGTCATTAATTGCCCCTCCGTCGCATCAAGTTAGTTTCAATTGATAGTTTGGTCGGGTTTTTTTTAACTCAGCTCATTCAGTATTTTCTTAAAAGCTCTAATTTCAGTTTACAGGCATTTCTTACAAAAAGATTTAGCCCTCTCTTAACTGATCGGAACATTTTAACAGATTAACTTCTAAGCAGACGGCAAAGATTTCAACCACTGAAATGCAGTCGATATTAATATTAAATTAGTTAATAAACCAATGAAAGCAACTGGAAAGCCTTTGTGCCGTTTTTCAGAGAAAAACGAAGCCGTTTTTTTCCTTAACTTATCATCTACTGATTGCAACTCGTACTTATATGATTTTTTTTATATGAGTTTCCCGATACAAAAATGCATAAATGTCCGCCTGAAACAGGTACAAAATGGTTGGATTCGTAAAACAGTGAGGCCGAGGAAAATAATACTATATAGGAAATACGCGAAAGAAATGTTCCACTAAAAATATTAAGCAAGCTCTTACCTACGACAGGTAAACCCCAGGGACCAGGAGGAAGCTTGGGAAAGAAATGCTTCCGAGCTGCTTTTCCAGAGAGGAGCACGCAAATCAGCAGACAAAGAAACAAAAGCACTGGTTCAAAAGAAGAAACATCAACAAGAGACAAAGAGCTCATGTTGATCATTTGGAGGGCAGAGCCTAGCTTAGAAACTTCCCCTCGTTCACGAGAACCTCTTGCTGTTTTTCGATCAAGTTTCAAATGGTCTCAAATTGGCTTACGGAAAATAATTATCATGCAGACAATTTTTTTACATCTCAGTGAAACGGCTCTATGTGTCTCAGTAAAAACCGTAGAAATTTTATGCGGTAATTATTCCAGGGGTGATACCTCAGTATAATCTCATTGGCTAGACTTGAGGGCTGAAGGGCGTAATTACTGAGGGCCTTAAACATTGGTGTATTTCCTTTATAATTATGAATCCACAGGCATCCCAAGGTCACACCTACATGCAGAGTACACGTGGCGCATAAATTACGGGTCTCCTGTTCGGCGCTGTGCATAATAATGCCAGTTAGATACAAAATGGTTAGTTTTTCGTCATTATTGCCCTTGGGCTGGTTTGGAAAGCTTTTTGGGCAGGCAATCTCGTTATTTTGGCTCTTAATGATGGTAAACTTAGGTAAAAGGCTAGCAAAACTCCACATTGCATCTCATTGTGAGGTCAATGGGCCAAGGCAAGGTCGCTTTGAATTTTCTTTTGTGAGAACGAAATCCGTTTTTGTTTGTTAATCCCTTCAAAAAACTCTTTAAAACAAAATTGGTCTTCTGTTCCTGTTATGGACTTCAATTGAACCACAATGGTCCTTGCGCGTTTAAAAGACCCATCTACAGAATACGTGGAGGAGATGTGTTGGACAATCCTCAACCAATTAATGGGTCTCTCTTAGCTCAGAGATCTGGTGGTTAGTTTGAGGGGTACGCGTCGAGCGATAGGCGAACTGGCCAGAGAATGCTTGTACAAAATCAATCGAGGCGGTAGAAAGACCGCAGGTATGGTTAAATGTTTGCTCATTTTACCAATACATTCACAATGAAGTCCTTAAGATGGCGTAGTTAAAATTAAAAGATCCAATAACGTTTCTCATATTTACGTAGCCTGCGGGCAAGCTCTCCTATTTGGACGGGCCTCGCGAGAACGTGCGAGCGAGGGGCCGAGGAAAGGAGATTTTTCAGCCAATGGTATTTCCCTTCGTGTGAACGAAGTACAAATGAAATTTTATGAGAGATCGTTGCAAGCCCTCCTTTCCTCTGCCCCTCGCGGCTTCGCCGCTCGTTCGCGCGTTCTCGCGAGTCTCGTTTCGCTCGCAGGCTAATATTTACGAGACCTGCATCATCTGCCTAGTTGCAGAGCCAGCCTCTTTGTTGAGCTATTCATCAAAAAATCTAGACAATTAGGCGGGTTAGAGCAAATAAAGTGTAAGCTCGAGTAAGGCCACAATGCCGTCTTTTCTTCCACTAATTAGCATCCATACCTTTTCAAATATGGAATAAAGAATTTTAAAAGACAGCTTAATGACAGCTTAATGAATAAAGGTCAATGAAGTCTTTTTGTCGGATTCTGAAAGTGTTCTAATTTTACCCTATCATACAAGTTTATAATGTACCTAATCTTTTTTATTGTCATGTCTTGTTCTACGTTATGGAACAACTAAGCAGTGAACAGAAAAGAAACTTCGAAAACAATTTCACAAGGGGACCGTAACACTGAAAAATAAAGAAATATAAGACTCGATGATTCTAGAACTCTTTTCTAATTCAATATTTGTAAAGACATCTTATCCTTAGTAAACAATTTCTCCCAGGCGGAAAAGCTCAGAAGTGACAATGCACTTAGCACTGTAAACACAATAGACTGAAACATATTTCGCAATAATGCTAAACTTTACCTTGTAATGAATACCTCCGTTCGAGAACAATCTTTCTAGAGTGGCAGGCTGATGTACTCACGCTCTAATTTACTGCCAACCACAACACTCTTCAAAGAGATTAATAGGGAAATAATGTGTCAGGGGAATAATGTCTTGACGATACCAAATTTGCCATGCTAATATATTGACTCTTGGAGACGATTTGCTTGAAAATTTGTAGTCTGCTATTTAAGTGTAGTCACTTAACGCTCCTCCCCCCAAAAATTTGGGCAAAAGGGTTCATTAAACATTTACAAATTTTGTTTGAAGACTCTAAGCGGTTAAAACCACCATTATATACATTTATAAACTAAGGTAATTTCTGTTACTGATAACGATTCACCTCAGCAAAACCTCCAAAATTTTGGGAAGTTTTGCTAGGGTTTTCCTTAGTTGGTCTCCCTAGCGTCTTAACTTAATTTCCAAACCCGAATGGATTGTGGAAAACTTTCACTGGATGGTCATGAGACTCGTGAGAATCGAACGATCGTTGAATCAGCCCAGTAGCGTAGGCCCTTAGTTTTCTAGTCGGGCGGGTTAGTTCATCTTTTTAGGAATATCATAAGGGGTCAGAGAAAAAGACAGTTAGAATTAGGTAACTCTGTATTCACCTGATCTTTAGGTCAGCTTCTCGAGCGTTAGAAGCTTTAGAGAAAGATAATCCGGACACATCAGACCAAAACTTCAAGGCTTTCTCGAACACGCTGTCCTGCGTGGAGTGAGGTAAATCAGCCCCATGTTCAACAAAGTACTTTAGTTGCTCCTTGCTCCACTTGGACCCAGTCTTGTACCTCTTCGCTCGACCGTCCTCATCAACATCAGGCATTCCACAACGGGGTTTTTTCATCTGTTTGATGGTGGCGTCATCTAGTTCTCCAGTCACAGGAAGACCAGCAAAGGTGGCTGTCTTTACATTATGATTTCCCGAACGGGCTGGGGATACGTAATGGTACTGGCTCAAGTATTTCTGCCAGTAAAATAAGAATTTGAAAGTACGTATGAATTTGAAATGTCAGGTATAGTGCTTAGTATTGGCTCAAACAATCTGGTCTAATAAAGTCGACCTGATGACCCTCAAAAAAGGTGCATAATATTGAATTGATCTTGTTGAGAAATTGCATTTTTAAATCATTCCTAAAGTATTGATCAAGGAAGAATCTTTGACAAACGTGGGCGACTCAGTTAAGACCCCAGTTAAGCCAAGTTACCGCTAAACTAAAGTTTCAATATCACCCTGTGGTTAAACCCTATTGCGGTCGATTGGTAAAATTGTATAGTTTGAAAGTGATTTGTTGAAAACTGACGAAGATTTAGCTCCTTTAAGTCGCGAAATTTTACAGACCTTCGTGTGGTGGTGGGCAAAAACGTGTCCCCCCCCACAAACGCCTGTAAATTTTTGCAGCTTTGCGGAGCTATATCTGCGCTCGCTTAAGACATATCACTTTCAAATTTGGCAGTTCTACTAATCTTAAGGCGCTCTTTCCAGTGGTGTGGAAGGATTTTCCCTAACTTGTCCATGTCAAAAATTGAAACAACCGTGAAAACGTCTATTATTTCCGCCAACTGGACACAAAATCACGATTTCCCAATTTGGTACAACTGTGGCTTAAAGCATCACTGTAAAGCCTGATCTACTAAATAAAAAACAGTCGTCCTAAACTTCTGTCATATGATTTCATAATGTCTCTGTAAACTTTTATCTAATTCGCCTCCAAAACAGTCGAGATATAAGCGTTTTAAAAGATGGAGCACAAGGAAAGTTTTGCCTTATGAATTTATTCATAGATAGGTGTCCCAACTGCGCAAATACCGTGCACTGATAATTGAGCTTAAAAGAAATAAAACTTAAGAAAGTCCACAAACTGATTCCCTATAATCATTTTGCATTGCCTCAGAGTCTTCTTTAAACATTTGCTGCCAATTGTTATACTTGAAACATGATATGTCAGTTTTTATATTTCATTAAATGGAATGGAATGGTATTCGTGTTTTACTAAGATCGCTAGATATATTGAATGTTGTCAATGAATGTTAATAGGTCTTAATACAGAACGTTTATACCAATAATTGCACTCAAAAGGGATAATTAGAGAGAAAAGAGAATTCTAAAAAGACCCTTACCAAAGCCATAGTTTTGTCATCGTCTTCAGCAAAGACGAATGTAAGAGACAGAAAGACAGCGAATAAAACAGAAAAGAGCGTCATCTTGAAAGCCACAATAAAAACCAAGTAGAATCGCATTCTTTTATAGGAGATAATATTTGTCTTTTACACACCATATGTACCAGATGACCAGTCATCTGACAGGTGAAATTTTATGAGAAAGTGGTCAACAAACAGAAACTGTTGTTATCTCGAAAATGCCTTTCAGTATTGTTTAGATTTGACGCCTTTGTGGCCTCTTTCGCTCTTTCAATGGTCGTTGAAACAACTGCCAAAGTTTAAACTGAAACAACAAGCCGGTGGCTGCAAGTAATAGGATGAAGCCCTGTAACATCTTATTTTTCGGCGCGGCTTTCGAAGTTTTATTTAGTCGTCAGCTTGCTTTGCATGAATACATTTTAAATCTTTATTTTGACTTTTTTTTTGTTTTTTGTTTCTGGATGTTTTGTAGATAATTTTTGAAATTTATTTCAACTTCTAGATTGGTTAACTTAGCGAGGTTGGCTGACCAAAAAAACTCGTCAATTAACATTTCAGTTGATATTTAAAATCTTCTTTTGATGTTGCAAATGGTGTGATCACAGTGAACTATAATAGCTACAATTCTAGCAAACGAAAAACACCCAGAATTTTGCGCATCTGTTGTGTTTTCTAGTGAATGCCGACGAGTGTTTCGAACTTTAGGTAAACCTAAAGGATTGGCCAACATTTGCGGCAATTTGAGACAAAGAACCGAAGATAATTTTCGTTTTGGCTGGTCGGTAAAATTCGCCGTGTAATAAAAGAAAAGCTATAAGTGTAGTAAACTCAGCTACTAAACTTTTTCAGTCATTTTCTGGAGTCAAAAGAATGATTCAACAATTTTTGCGCAATTTGGTGCGTTAAAAATTAGGTAAAGTTTAATTAACAATTAATTAATGAGGCTGAGAGTCTTATGAAGAATTATGGAGATCTCGGAGGGTGTTATCCGTCGAGGCCGTAGGTCGCGGCGGATAACACCCGATGGCTGCCCCTTTTTACGAGATAAGACTCCATAACGCTCTGTTAAAACTTTTATTTAAGAAGGCATATGATTTTACCGGGTAATTTTACTGGTTTGTAATTTAGTTATTAATAATATTGTAATGCGAAAGCCGAATTCATTAATTGTTTTATTATTCATTCAAAATAATTCCTAGTTTAAAACATAGCCAAAACATGCTCACCTGCATCGATGTTAAGGTTCCTTTAGAGTTGTCTTCTTGCTGTTCCTGCCATGTTTTTAGCTATTATTTCGCCTAATTCTTACCCTTGAAACGAGTGAAATGTCCGCCATTTTTGTTTCCACAACCAAAACAACTCAACCTCGTCCCCAGGTCTTCTCGGTTAACGGTGCATTAAAATGCAAGAAGGGTGCACTTTTGACGTCATCGGTTTATCAATCACAAAATTCTTCCAAATTTGGTCACCAGTAGCTGGTTTATGGTGAATTATGCGTGTGCTTTTAGCCACTCACAATCGGGGAAATATTTTGAATGAATAATAATACATGTTCTAACGCCTCTGAAAACGTACTTAATGCTGTATATTTTTAAACAACAAGTCAGGGCAGTTTTTGGCTGACATTCGGTTTAAGCACCTGCAATAAAACAAACTGAGAAACGTCAACATAATGGAGCGTAGAAAAGTTAATAAACAAAATATAAAAGGTACATTAAACAATTATACGTGCCATACACCGAGGTATAAACCATATTTTTGTTCTCTTTCTCCGAAGTAAATAGTAACAATTACACCAACAGTACAAAACTGTTGTGTTGGGAAGGCAACAGTAAAGACTCAAAAGACAAGACGTAGAGCTTAAGCTTACATGTTATCTCAAAATGTAAGCCTATATGTATACATGTGAAGTTGTGTTGTAGTCTATATTTTACGGGATTGTTTTTGAAGACGTTATCGCTTCTTTTCTTTGCAATCTTAATTCACTATAGTATACGCACCTGTTAGTTACACTGCGCCAAAGAGAGGCACAGAAACCTATCCGACACGTCACTCTCCACTTCCAAGATTGGTGCATAGCAGCTTCTCTCCGTTACAGAAACCGCGCCAAAATCTGCAAAATCACTGTCAGATCTCATGCGTGAACAGAAACCCTACCCCATATGGTTTACGTGCCGGCCCAAGAGCTATCTGATTTGGTGTAGAAACAGGGGCGGATCCAGGATTTGTTTTAGGAGTGTGTGCACTCGTCTCTTGCTCTACTTCAACACCAATAAACCACATAGTTTTTTTTTTTTTTGCAGAATGCCAATTGTATTAGAAAACCGTAGGTCATCTCAGGGGGGGGGGCGCACCCCCTGCACCCTCCCCCAAGATCCGCCCCTGAGAAACATTACCAGACGAAAAAATGGATATGCACAAATTTGCTCTCGGCAAATCTGTCACAAAATTGAAAACGCCGAGGAGTGAATCAAGGGCAAAGATGGTAGATGACACATTGCTTCCTTATTTACAACCCCGTAGTGTTTTTTGGTATGCAAATGTGAGATTTACCTTCTTTGCCTCAGTTTTACATCTTAGTGTTTACATTTGTACGACATATTTGCAAGGAGGAAATTTGAAATCCATTTTTTTCGTCCAAAGCCTTGTTGGCTAGATGCCTTGCAAGCCCTATCAAAGCTTCTCGTCCAATAATTGCTTCCTACTTAGAATATCGGCTCAAGTGGATCTTTTCGTCTCAAAAGGTTTTTTCTAGGAGAAGTAATCATGTTTACTTCACCTTTCAAAATATTTGCGTTCTCTAAAAATAGAATTAAAAAAAAAAGAATGAGCAACCGCTCAAGTTCGGAACACTATGATCTGAAGCAGAAAATTTCATATTTCGTATAATGTCTTGTTTTCAATACTCCACTTATTTTCTGTATTTGAAGATATTACGGTTACCATGGCTTTTTTAACTAGCCTACAATTTGTCATCTTTGTGACTATCACCACCGTGTTTGCTTAAAAAAAAGTGAAATAGCAAATATTCACGTCTTATTTTTTTGTTCGGCTTATAGAACTTACTTCTTTCTTTGACGTCCTCGTTGATGTCTGTCGTCTTGCTCGCTTGAATTTAGTGTACTTAATAATCTCATTATAGCAATACTCAAGTCATAGTTGCAGATAATGAAAAACGGTATTTTCGGGAAACCGCCTGAACGACGTTGACTCAAAATCTTGATGTTTCTGATATGAGAAAGAATAAGCCAATTGACCTTTTACTACAAATACAGAATCAATCCATTGAAAGGCAACACTGAAATTACCTTATTTGCTTCTCCAAAGATGTAAACAACAATATACCCTGTAATCACGTTTGTTCAAGTATTCAAGAAGACTTTATTATCATGTTCACTTATTTAATACATTCTCTTTACGGGTTTATTAATGGCAACATAGAACTACCATCAAGAACGGACTGAAAGCTTTCCTTTCAATCTCCTGCTAGCAGCAAGTGTTTAAGGCCAGCAACTGCGGACTGGAAACCCGCGTTGTAGTCAGTAGCCACCTCGTTCTTGATAAAATCCTTTCTGTTGTCCACGTACTCGTCGTTCTTGCCCGGGCCTCCGACTAGCGCGCCATACAAAGTCTGCGGATTGGGAGCTGGGCTATTGAAGTTGTCCCATGTGCAAGGGGCTGGGGAGAGAGGACATGAACTGCTGCGGTGATGTGGTCTCTCTGGTGGATTGTTACCGAAGCCCACCATGAAACTGCGCCCACTGTCACCCAACATATAGTGAATTTGCTTCCTGGCAAACTCACGGAATGCGGCAGTTTTAATGCCATTGTCAGCGGCGACCAGTGCTAGGAAAGCTGTGTTGGCCGCGTAACGGTTTGGACCCCATTGATCGCGCCACGCAAGGCCCTTTGGTGTGTAATGAACCTCGTGATTTGGAAGCCCACTTGTTATGAAGGTGTCCACGGCCTGTTTGTATGAAGCTTTCTGTGTGATTTCTGCCAAAAGGAGCTGCACTCCGGCTTTCTTGTCATCCCAAGAAAATGTCCAGGGTTTTCCACCCATTCCAAAACTTGAGTAATATTGTTCTGCTTTCGTGAGGTACTTTGCATCATTAGTAGCTCTGGATTTCAATTTAAGAAGCATAAGTTGCTAACAGTAGAGGGGGTTACTTTTTCTAATACGTAAAAGGGTCTTAGCTTTTGCTCCTTAGATATCTGGTACAGGTCAAAGTGATAAAAGTGTTTGAAACAGGACCCCTATTCCTTGGCACTTGGCTATATCTGATAACTGTTGCATTGTATGTTTTTTTTTGTGGGGTAATTTATTTAGGGCCTCGTTATGTTATCGTTTCATTATAAAGGGTCGGGCTACATACCAGTAACATCAGGTGACCACTGCTGTTTAAATTAAAAATATTTCGCCTTTACCATTTTTTAATGATATATGCATATGCTTTCGACAGACACTGTAACCTTGATCTTTTATATAACTTTTTGAAAATGAGCAGGGAAAAGAAACTTTTCAAAGCATTATTTGTGTCTGGGGATAGCCAATATCAGTCCGAATAAGAGGGAGGGCGGTAAAAATACTAGAAACGAAGGAAAAAACATCAAGCTCAGAATCACGTCCCAGTTGTTTTGAAAATATATTTGTGGATAACGCTATCCACTGGATAACGCAATTGGTTTCCCTAATACGTTTCCACTGGACAGTGATTTATCGGGTGAATAACCTGACTGTCCATCGTTTGAACAACTGGGGACAGATGTTTAAGTGCTACGATAGTGGACGACTAATCACGTCAAGGCTTGTCTTTATCTTTAAATCTGAAGAGAAATATTGTATTTTACGTTGACCTGAAGGCTTACCTGTACAACCAAGCAGCTGCCCAAACGAGTTCGTCCTTGTAACCACTGAACGAGCGGTAGAAACTGGCAGCATTTGGAATGGAGTCACTGTACACTCCGCGATTGGTATCAGCAAAGTCGTACAAATCTGCAGCGTGTTGTAGAAGATTCATGGAATATCCGATATTTGTAGATCGAAAGGCAATAGAGGCTGCCGCCATGGCAGCAGCCGTTTCCGCAGCCAGCTCCGAGCCTGGTTTCTGTGGAGTGATTTTGAAGGCGGGTCGAGCCATAGTCATATCCTCGGGTCTGCCCCAGTAAGCGTGGTCAGCATTTCCATCACCAACCTGATTACAGAAGCAGTTAAATTAATGCTTCAAATTAGCCTGGCATCAGTGGCGCCTTCCTTCTTTTTCACACGAACAACGTTCCATTGTAAAATAATATGACTAACTACGTTAGATTTTAAATTCTGCGATTCTTGCATTTAAGGCATCAAAACGTCTTGCCCCTTATATATATAATATCGAAAGCCTATTGACCAAATTCACATCTATTCGAACAATCTAATGTCAGCTTAAGGCTTGCTTACACAGGTTTAAAGTGAACAAGCAAATAAGTCAGTACAGGGTGTTTCAAAAGTTCGTTCCGATTGTAAATTGTATTTTGAGCAAAGCATTTGATACTTCTTTCGGCAAATGTAAACTGATTCAGGTAAGAAATTTATCTAAATAACCGTTCAAAGCAATTTCAAACTAAAATTTGAAGAAATTATAATTTTTTTTTATTTTTGTCCGAACTGTACACGTACGCAAGGTTTTTCCCGCCATACTTTTCCTGCCATTTCGTAGGTTTTCTATTTTGGTGTTCTTATCGTTTTCTTTTATTTTCTCTATTCCTTCATGAAAATGAAGGCCTACACTGTTCAGTGCTAGAGATCAGGCATCTATTTTTATGGTCCTCTGGCCATTCAGTCGAAAAAAAAAAAAGCCAATTCAAATTGTTGAAGAAGTCTGAACGATGACCGAAGAAGTGGACAAAAGTAAAGACCTTAGAAAACAAACCAAGCATGAGTGGATGGCCGTTTTTTCTCAAAATGTATGAGAAATCTTATCGAAAAAGCTGTAAGTATATGCGTAATAATTCCTCAAAACAGGAAGGTAAAAAAATTTCAACTTCACATTATCAATCAAAGTTTCGGGCACAACGGTATGGGGATATGTTACCAAAAAAAGTTGGAGAGCCTTGAAGAGAAAAAAGCGGTGCACACTTTATGCAAGCATGGTGTCAGAAGGATTTGCCAACTTTATACCAAAGGAGGACCGGCCGGTAAACTCACCTGATGTGAACCCCCTAGAGACCATCTGGATTATCGTAGACGAGACAACATACAAAGATCCAGCCCCCAAAATACTGGATGAGCTAAGACAGTGACTACGCTTCGCCTGGAAGAATGTGGCTTTGGACACGCTTCGGTAGCTCGTACATTCTATACCTCACCGCTTAGAAATTGTCAGAAAACATACAGGAAGAAATTCTGGTTACTAATATTTTAGTTATTCAATGTTACATGAATAATGAATAACATACTAAGTTTTAGAAAAGGTATTTTTTAATAACTAGTGAAATTTAAGCGAATAAAAAATCGGAACGACCTTTTGAAACACCCTGTATATATTAAATAAACTCATTTATGCTTCGACGTAACAAATTATCAGCAAATATAGATATGACTATCATTTACGACCCACCTGACCATAGAACTCATTCTTTTTGGTGTGTGCTTTGATGAAGTAGTCCAAGGGCCATTTAATGCAGTCTAACATGTAATTAAGCTCACCAGCATCTTCGTAAGCATCCTTATACTCCACTAAGCCCCAAGATAACATGGTAACACTAAAAGCCATTGGAAAACCGAACTTTACATGATCTCCTGCATCGTACCACCCACCGGTCAGATCCTCACCGCTATCTCCGCGATCATTCAGCGCGGAGTCTTTCCTCCAAGGAACACGGTTGGAAGGGGGAAGCTTACCTGATCTCTGAGCTTCATAGAACAAAATGGAGTTGTGAAGGACTTCGTCATAGTTGTATAAAGGAGGAGAACTTGTGGTTGGTGACTCCGTGGTTGTAGGTGGTTCTGTAGTGGTTGGTGCCTCTGTGGTTGTTGGTGGCTCTGTGGTAGTGGGTGGCTCTGTTGTTGTTGGTGGTTCTGTTGTTGTTGGTGGCTCTGTGGTTGTTGGTGGTTCTGTTGTAGTCGGCGTTTCCGTGGTTGTTGGTGGCTCTGTGGTAGTCGGTGGCTCTGTAGTGGTTGGTGGTTCTGTGTTTGTGGGTGGCTCTGTGGTGGACGGTGATTCTGTGGTAGTGGGTGGCTCTGTGGTGGTTGGTGGCTCCGTGGTTGTTGATGGCTCTGTTGTAGTGGGTGACTCTGTTGTAGTTGGTGGCTCTGTTGTATTGGGTGGCTCTGTGGTTGTGGGTGGTTGAGTAGTAGTAGAAAGACATTCCCCTTCGCCTCCTCCAGCTTCCCAGTTTTCTTTACGACGAAATTCTATGTCAGCTTCTTTTGGTGCTTCAGAGTTCATTCTCTTCCTCCCTATGATAATCATCTCGAGCTTTGAACATCTGTCAATGAACGCGTTGTGTTGTCGATTTTCTAATATGTAGATCATGCGGTCCTTAGATCGCCACTTTCGTTTTGCTTTTGGCGTCTGCAACACCCTGACAGGTTTAGGAAAAGTTAGGGTCATTGTCCATCCACCTTCGACCTTTTGCTTCATAGTAATGCTGATATTCATTTTAAAGCCATTTGGCCACTCTTCAAACATAACTGCCTTGGATATTTCTTGCACGGGAGGGGTGGCTCCGGGAGGGTGGATCGTCGGGGGTGGAGTCATGTCACATTTGGCATTTCTTCCCGGGTGTAATTCCAGGGTAGCTGATGGAGCCGCTTCGTTGGCTTTCGCTTTTTCACCGATAAAATCCATTTCCAGCATTTGTCCAGCATTGAGGTTCGCATTGTACTGACGATTTCTCAGGCAAAAAACCTTGTTCTCTTTATCTGAAGAAATTTCTTCTGCATTCGGGAACTGCAGCCGACCAACTGATTTCGAAAACTTCAGCGTCATTTTCCAGCCGCCCCTTACTTCTTGTGTCATCACGTGCTTAAACTTCATTTTGAATCCGTTTGGCCACTGATGATCCAATTTCACTGTTATTTCCTCACCCAGTCCAAGCGTGAGAACGCTCAGCAGCGTAAAAAGCCCCTTCATGGCTTGTAACGTGTAAGTCTAGAGTTAGAAGAACGACAGATTCAGATTTCAAACAATAGACAGTTTAACCTAGAGCAGATTAGTAATCTAAGAAGTGGCTCACTTTTGAAGACCTCATTGGTGTTCAACAGAAAAGAGGGGACGAAAACATTGTAAGTTGCGAAAGGTTTCAATGGAATTCTATGCAAACTATGGATTTCTTAGCAGATTAGCTTAAGAGGTCGTAGTGCTCGTGTGCCGAACAAAAAGTGTCAGCAAGATTTACATAAGGCTTGCGTACTATGATTTCTTTAAGAAAACAAAGAAACAAAGGAGGTCTCATACCATTTGAAGATTGAAAACTGAAAAATGAGGTGATGTAGGAGAGTCTGTACAAAAAAATGTTTAGTAAAAGTTGAATTTAGCTGTGGGACAATCCTAGTCCCAAAAAGATGATCATATTTAAATGATTATATCAAACTGCTGCGTTTCTGTCGGAAGCATTGTATTGTAAAAGTACAATACTTCAGTTACATGTAGGATTCCTTAACAAAAGTTGCAATGTATTATCTGGTATTTGAAACAACATTTTGCCGTGGCCTAACTAAGAATAGTTACCTTCTGAAATGTAGAAGTTCTTCGACGATTTTCCCACACTTCCCGTATTTATGAAACAGAGTTCTTATTGTCCGTAAAACCACTGCAGATCAATTAGCAAGTGTGGGGCATATGGGGGAATACACTTTTAATACCAGTCTCTGTTTGAACAGGCGTAGCCCATGTCTGTTCTAGGAAACAATGAGTATTTGAATAAGAAAAATTGTGCTGATTGACGGAGCGGCAAGTATTGTCTTGGTCATAAAAACTGCTGTCTTCTCGCTTCGTTTTGTAAACTCTTGTGTTTCAAAAGGAATGAAAGAAAACCTTTAAACCGTTTGTCTTTTTTTCTTTTATTTCTATACGTCATTATGTTAACCACGTACGTTGTTCACAGTTTTTAAAGTACCTGCAATTAAAGAATTTTAGAGAGCTAATTTTTATATTATTGGGGAAAAAAACAATATTCTCTTTGTATTCTCTTTCATTCATCATATAATACCAACGTTAATCTGAGTCTTTTCAAGTTTCTGCTTAACTTAAGGTGTGTACATTAGATAAGTCCGTATTTTAATAACACGAACAAATTACTTTTTTCAAAAATCTACCAAGTTTTAAAAAGCTTCACTTTAAGCAATTATAATTATTGTTATTTGCCGTTACATTACTAAGTAAAGGAAGATCTCGGCACCAAGTATGTGCTAAGGACTATAAAGTAAACAGCATAACTATATTCTTATTCCGGGCAATAAGTTTTTTTTGTTATTTAAAAACAATAGTTTTAATAACTTAATACTATATTTCTCAACTCATGTAAGCTAGTGGCATGAAACTGATATTATAAGGCAGTTTGTCTTTGGACAAAATAAGGCCTATGGGAGCTTAAGCTCTTTCTGTAATGATTATTGCGACAAAATAGCCACTCCGGTATGCTTAAGGAGATCAGTGGAAATAATTCCTATTTTAATTTTCTGCTGATTCAAACAAGTGCTAAAGGAAGATCCGTTAGGTTCCTTACCTTGGACGCTGGTCTAATGAAAGTATAAGGAATAAAAACTAAAACTATCAGTTCCTTCGAAACCCTTCTGTCAAGTGTTTAGCAAATTAAGTTAACATAAATAGGTTGAGCGGCATGATCGTCCGGGTGAACGTAGTCCTGATTGTGTGTTGTTTACAGTGACTGACGTTTCGAGAACCTATGTAGTAGTCATCTTCAGAGTCCACGTCATTTGATGGTCTTAAACTCCCTGACTTGACCTTAGCCCATTTACAGACGAACATCAAGTCGAAAGTGACGCTGCGACATGTGTTACGTATTCTACAGACTACTATCAACGACTCATTTAAGATGGTTTTAACTTGGAAAAAACACCACTGAGTCGTAGTCACGACTCTTACCAGCACTGTACACACAACTTATTGACGGAATGAAACAAAACTAAATGGGCAACCGACAATCTGACTAACAATAAACGACTGTTAAACTGTGACTAGGGACAGATCGAGACACACCAATGACATGTCGAGTCTTCATAGCCAATGACATCAAGTGCCGCTTGATTCAAGTAAAATTCTACTTGATTCTTGTAAGTTTGAAGAAGTAAGATATATGACCATGTCACTAGGTCCCAGTATTTCTTCATTTATGACGCTATTAAAGATCTGCTTCTGTTTCAAATGTCACTTGTACGTCATTTTCCATTCCTTGAAAAAACTATCACTACATGACCCAGGATGTGCAGTTATGACTAACTAAGACGTTCTTCGTCTCAGATTCCAGCTCTGGGACAAAACGTGCATTACCAGTGAAACGATTAAGTGAAATAATACAGGTAAGGAAAAATTGAAATGTCCTGGAGAGCGAGAAGAAAGAAAGAACAATGAAAGAAGATAACGACAACGAAAACTAAGCGTTCTTGAACCATACGACGAAACTATGTTTTTATATGCACCTGGCCTTAGACGACTCGCTGTTTTTCAGATTGATTGCCTCGCTTGTCTTCGCCAGACTTTTCAACGGTCGTTTAACACCAGTGGTAAAACTTTCTTGAAGCTCAAACGTAACTATATAATTATACTGAGGAGGTAAGGGCGCGACTCCTAATGAAAGGCCCGCTAGCGTTAAAAATCCAGAGTTAAAACATACTTATTAACATAATTTTGTGCCACGATTTCATAACTCAGAATCACACAGTAAAGGTTCAACTTCATATTATAAGCTTCAGTTATGTTCCTAGACAAAGACTGAAAACCTTGACTTAACCCAGGCTTAATTTAAACCATCTTTCGAGTTACCAGGCCCCAGAGCTGGTCGTAGCCGGAAGTTCAGGGGAACTTCGATATATCGAGTTGTTTTCCATATGTTGTATTGTCACTGAGGTAAAAAAAAAAAACCCGTTCGTTATAGAGAGGCTCGTTTTATCGAGGTTCCACCGTATGTTTATACGGGTCCGCCAGTATTACCTCACGGCTCTGAAGATCATATACTTTTGATACAAAATTTGGATTTAGGATCGTTCACATTAAGACAAAAGCCAAAGAGGTTACATACGTTTTCTAATATAATGACTTGTGCGAACGCTTAACTCCAAGATTTAATCAGCCTACTTTTAAAACACTTTTTCTTGGTTCTGACAAGGTGAACTTAAAATGGTCGTTTAGAAAACTTATTCCTTCCTTATGGAATGAAACAATATAATTGACGCATGGAGCCATGTGCAAGCGCGAAAAAAATTTAAGACAGCATACACTAACATCGAATTTGTCAATTATTGCAAAATGATCAGTCAGTGAGGCCCAGTCTTTTCTAAGGTATCAGTTCAGCATGTCGGTGTGTCAATGAGAATAACGTCTTTCTTTCAGAGGACCAAAGGCTAATTTGAAACAAACTTGATGGTCTCTTTTTACTTATTGGCTACGGCCGGTAAGCAGCAGAAAAAAAAAACCAGTCCGATAGTGCATGCAATTGGACGCAACATCGACCCGGTCTCACACTCAATCTCAAGATGGTCAATAACCATAACGCATTAGCAATAACGCAATTAAAGTTGCCAGCTACTATTCCAAAACAAGCAAACAAGTAATAACACATGATAAATAAACAGGCATTTTGTTTAAAGCCGTTGAATTCCCATTAGTCTTACATCATATCGCATCACTGAGACTACACTGAGTTACATTTATTTTTTTCCTTTTTTCGCGAGACTTAAGACTCGGTAAGACCCAAGACCACACGGACTAGAGATTAGTGCTGTTCCCCGATTAAATCCGCACACCACCTCAGCCAACTCAAACAGGCCAACGCTAAAATATTAACACTAGAAGAAAAAAAAAAGGATTTGTAAGAATTTGCTGCTTGCAAATGTCACAAAAATGTGAAAACTGAAGAGTAAATAATTATGGAGCAAAGATGGTAAACGCCACATTTGCATACCAAAAGAAGGAGTGTAAATAACTAGCTATGGTAAATGTGGCATTTACTATCTTTGCCCCAGATTTACTCCTCATTTTTTTGCAATCTTGCGACATATTTGCAGGGACCAGACTTGTGCAAATCCATTTTTTTCGTCCAATGAAAGGTTCTTGTTAACCGTGATACATGTACATGCCTTAATTTTCAAGAAAAAGCACCGCAGCTCGTCAATGTTTGGACAAATATATCAGACAAGAATTTAGGGAAATTGCAGCCTGTTCAGAACTTTACTATGTTAATCGTCAGCGATGCAAACTGATGACACCTGAAGCCAGCTTCCAGGCGAAGAACCTTTTGATAATAAAACTATTAAATAGGTTCTGGAATACTTAGAACCTTCTTAAAAATTGAGCCATTCTTTTCAATTAAACGCATTGAATTATCGTAGCTGCCAAGAGTTTTACACTTTGCGTGTTTATTATTTACCTTCAAGACAAAACAGGAGGATGAGTTAGACAAAAAATGCACTCCGCAATTTAATGTCAAGAATCGAAGTTTTAACAATCTTTCTTTCCCTGATACAATTATCAGAAACTAATCTGAGAAGAAAACAACAAAGACAGCATCCATATTGGTTCTCACGCCAGCTGCCATTACTCCGTGCATGATATCATCATCTCCAAGGTAAAATAGCGCCACCTGAAACCACATAACAAAGTTATACTTCCTTCTTTCCGCCAAAAGAAAATTTAAGATTTAAATAATATTGTTGTCAATAGTTAAGGCAGCTATTTTTTTTGCCCTTATTTACTGGTTCTTTAGGGGTCGGCTATTTATGCTCTTACGCGCTAGGTCGCGCCCTTGAAGAAACACTCAGTTTAATCTTCAATCTAATATTGAAACTACGGATAAAGTTTAATTCATTTTCAGCGTAACGGTTTCAGACGAGAGAAGAGAATCGAAGAAGAAAGGAAACAAGGGTGTTTTCACCTGTTTTCACCTCTTTCTCCTCTGCCGATTTTGCCCCTTTTAGTTCTTTCCGCTTCCTATATTTTCTACTCGTCAGTAAACCTCTGATCACTTTTCTTTACCCGAGTACCCCCTCTTCTTCCCCACAGAACAAAGGCGTCAAGGAATAGCCTTCCGTTCTGATCTGTGGACAGTTATTTCCAACAAATAAAAAGCATTACTCACTCTTTGGCTGTCCTTTGACACAAACGCCTCGATGTATGCATCACTCGCCTCCTTGGCATCATCACGATTTGTCAGCATATCCTCCATGTACAACGACGTCTTTTGTTACAGAAACAAAGGTAGCAATAAATAACACTATTGATGGAAACTTACAGTGCGACTACTCGAACCGGGGTACTTGGAAAAGATTACGATTTGTCAGCATATCCTCAATGTACAATGACGTCTTTTGTTACAGAAACAAAGGTAGCAATAAGTAACACTATTGATGGAAACTTACAGTGCGACTACTCGAACCGGGGTACTTGGAAAAGATTATCCAATAGCAAAGTTTGAATTCGAAAACGAAAGATTTTCAAGTTTTAAACAAACGGACCGCACCAATAACATTTAAGAAATTTGTGGGCTGTTTCCTGAGAGGTCAGGGAACTTCAAACAGTATTAAAGTTTTCAAAGGTTGCATAGGTAAAAAAATCTTGGGATTCTTTTGTTTTCAAAAAACGTTGTGATTGGATAATTTTCTTCCAAAAGCCACGGTTCGACTATTCCTACTTAAAGTAATTTTTTTTTAGTGAATTAACAAATTTGAACTTCAGTTCAAAACTAATCTAAATATTATTAATTTATCATTAAATATATTATATATCTAGCTACTTCCGAGTCGTTTGTGACGCTCTTTAGTATGTGCTAATGATCGAACTAAGTAACAACTGATTTTTAAAAAAATAATTATATAAAAATCACAACGACGATAATCAAGATAAACAGCTACCTTTGACCAAATTTGGAAGATGTATGCCCGTCAGATATTACGATTAATTATTCAGAAAAAGAGATAGCAGAAGGCGCGGTAACTTAGCTTTTTTCATAGAGCTAGAGAAAATGGCTGAAAATTCCACACTTTTTGCAAAGTGAAAATAGCCAAAATACTGGCTAAAAATATAGCAACAACAGCTTGCATATCACTCAACTGCATAGTGATTACTGTTATCAGAAAAACATTTGCAGGACTCAACGTCCCCTTACGTCCAAAATTTTCCGGGTTGTGAATCGACCGGAACTAAAATAACGTCGATCGAGGCAGGCATATTTTGAAGTTGAAAATGTTTTAAATGAACAAACAACAATAATTGGATTCGCCTCTCGAGTGATATGGAGAATTATTCAGATCTCCAGGGTGCTTTTGTTTAGTAAAACACCCTTCTTCAATCTGCAACAGCCTCATCTGAGCATAACAGCTAATTAACTCTCATAAACGCTCGTCAGTACATTCAACAGCAGATCAAATAAGCCCTTGCTTAACAGCATGCAGATTAAGCTGCCACAATACTAAGCCTGCAGTCTAAAGCCGGTTAAAAACCATCAGTTATTTTAATTCACTCGTCTGACCGTTTCTGGACTTGAATGGATGATTTTTGGCAGAGGCTAATTACTATTCGCACGCTGGTACTTATTTCGAAAAAATAAGCCTCAGCTTGCGGGGTCACGCCTAATTGTGCACTCTTTCGGATTGAGCGCACTCTATATTTCGTCGAAATTCTAATCAAGTGAGCACGTATTTGAGGGAGCACGATTCTTCATACCTGGAAATCGTCAGGATGTGTCATTTTGTCATTTATGTTGGCACGATCGTGTTCGGTTTCAAACGGCCCGTCGCTTGTGTAGGTCATTTTCCATTCGTTGAAGAAGCTTTCAAAACGATCTGACCAATCTGGATATACAGTCCCAAGGAACTCACGAAAAGCATCCTTTGCTTCAGATTCAAGCTCTGGGAGAAAAAGAATTTTATAAAAAATCACCAATATATATTGTAAAAAGTAAAATAAAGAATTAATTGCCTAAAGTAGACCTACAAAGTACTCTTCATGAATGAGCACAGCTAGACAAATGCTTTAGCACGGATTGAATCCACCTTTGAATGTGCAAACGGATTCAATCCGTGCTAAAGTCTTTGCCTAGCTGTGTTCATTCATGCAAATTTAGAGTAATTCTTTTTAACTCGCCATCCCTTGATAATGACGTCATGATGTCGCCGAAACGTAGGAACATTATTTCGTTACCCTTCACATGTTTAAATTGCTTTAAAGTGGTGTAAATTTGAATCAATATAAATATCAGAAAATGGGTGTGACAAGTCACGTGACCAAGAAAATCCACCATTCAAAATGAATTTGAAGAGGGTCAGGCCTACAAAGTGTTAAGTGAAAAGTTTTCCTCTTTGAACTAGACCACCCCCCTACAATTTCCCGACACCCATTCCTTAATTCATCCCAACATGTTAGGGCCTTACTGTACCGGCAAAATATCATGGGTGATAAACTATTCATGACTATTGGTAAAGATATCAGACAGGAAAAACGAAAACCAGTCTTGTATCTTACTATACTTACGCATCACTTACGTTCTTTGGAGGCTATTTTTTTGTAATAAGTACCAGTGTTGTGTAGGTCATTAAAGTATTTCTTCAAGTTAGCGACGTAGTCAGGCTCACAGGACATTTCTGGAAGAGTAAAAAAGATCATACTTCTCATTCAGTTCCTCTTTACACTACAGGCACCATAGAAATGTTGCCTGTACTAGTTCTTTTAGTTACTGAGTTTAAAAATTGCCACTGAATGAAAACATCGATGACGCAGTTCCAGCTAAAAGGCCTCTGAAGCAACGATGCATCGGGATCCAGACACTTGATGTAAGGGGATTTTAAAACTCTTAGCTACAGTCTATCAAAATAACAGAGCACACTTGTTCTTCGTAGACCCGTGAGATCAAAGTAAGATTATACCGCCCGAGCTTCGAAACACACTGTCATTTCAACGCGTTTTTATGCTGATGCATGTTCGACGATTTTGAAACGTACCTTGAAGAAGAAATGCTGCCACAAGCAGGAAGAAAACTTTTTTCATTTTGGTTTCGTTTTGTGTCCGGTTTCGTACAGGTTCGTACAGGGCTCTTCAACTAAGTACTGTGCGAGCGATGCAACGTCAATGAAATAGAATGAGTAGTAGTAAAATATATTCAGTTGGAAGGAGAGAAGGCAGGGAACTGAACAATTAAAACGAACAAATAGAAGGACAAAAGGAGGTTGTGATCACGGGCTTGCTTTAGCAGCAGATTAATTGCGAGGAGCCCGCAATCCTTATCTCCAGGTTGTTATTACGCATGCGTCGCATGTGTGTTGCCATCGTTAAGCCATCATTTGCTTTGACTTCCACTAAGAATGAATAGACTAGTGCACAGAACACAATTTGATCACGCGTGTTTCGACCTTCTACCCCTCGTAATCTGATCACGTGTGTTTTGACTATCTGTCACGCGAAGGCGCCTACGCAAAGCACCGCGTTGGAGCAAAAGTGTTTTGACCTTCGATCGTTGTCGTCTGCACTCCTTAACCTTTGGTTATTACTAGTTATTATAGCTATATAAAAAAAATAAAGTTAAGATGTTATTCATCGGGGGTGGTTTGTGTTTCATGGGCTTAACCATTTCTTAGTTTTTTAGTTTCCAGGTCAACACACAATGTTAATGGGAATTTTGTCTTTTCTTCAGAGGACGTTTCATCAAATGGTCGCAGTTCCTTTAATTCTCTGAATGGCTTTAGACTGATGACATTTATCGGTACTACGTGAGAAGGCTAGACTCAAGCTACCAAAGTTTCAGGCTAAGAGTAACAAAACCTATGCCTAAAATCACTTACGAACGATAATTTATAAAAAAAAGTGACATACGGTCCAGCTCCGAACCCCCCTTTTAGAATTGAATGCTTTTTATATGCCGTATACAGTGATAAATAAAAGTTATGTTGAAGAGGAAGAAAGGATCTTTTTAGTTCACAAAAAGATCACGAATTAAATCGTTCTAAATATAGTTGTTTAAAACTAAAAAATGAGGGACAACAGTGTGCGATTGTCTAATTATCAAGCTCAAAGTTCAAAAGCGCATTGGTATAGCTGGGTACGCCTAATACTTGTTCTGTAGGGCCGTGAGTTTATGTTAGGGTCGTACATTTTAGTTTGAAATATACTGTCATTTCAACGTGTTTTTAGGCTGATGCACCTTCGGCTGTTCCCTGCTAAGCAGACGCCTCTTTCATATGGCCTGGGTATTTGGCGTTATACAGCCTGGATTTGAAATGCATGAACTATAATTTCAAGGCTTTTTTGTAGCTGATGCATTAGGTCTTCTACTTTTGAAACGTACCTTGAAGAAGAAATTCTGCAACAAGCAGGAAAAAAACTTTTTTCATTTTGCTGGTCTTGTTTTGTCCGATTGGGGCGTGCGCGGGACACTAACTTTGTGAGCGGCGTGTCACGTCAATGAAATAGAATGAGGCTTAGTTATCGAATATATCAGTTTTGTGGCACCTCAAAAAATATCATGACACATAAAATCTGTGACTTCGGTAATGTATGTATTCAGGCGATATGATTATGAGACATTTTTGCAAGCTTGTATTCAAAGTTGGTTGTTCAGGTGACTCGTGTTTAAGTCAGCTGAGATACCTTGTTTCTTTACTGATTCAACCTCGTGAACAAACATCTTTAAAAACATTGAAACTTTAAAAAAAATCATCGCTGCTGTTTCGTTATAAATAAGATCACCGTGATTGCAGTTACAGAGTATTTCAGTAATTTTTCGAATCAAGGAAGAGGAAAATTAATAGTGATTCAAACTATCATCAGCAGGCGGTTCGAAAAATCCAGAGTTAAATTGCAGGTTTTGACTGGGAAAGAGAACTAAAAGTTTGCCCTGAATTATCAGAAAGTTTAACTGAATTTCTAGTAGAGAGCAAGTATAAGAAATATGTATTATTCTCTGGTATGCAGTATAAATGCTTCTTTGGATGAGTGAAAAGATCCCGCAGTGTAATGTGGACAAGGCAGATTAGAATCAAAAAGCGTGAAAATACGTCACGTATCAACTGTGTTTATCCAAAAGTTCAATATTTGTCAACTGAAAAAAAAAAAACAAACCAAATGCACAGTCAGTAGATATTATGTGAACTGTGAACTGTCAAACCTCAAGCCTTTCAACTCTTTAAGAATATATGAAGCGCGCATTTAAGTTTGAGCAGTGATGAAAGACGAAAGTGCGTGCACGATGTTGCAGCCACGATGCAAGTTCAATAATCTTGTTTGAATGTCTACATTATCGAGTGTTGTTGCCTTTTAGATAGGGCAAAAACCAGTGTGATAGTAGATGATAATTAACGCCTAGGAGCACAAAAACAAAACAGAACAATAGCTAACAAAATTGTGAAATATTGTGCAAAGAACTATTTTCGATTGAAACCATTCGGGCAAACAGTCTGAGAATACAATGGGCAAGTATCAAAACATTCTGTCACACCAAATATCGGAATACCGGTCAGTGTAAAGCGAAGACTGCGGACTGCGGACTGCAGACTCCGGACCGTGTGTAAAAATTAATGCAGACCTGCAGACTTAAGGTAAAGTGCAGGCTGGGAGTAAAATGCAGAAAGAACCACATTAGGGCGAAAATAAGAGAAATGTCAAGCAGAAAACAAAATGGAAGTCGGTTTCTTTTTTCCCCGGAACCCAGAGACTTCGTTACCCAGCGTTACCCTTGTTTAGCGGAACGGGGAACGAGATTGACGAGACCTGACGAGGAACACACGTGAGAGGCATGTTATGTGTATACCATTTATTCTACCAACTCGGCAGATTTTGGGCATTCGGCGTGAAAGATACAGACATGGAGGACGACGAGTTGCAGGTATGTTTGAAGTGAACCTTGTGTTCTGTTGATTTATTGTTGTTCAATGAGATGCACATTCGCCAGAAGTTTCAATGAACATCCGAACAGCTCAAGTCTGCATACCTTGATTTGCAATACTTTCGATAGAAGGTCATCCAAATTTCCTGCAGAACATCTTTCTTTGTTGTTGGAATGATTTACTCCCTTTTTATCGCCATTATTCCTTCTGTAGAATATTTTGGTCTGCAGCTTTTATTTAAGCGTAAATATCGTCGTGTTGTACCAATTCACGGTCACGTGTATTGACATTTGAAGCGTGAGGTCTCTCGGTCGGGTAAAGAGTTCAAGATTGCGATTATTTTTCGAAGACGTTCCAGAGAAGATATAGCCTGTTCCAGGCTCTTCACTATCTGAAAGCCTGGAGGAACAGGCCACAGAGAAGAAAGGAATGGATTTGTGAAAGCAAATGTCAAGCAAATTAAGTGATCGTTCACATTTTCTTGCGGAATATTTTAACCTAAACCCCTACCCCTCCGCGACTGCAGTTTATGCTCGGTCTACATTTTGCACCGTGCCTGCGTTTTAGTCTCAGTCTGTAGTCTGCATTTTACATTCAGTCTGTATTTTACTCCTGGTCCGCAGTCCCCTGGTCCGCAGTCTGTGTTTTACACTGACCGATTAAAATACATAAACGGTTATAACTGATGAAGCGCTGGGAAGCTTTGGGGGAGCCTTTATATCCAGGGCGAGACGTAAGATCAAAGAAGCTATTTATTAATAAGCCTTTTTACGCGTTCCAACTGACAGGGAAAGCAAATTCTAAGTTCAAAAGAAACAGTGTCAAATTTAACAGTGGATAAGCATGTATTTGAAAGGCTATTAAAAAACATAAATTGATCAGTTCCAACCAAAAGCCACATTTTTACTTTCTGGGGAAATTTAAGACAAATTTCATTAAAAAAATGAAAATGAAACAGCCTGCGGTTAGTAGGAAGTTCATACAGATACTCACCAACACTGACAAACTCACCACACGTTCGCCGCCATATTGGAAATATCACTACCAAAATGCAATGTGATCCGAGTGTGCACAAGGCCTGGGCACGGAGTTCCCGTCTTAATTCATATTTAGGTAAAAAGAGAGAGGATATACTGTATTACATGGCCGGCTGGAGATAGGAAATTTCTCTTCTATCTTTACAAAAAATGTCCCTCTGCACATTGATAAACTTACTACGCTAACCCTATAAATCGGCTTTGCAACTTTTAGTCCAAATGTATGTAGGAGGAGGTCAATTAGACATCGTAGGGGGGGGGGGTACTCCCTTATATGACCTATACGAGGATGTGCCGCTGGACAGGGGTTTTCGTTCTCTCTGTCCTAAACAGGGTATCTATTTTCGCGCAAGTCTGTCCTAAAGAGTGTGCATGATTTGTGCGAGTCTGTTCTAGTAATAAAATTGAGGGAGTTGTCCCAAACAGAGTACTAAAATTGAGGATGTCTTCCTAAACAAGGTATGTATTGCAGGAATTTTTTGTCCTGACCAGGGTCAGGGTTTCAAACACTCAGCGGCTCACCCATACCCAAATATTGGTCGAGTACCCCCCCCGGGTTAGACATATGTCATTTTTCAATTCTGCAAAACTTTAATACGCACAACTGGTCCAGTTTGAAAGAATTAAACAGGAAGATGAGTGTTATGTTTTTTAGTCTTTAAGAATCACTTTTCACTATCCTTTGATCGGTTTTTTATTTTTCCTCCTCAAAAAAATAATTCCGGTTACACGTAATTAAGATTCATCGAACTATCCGTTTTCGGTCGTGAATAAGCTTAATTGATACCATGAAATATTACATCATTATCAGAAAATAGCGCATAAATTAAATACGATAATATCAAGATTATCTGTAATGAAAAAACAAAGACGAAAGCAGTCAGCAAGTCTGCCCTATTATTTTCTTTCTCTAATTGTTTGTTGACAACACAAAGAGGTCCGATCCAGTATTGGGTGGTGGTGGGGTGGGGTTGTACGTTCGTCGAAGTAAACTGTAGCTTCATATAGAATTTTCAGTCCTGCCCCTCCCCCTACCCCACCGGTAAAGCCGTTTTTCTTTCCTTGATCCTATTGTGCTACTTTATTTCTTTTAAATTTAATTTCATGGACTTTCAGGGCAATTGGGCTGTTCAATAATTGAAGGAGCATGTACTGTAATTAATCCATTAAGTGAATTGAACAATTTGCTTTAATTACAATTTAGTCCGGGAAATTTGTTGTTTATGCCGAAAGAGAAGTCGGACTCGATTAAACCCATCATTTTGAAGAATTCAGAACTGACTGGCCCTAAAACGATGTCTGTGCACGCTGTGAAACAAAGACATCGTGTGGCTTCATTAACACTTGAATCATCAGATAAGAAAGGAATATTCAAGATCGCTGGCATTTACAGTTTTGGAAGCCTACCGCGGCGTTTAAGTCTGGATTCAAAACTCCAGCAAGTTTCACACTTGGAATTGCTTGCCATGATAGATGATAATCTCTTGATTCAGGAAATTAAGGCTCGTCTTATATTTTCCGAAGTTGAAACAAAGAGACAACGATCTAGGTCTGTACAGGACCTGGTTAAAACATTCGAAAGCTCGCGGTGCAGTGGGTTTACAAACCTTGGAGATAAAAGCAGTCTTCGCTTCCGTCTAGGTCAATTTACATTGAATGAGTTGTGGGAAGAGCTGAGGAAAAGAGGAGAGTTCAACGGATCCCTTGATTCCTTGGAAAGAAGAATCTCCCACTGGGATGCATTACGTGGCATTTTGATCTCTAAACACTGTAAACCAAGTAAACATTCGATTGGTAAAATGCTTTTATCTGATTTATCAGAACGCGACGAAAGCGTCGATAGTTTCGGAACTAATATCAATAGTCTTAAAAGTAGAGATGTGGAAAACAAACTATCATCGGAAATCAAGTTTAATACTACTATGTTAATAGGCTCTTCCAGGCTCCAAGATAGTGCGGACAGTGGATTGAAAAAGAGCGCGAAAAACGAGACCCTGGCACAGGCCACTATGTTGACGGAATCGTGGCTACCAGACAATGGCAAAGCTAACAGTGATGATGAAAAGTTGACGGGTGTTTTAGATGAGGTTCATGTTCTGAATCAGAGGCTATTGAAAGTTAGAAACGATGTGGAGGAATTATGTACGAGGGCGACAAAAGTGAGATGCGAGCTTGCTAAAATGCGCCAATTGAGAAGTATCGAGAAAAACTATCGATCGTAAGGAACGGAAACGCTGTCAGTGCTTTTATTAAGAAGCGCTAGCAAAGGAATAAATTTATTTACAAACAACTTATCTTATTTTCTTTGGTCAGTCTAGGAAGTGAGGTAAACATTTAAAGGATATGCCATTATTAAAAACTTGTTGTGCATGTACCCAGTTTTGGTTGAGCGCTTCCTTGGGCCTACAGGTTTAATGCGAAAACTTGTGCTGCCAAAACCGCAAGCAAGCCCCTTTATTTTTTATCATTTCAAAGTCACAAGGATACGTTTATGCCACCACTTCGACGACAGCAACGAAAATAAATAAATAAATGATATAATGTACAATCAAGGGCTCATGACCCAGGATTTTTTTTTATGGGTGCTGGCTGATACCAATCGTCCACTAGACTACACGTTAATATATTTTAAGTTGTCCTACGCTTGTCCCAATTGAAAACACGGCGATTTAGAAAGGACGAATTGGAGACTGTAACACTGCAAACTCTTGAAAAGCCACAAAAATAAAAAATTGGAAGCTAATAGAAAAACCTTCCTAACCTTGTCGGACAAAAGTGAAGACGCCCTCGTTCGTCTATACTTGGACGCAGCGCCACAAATTTCTCACAAACTACACTTCTGTCGATGGTTCTGCATTCACTTTGCATTCATGGCGATTATATTGCACGTATTTCCGTTTGTTTTTCCGTGCGTTAATTTTGTTTAGGTGGGCTGACCTAAGTGGGGTGACTAACCACCCAATCCATCCTTCCCCCACCCCCTGGATCCGTCCCTGATAATTGTGCTATACCCGTTCTTTCAAACTTCATCGCGGTTATTCCAACTCGTTCAATTTGTCTAATGCACTGGGGAGTTCTGCTGGAGTCGAATGATTAGGGAACGCATTGTACACCAAATTTCATTGTCGTTTATACATTCTTCTCCAACTCTGGGGTAAAAACTCAAATTGATCTGAAATACAGAATTTGAATGGGAGTTGAGAAAAACGGGGTTTAGCTGTCCACTTACGGGAATCTTCTTTAAGAGCAGCTTCCACTCTACGTTGTTGAAACAAATTTACTATAATATGGCAATTTAATTATAATTTTTATTTTACACCCATATTGCCTCTGTCCCGTCTTCTTCTTCTTCTTTTTTTATTGTTAGTGTGACTGGTAAACCTTCTAGGCTACTGTGATAGTGTAAATAATACCAATTATGAACTATTGAATTCATTTTACAGTTCACAGCTATTGAAATGAATGAGTCAATACGTTTAACCTGCCAAGGCCTTTAAACAATAACGTCAATCACTTTATTTTTACGCCAATTCTTTCCTTAAGTTTTTGAGCTGGATATACTAAGCAATGGTTTATGTGACGTTTGACGCCGTCTTTCATTTTTTCTTTAAAAACATCGCATTGGACTTTCTCAGTCGAGTTTCTTTAGAAGTATATAGATCTGAGAAAGAGATCGATCAAATTCCATGAATGCTTAAAATCGCTTACCCCTATTAGCATAAAACACACTCAGGGACACCTGCTTGGGCTGAATCATTTCAATCAAAAGTTTTCAAAATTTCTGAATTCCTCCCGTAGCTTGAGAGCAAGCTCAACTCTAAATTTTCTGTTTTTCTCATCACCAATAATACACGGCAAAGATTTTCTGAATAACTTAAAGAATGTTCTTTGCCACGTTTATGAATCTTTGAAAACAAAATGTCGAGCGTTTTGGTCACACAGAGATTCTCAGAGCGTTTCAAAATGATCGAAATATGCATTTTGCCATGACGTAATGTTTGCTTCCTTAACTCCATAAATTGTCAATTAAAAGTTGATTGATAAGCTCTTCATTCAGTAGACTATATCAAAAACGAAACCGATGAAACGTTTTAAAATATTGTCTTTAAATTACAAATTTTAAGATTTCTTTTAGACTTCCGGATAACATAAATTCCAAGATTTGTTTTCTTCAATAGTTTGCCCTATTATTTTCATGCTAGCGAGTTGAACGCATTAAAATTGTCGTCTGCAACTCAAAATCAGGTATAGTGGGTCACAATTTGTTCAGCGACCTTTTTTGATGTATATAATTGCACAGGTGCAGGTTTTATTGCTTAGAAGTAGTCATAAAGGGTTCTTCAACAACTGCAGACACTGACTGTACTTCATGCCGTGCAAACCTAAATCACTTCTGGTAGGTCATATTATATTCTCGAAGAGCATGAATCACCTTTTGCAGGATAACGCTCTGTTACTATTTTTGTTGACTAAATATCCGACTGACTTATATTATACTTCAAAACCTTGAATGAGTTGTCATTCCTGAAAAGCAAACAAGCGCGCGTCATTGAGCGTGTACAATGTACATACCTTAAGTGTACGTGTGCACGCATACAGTACTAAAATACTCATTCCAATAAAAATTTGGTCATGATTTTGTTATCGAGATATCTTCTTTCTGCCGTATAACAAAGAACTGATCCTTCTTGGCCGATTTGTTTGTGATATTTTCCGCCTCTTGTCACAGTTGTTTAGTAAGTGATCCAAAACTTTGTGAAAGGCATCTTCCACGTTGTCGCCTGTTTTGGCGGACGTATCTACCCAGAAACATCCATATTTGACCTGGAGGTGCAGGCTGACATGAACATTGAGCCCTCGTTTGTCCACAAACCTTGGTTCGCTCATGTTAGGTAGGTCAGATTTGTTTGAAACTACAATAACAGGCTTTTCGAAACACTTTGTTGAGGACTTACTCGCGCGAATTTCATCCATGTAACGTTCAAGCTTTGTAAACGAATCATGCCGATCTAGGGAATACACTAACACTAAAGCGTCCGCCTTGTCCATGGCTACCCTTCGCATGGCTGGAAACTCATACGTGCCTGAAGTGTCGATGATTTGAAGCTCACATGTCTTGTTTTGAAAAGCCAAATGCTTGACATGAAAGTCCTCCACCGTGGGAATGTGTTCCAGGGTAAATTTCAAGCCAACAAGGCGATTGATCAGCGAGGTCTTACCTACTCCAGAGTCACCGAATACGGCGATGGTAAACTTTTGCAGATAACTGTCTTTATCGTTTTCTTTGTCTTCTTTAACTTTTGGCATGGTGAACTTTGTAATTTCGATCTTGTCCAAGATCGTCCAAGGAATCGCTAGAGCGCAGAGTCACTCAGTCGCGGCTGTCAATAAATTTCGTCTTTGATCGAACAATCTTAAGCGATCCAAATTCTGACGAACAGTAGAAGTTCTTTAGCTGAGTCCAGGTTGCTAACTCTTTGCATCAATATTCACCAGTTATGTGTCTCCAAGGATTAAACGACTTTAAAAGACATCTAACCTTTTTCGTGGCGTGGCAATGATTGATATTTCTCTTCAGAAATGTAGTTCACCGCAAAGTGTTTCAATTTATAAGTGGCAGAACTTGCTGAAGCATAGCACATTGCGAAGCGACCACATGATGTAGTGAACAATAATCAAATCCACGGCAATCTTTGTTTAGGGCCTAAAAAAGACTTTGAAAACAATCAAAGATTTGCATATGTCAGCCAGGAAAATTTGTACAACTACAATGTAGTTTGATCAAGCGATTAGTGTTTCGATTAGTCCGATGATCTTGAAAAAAACTTTGCGTCTAATATATTACTTAGTTAGAGATATGATTACGGAATCATTGTCATTATGCAAAAAAGCCTGACAAACCTTCATCAACGCGCGTGTTCCTCTCAATAAACTTAAGTTAAATTTCTCACGGTTTATTACAACAACCGGTCTATGTATAATATTAACTACAATACGATTATTTAAATGAACTGCAGCAAAGCATTTGCCAGCGTTGTTTGTTTTTCATCCTAAAAAAGTTCTATTTATTTTATAGCCTTTCAAGCTATTTTTTTCTCAAGGCAGGGAAAGCCTAAAAATTTTGACGAAACATTTAATTAAAAAATATCCAATCAGCCAGAACCGGTTCTAGACGGCCAGTGAAGTGGGCGCGCTCATGAGAAAGCGCCAATTTATAGCAAGGCGTGTTTACTTGGAGAGACAAGCTATCCAAACTTAAAAAAACAATTGAATCAATTTATATTCTATTACTGAATGGTCTTTACGTCTCGGGTTTAACGAGAAATTAAAATTCATTAGAGTGCGTAGATGTTGTGGTTCAATGTTATCCTTGCGGTTTAAATTCTATTTTCTTTTGTTTCAAACTCATTATCATATATTACCATACCCAAAAACAAAAGGAAATAAAATTTAAACCAAGGATAAAATTGAACCACAACATAGAAACCGCCACATTTCATCGCCACGGAGAAAAAAAGAATGTTCTCTCATGATTTAGTTTAACGTGGCCAAAAGCTATTAGCTGACTGATGAGAATTGTGGATCGGTGAGACTAAAACAAAAGTCACATTAAAAAATGACGACAAGGACATGAATAATAACACCAAGAGAGTGAAAAATGGCTCAGTAGCTCATTTATACTCTAGCATCGATGTGAACAGGTGCATCCCTGAAATAAATTAATGGAAAAGAATGCAGAAATTAATTTTGCGACCATTTTCGAAACTCATGATCAGAAAAAGGTGCAAACATTACATTTGCTGTTTTTTTTTAAAGACAGAAATGAAATTGTGCTCTCTCGGGCTAAAACTTCTAAATACCGGCTTGGTCAAGTTTTCAAGGCCGTTTAATACCTTCGATTCATCGCCCAATGCTGGCAAAATTATGATACGCGAAAATATACAATATTAAGTTCACCTATACAAAAACTTAAAAATAATATTATGTGTCTCTTATCTTTCCTCTCCAGCATTTTTTTTCAAAGTCATCATGTTATCTTGTTTGAGTGAAAAAGTATAATCACAGTGGTGACATAATATCAAATTTCCTTTTCGGCTTCACGGTTTCAGATTATTGTTGGAACCGTCGTACCTCTATATAAAGATTGATTTCTCTGATCCTGTTGTTTCCGAGCACCATAGTAGAGAGACAAAATACCGTAAAATTCCGAAAATAAGCCCCTCCATGTATAAGCCCCTCCGAATATAAGCCCCCCCCCCCCCAACCCTCCGTTAAATCGCCTCTCCAAATATAAGCCCCCGGGGGCTTGTACTTGGAAAATTGCCCTCAATACAAAGTAAAACAAAGCAAAAACGGCAAATTTCCTTCCAACTATAAGGCTAACCCAATCGATTTTGAAACGCAAATTTCCCTCCGTAGATAAGCCCCTCCACAAATAAGCCCCTCAAAAAGGGCCTTTGAAAAATATAAGCCCCAGGGCTTATTTTCGGAATTTTAAGGTAGTTGCCGATCATTGCGGAAGAGGTTATTTGTTTGTCTGTTTTCTTTTGTATATCTATCCAATCCAACAATTCTCCTCGCTCAGCCTTTTGAGAAAGAAATGAGGACAGGTATAAAAATTTTGTTTACCAAGCAATGACGATTCATCCTCTTCCATCAAAAGTCCGATCAGTGACATTCAGTTTGATCAGCATCCGCTTCTGTCGATACTAAATTCGATTTACGGAATCTCTCCGAAGATTTTGCGGAGAATACTACAATTTCTTCGAAAGAAGAAGTTGAAAGTAATGAAATGCATTTAGGGGGCATAGTTTTCTTGCGATAAGGGAGAAATAAAATTGACGACTTTAAACCATGGATTTTCAGGATGTGCCTTTAAGACTCTAGGAGTTTCTTTCAACATTTCATGCAAAGCCGGCTTTTGGGCTGGAGGCCAACAAAAACATGGTCGCTTAATTTGTACGACCTTATTACCATGTCAGTACTAGTGCGCTTAGAACTTAGAAATCTGGCTTTCAGCAATGTTTTGAAAAACACACCAGCACGAATATTACTGATTTTTCGTCAGTAATAATTGTTTTGACAGAGAGACTGGCCAATGGCCATAATCTATGAAAACAGACTTACATAACTGCGATAAACATGAAGAGATGAATTTGTTCTCAGTCTAGAAATATAGACGTGCTTGATAAATTGACAGTGCCCTAACCTCATTCTAATATATACGTGTGAGTTTTCTTTTAATTTGTTACTAAAAATAAGGTTTCTAACAAGCAAATGACATCCCAATTTCCTCACCGAATATGTTTGGTTTTATACTTCAGGCCCGTTTTAAAATTCCGGAGCTGAACAACATAAAATACATGAATCTTTATATGACGGTACAAGATTAAAACAACTAATTCTCTAATCTTATGAAGTACCCAACAAAATTAAAAGAAAAACGTGCGTTTTCCGTAACGGCCTAAGAAACAAACGATTTTGTCATCCACGTTAGATAAGGACATAGAAAATGCTGAATAAATTTGTCCACGTCCTTTTTTTGTGTTAACTTTACAGGATAACACAGAGCGGTAACACACCCCTGGTTAATGCTTCAAACTGTGCTCGCGATATCTAGAGAAGTGCCGCCCAAAAAAAACGTCCTTCAGGAAATTACGCCTCCAGTAAAAGAAAATAAGGATCTCAAATTCCCTTTCAGTGTATTCTAAGAAGATTACGTTTAAAGCAACAAAGAGCTTTTATCACCATGATTATGGTTTTCTTTGAATAAGCTGACCGCCCACTGTATCTCATTCCATTTCACGCTCGCTAGCTCCACTTTTATGGAGTATCATATTGAGTAAAAATTAAATCTCCCACCTTCATTTTCAGTTCCAACAGTCACTGCAGTGGTATGATCTAGCTAGATGCATGGTAGAATCAACGAGAGGGAGGATTTCTACTTGGGTGAAATGTCAAAACGTGAAGTGCTAAAAAGGGAAAGAAGATATCAATTTGCCACGCCCTTAACTTAAACTTGGGCGATTTACTGAACACTCAAGAATAGCTGCTAAATATTTTGTCATTTGCTCAAGACAAATCGCACGCTTCTATCTTCCTTAGCAACCAACCTTGTCCCCAGGGATTTTCCCTTAGGTTGCTTACTAACCTGGTCCACCGGCGCCCCCATTTAACAAATTCCATAGATCCCACTATTCTTAAAGTGTATCTTCACCACAAATGGGGCAAAAATGGGATAAGAACAAAAATGCCAAATTTTCCAGCTTTCCCTTTTTTTCCCCACCTTTTCTTGCTTGGTACGCCTTAATAACTGTGCACCACGTTGAGACTTTGAGCCGTTTCTCAGTCGATGCAAACTGGATCTAGCGTGACTTATAATTAAAAGGCAAAGCAACACATAGTCAAGCTCGTGCGTTCGATTACAAAGTGAGGAATGCAAAGGCGATGAACAGGGTCTAACGGAAAAATCATGACCCTTGCAACAAGTCACAGTATTTTTAGCTTATTTTTCAGGCTGAAAAAGTTGACAGTCTGCACTTGCTTTTATTTACCCTTATTCGAAAAAAGCGCATAATACAGTCAAACAGTCTTTTATTTGGACATCAAAGGGACGGAATACGTGTCCCCATATTACGGACCGACTTTCGGAGTCTCTGGACCAAGTATCTGTTTTAAGTGGAGTTTCAAATCATTCAATTCGATAGTGTCCGATCTATTTCGGTAATGCCCTTTTTCATTTTTTACCCACCCTCAGCGTTGACCTTCTCAGTTACCGTATGTAAACATGCATGCCTTCATGAATAGTTTGCCCTATTTATTTAAAAAACTGAAGGTCGGGCCCGTACATACATGTATACTCTTTGAGGCGTCTATCGATCTTTTAACCTTGTTGTCCAACACGAACACGATGAACGTGCAGTGTATCAAGCCACAATGGCACAGTAGCGAAAGGACCAAAAAACTGTTCTTTCACTCTGTATTCGTAAGATACAATCAAACTGATGTTTACAGCTCTCAGGGAACACTGGTCGGGAAAAGAGACAAGAGAACAAATCAGAAACAAGCACAACTGGTCGCTGCGGTTTGAATAAAACATGATTTGGCGGAAAAGCTACTATTGTTAATTTTAGTGGTTCTCAGATTGTTTTGGGGGAGAAGGCTGTTTATCTTTTGAAACTAAGTTGTTCTTTCCTGCTTGTTGTCCTTTCTATTTGTAAGAAGGAAGTGGCGTACCCCCAAGCTGGATTGAATTTCATCGAGGGAAGTACGACTTCTACTCTCGGGGTATAGGGAAGGGGAGGTTGCTTGACCAATGTTTGGTTTGAAACCCTGACCCGCCGTAAGACAAAAAGCAAACAAACAAACAAACAAACATACAAAAAGACAAAATATTTAAACGCTGTTTGGGACGACACCCTCAATTTTATTACACTGTTTCGACTGTTTCTGCATGCCGTCTTGATTTAAAGTCATTTATTGGTAATTTCTTTTTGAATACTTGAAGTGCAAAGAAAATTTCGAAAAGAAAATAAATCAACCGTTCTCTGAATACCCTGTTTATCAGGTTATAAGTGAAACAGACTCGCGCGAAATTATACACTCTGTTTAGAACAGAGAGGACAAAAATCATACCATGATCAGCGTCAGATCCCCTTATTGGCAGGCAGCCAGTCGGACTTCGCTTTACACGGACACCGCGGGCCAGCTTAATACTGACACAAACTGGAAAAGAAATATTTTGTATTTTCATTTCCTGAAAGCATTTTTACCATTAAATCGGAATGACCGATAAATTTTTCGCTTTATAATTATTGGTGTCTTTGTGTTGGTTTGAAGGGTAGTCGTCTCGCCCTTTGCTGGTACTGGTGTCACTGTTATACCCCTTTTTTTTCGTTTAATACTGTATATTACCGATAACACACCGTCAAGAGATGGGTCAAATAACGACTAACTGCTGCATTTTCCTTCGTATTCAATTCACTGAAAATGTCTGGCTGAATACGCAGGAACTGGCATTTCCGGAACATTAAATTAGAAAGTTTTCTAGGGAGACCATGCCCCTGCAAGGCCACCCTAATTTGGAACGCCTTTGGTGCCCTCAATTTTTTTCCTGTGTGTACACTTTCAAAATCTCACGCTACGCCCCTACTATTGCCCCTTCAGTGTCCGTATTAAAGGGGGTTGACTGTCTCCCACCCCGGGCTGCTACTTTTGAGTCCAGTTAATTATTAATATTAGTTATTTGACGCAGTTTAAACTCTATACAAGGGTAACACTTCTTTATTCCGCGTAGATTAATCAATATTTTGATTTCAACAGAACCTTATCTAAAGTCTGGTTTGTTTAAGCTGGGCGATCGTATGCGCCACTTTGAGCAATCTTTAACCAGTTCTTCCCAGTTCACAGACCAGCGAAGTAATCAAGAGAGATGAAGTGGTCGAAGGGGAAACGCCCAGGCTAGCCTTTGAGATGGGTCGCATTTTAGTTAAGTTATTTTTAGTGACTCAAGTCTGTTTCCCCTGGAAATGAGCGCGCACTTTCCTGGATTTTCTCCGAAAAATTAGGAGAAACAAAGGCGCACCATTTGAACGGTCTCAGAGCTTGAGCTGCTTGCAAAAAAATAGGAAGTCATCTATACATGCCAGGAAAAAGCGGAAATCGAATCTACTCGATTTTATAACAATTTGATACAAGTAAGTTGATGACAGGAAATTCTATAAGTAACGATGATTTGTGATTTGTGATTTAAAGTCATTCACCCTCATGCATACTTTTGATAAGAATGAGAAATAAAAAGTACGATTTATTTCTGACTAAAAACATCCCTACAATATCGGACCATGTCGGATAATACTTTTCCTGTCGGTAGTCTGTAATTTTTTCCTCTTTTTGTCTGTACAGGTCAGTTATACTTCCGCGCTGTTTGTCGCTAGTCTGTTAACCCCATTCAGACCCTCTGTTTATGATGATGCTCAGTTGGAGCTTATTAGGGAGCATGGTAATTATCGTGATGCGCAGTAAGAGCCGGAGTGGTATTTATAGCCTGAGTATCAGGCCTTCCTAAGGGGCTTGGGGAAGATGGGGGAGGGGGGAGGGGGAGAAGCTCCCCTTTTCGCTCCCCTTTTCGCTTCCATCTTTCCCCTTTCCCCCAGAAACGCCTGATACTCAGGCTATGGTATTTAAGTTTTAAAGACCTATTTCTCATAGATTGCATGTCCAAAATTCCAAAGGAAAGTTTAATAAACTACCGGAGTCAATGGAGGCGAGGAGGGGAGGGGAGGGAGGGAGATTGGGTTAACTTCTGCTGGGTAAGTATGCGCTACTTGCCTCTGTAGTACAGTATATAGCGGACTTCATTATAGATAGCTTTTTCTCTAAACAGTTTTAGGCCATATCTCAGGAATCTCGTTCAATCTTCTTTTGTTCAAATGTAAAATTATGCGCTCCAAATCTAGACATCATGTTTGTTGATAACCGCTACCATTTAAAACTTTCTAGCCGAGTGCCACAATAGCGTCATCTTACCCCCATCCCCCACGTCTTACCCCCCATCCCTACCCCGGCCCCCTTCTACCTCTAGACCGAGCCGAAATCCTTGATTTTCTCATTAGTTATGATTTTTTAGTCTGTTATTCAAGTATCTTTTTTTTCCAAACCTGGCATTTTGAAGTTTGTTGGAAAATATGCAGTGTCATACTGCTTTCTTAAATAGGCACATACGTTCATCATTTAGGAATGATGAATGGCCCACCAAGAGTCCACAGAAATATACCGTAAACACCAGAATGTGTATAGCCTGAGGAGGTTTGTCCTTGCAAATTAAACTAATCATGGGCAACGACCTCAGTTATTGCTTTGTTGTGCAAATCGTGGTCGCTTTCCCTTCACTGTTTTTCGTGCCTATTCACTTAGCAACCTTCTAAATTTAGGATACCGTCACCACTGAAGATCACTTTCAGCCCCTTAACCGCGAGAAGGATAATAATATGCTTTTTTAAGTTTTCGTTTTTGAGTGTCAGGTCTTTCATTTAATTCTTGCCAAACTTGTTTCCTCCTTTGCCCTGACTTAGGCGAGCCAAGCGAGACCATATCCTTACGGTCTCGCTTATATTTTTTTTATGACGTCATTCGTTAAATGCACTCCAGCAATCCCTTATCTTCTGAAAGTTTGTTGTTTTATTGCCTATAAATTATTATTAACTGTACGTTTTTTTTTACAGATAGGAGGGCATATCTGCTTAATATTTTTTTTCAGTTTTTGAGACCTTACCAACAACAACTGAAAACTATTTATAAAATCTACTATACAGTAATTTTCTAAGTATTCCAGACTTAATAACTATCATTTGACTCATCTGGGCTAGCGACATTTCCTTAATTTCTAAGAATTTATAAGAATTCGACTTGATTGTGCAAGAACTGAAACAAGATAGTTCGAGAAACATGAAACTTGTTTGTGTTTATGCTTTGTGGCGTATACCTTACGTAACGTAACGTTACCCCATCGATAGCTGTGGAAAACATGCAAATAGTTAGTCTATCTAACTTTTCCTTTAGCTTTGAACGACGAATGAAATTGTGTTTTGATAAGGAAAAAAACCCTATTTATAGCCATTAAAAAAGAACGAAATTAAAAAACAAAGGAAGAACTTTCCTGAAGAAAAGCTGAATTACCACATATACCTACTGGCCAATATATTCAACAGCGGCGACGAAAAATTGCGATACAGATAAATCTCTCCTGATAGTCTTCATATAGCTACAGTGCAAGTCTGTTTATAACTAAACTATCTCGACCCGCGACGGAATGTACTCAACAGAGGACTTCTTCTAAGCCAAGAAGAGTTTGTTTTTGCTGGCAACGATTGCGATCTCCGCAGATGAAAGGCGTCTATGAGGTCATGGAAGATGTCATGGACTCCCCAGGCCATTTTGGCTGAAGTTATTGTCCATAGAAAGCCCCACTCTTTCTCCGCTACGTATTTGGTGTTAATATGTTTTCCACCGTTTGTTGTTATTTCGAGTGCATGTCCATCTAAGACAACGTCTGATTTATTTGCTACAACCATAACTGGAACGTTATTGCCTCTTTCTTGAAGTATTTCATCCTGGAGCTGCTCTAAGCGTTCGAATGAAAGTGGATTGTCTAATGAATAAACAAGCACAATTGCGTCCGCCTTGTTAATCGCAACCCGTCTCATGGCTGGAAAATTCTCCGTGCCACAGGTATCTATAATGTCAACCTGGTAGTTTTTCTCCTTATGGACAATTTGTGTGGAGTAAAAGTCCTCGATTGTCGGCTCGTAGTCATTGGAAAATGTCTCTCCAAGAAACGCTTTACACAGCGACGTTTTTCCAACTCTTGCTTCGCCAAAAACCACGACTGTGAACATTTTCAGATACGCTGAAGTGCGCTTTTTCAGTCCGTCTTTAGTTTGGTTCTTCATGATAATGCCTTGGAAGATGATGTTTTCCTTTTGAGCAAAATGTAGTTAGCAGACGCTTTTTGAGGATACAAGCTCGTGACCTCCAATGGTCAATGGATTAGAGAGATGCTCAGTACAAGATTAAAATGGTGTGGCGGATCTTCTTATGTCTCCAACCAGAGAACGTTTTTGTGACTGAAACCACAGTATCGTTGATAAAATCTTATTCCTTTGAAAATCACTTTAGTGTTCTTTCTTCTTTTGGGCAATTTGTTATTCTAGTCGACCTGACAGAACTCGCCGGCTTATATAAGTAATTAAGCGCGATCTGCGTCAGGTATTAAATTCCAGAATTCCGTAGTACTTTGTGGTCAGTATGTCATCAACGTTCGGAAGTAGCTATCTAGAAAATCAAACACGATTACTTTACATATTTGCGTAACGTCGCCCCCAGACATTTCCCCACGCATCGCAGGAAGCTATTTTAGCTAGCAGGTGGGTGTGGGATAGTGTTATGTTTTCATACTCTCGTATAAAGGCATTAAAGCCTGCGAGAGAAGACGCCTTTTTCGGCTTAGGAATCCATGTGTCAGAAAATTGCAAAAAATACAAGGCTAAAGTCTAATCACACAGCTAGAATATTTTCTGTGATCTTTCATATGTAGACAACCGAGGGCACGGTAAGATGAAAGTCAAGTTTTGTAAATCGCCTAGCCAAATTGGATACCAAGAATTAGGTTTTTCTTTCCTTTTATACTGACATAATTTGGAGCAGACGTTACTCACTATTAATAGTTATACCAGAAGCTTGTTCAGAAGCCCAACCGACTCAAAAGCTGTACGGTCAAGTAGCACAAAGTCAGTACCCCAAATTGGACTATTTATGAAGAGAAAACAAAATATGCTTCAGTTTTGAATAGTTCTGCGTATCGACCTTAATGGTAAAAGATACAAAACAGAACAAAAATAAAAATTGCAACAATAACAACAAAAGCAAAACAAGAAACTAAAAAATGCACGAATTAATCAAAGATATAGATATCGAACGAAGAAGCATACTGCTATAAAACTAAATCGAAAACTTTGAGAAGACAAATGACAGACACTTCCGTTTAGGATGAGGACAAAGAGTTTTAAGTGGTAACTTATTCCTGACAGTTACCGGTATTTGTGGAGTTTAAAATAGTTCATGTAAAGTTCTGACTTCCTTAAACCTCCTTTGTAAGTGACAGGAAATATGTTAAGAATTAGCCGATAAATTTAGTGTACTTTTAAAAACGAGAATAGTCATTCATACGGCAAGTTACTTCTTTAATTAATGCTCCATAGAAACAGAGCTAAACAGGTGACTTGCCGTGCACCCGTACTCTAAGTTTTCCTAAAGACAAGGAAGCCATTAGCTAGAGCAAGCGTTTTTTAACGGAAACCTCAGAAGTACATTAATGGCGGGACATTATTATTCCAGAAAAAACAAAAAAACAAGATTGTGGATCGCACTGCAAAATACGCCCTCGATAGTTAGTTTAGTTTTTTTAGTTTTCGAAACTGAACAGCCTGGATCGGCCAGTCTTCAGGACTTTGGAATGTACCCACCTTTAATAATAACGTGTAGAACTCAGCAAACATTTAGGTATACAACTTTCTTCTCAATTTAAAGGCGCCCATTTCTTCAGTCATTGAATGTCTGTCGAGGTAAATTAGGTGACGCAACAGAATTGGATCTAACGTCGGTTAACATATTCAAAGAATTTCCGGAGTTACCGTAAAAAAGGGTTAAGAAAGCTGTAGCTAATATGTACTACTGTACAATTTCAATTATAGCCGACCAAAATGGGTTTATTTCCGTTGTGATTGGCGTATACAGGTATAGGACTCTGCAAGTTGTTGAAGACTACGTACCTCACCTTCTTATCCTGTCATGGATATCCCGTGATGAACGCAGAACGCATTTACTCTATTTGAAAATGAACGATTTAAGTGCAAGCCTGGATTTACTGGCGGTCGCCAGTATTAGAAAGGTTATGGGAGAGAGAGGGGAAGACGTAAAAAAAAGGAAGGAGAATATATTCATGCAAAAGAAAAATTAATAAATTCACACTCGAAAATTTCCCACCCCCACCTTAACTTTCTAATGGTCTGCTCCTTTGCCAACAGAAGGCATTGTGATCAGCTTGTTTCAATTACGGAGGCCATAATGATAAGTGTACACTGAATCGGAGAGAGCAATAAAATACGCAGGATGTCTACTCGTTTACCGGCTCGATTTAGGGTGGCTGACTTATATTGCGCGGAGCACCTCCGGTTTCTGTGTTTACAAAGTGTAACACTGGCCGTTTTCATGTCTTTTGTTATTACTGAGTACGTGGAATAGAAGCTGAAGACTTAATCATAACTTTACATGCTTTGAAAGTAAACGTGAAGTGTTAGCGTTTAATAAGTTGTTTAATTCTGACTTTTTCCCACTGCCTAATAAATATCGGTTGCTCTTTGGAGCCACAATATTTTAGAGTTCATCGAATCGTTGATGTTGTTCTAACGTTGAAATCGTTAAGGTCAAGATACCGCTATTATACTCCATAACTGATAAACATATCTGTCTTTTTTTACCAAATCTGGCGTGGCACCGGCTAAACATAATTTGGTTGATTGTTATCAAAAACCCTTTTCGGAACGTGACATAGGGAAGTCACGTCCAGTAGAGCTCAGATAAAACAGGCACACACGCAAACAGAGGTATTGTGTGTTTGGAATTAAGCCTGTTTCTTGGAGGGTTTATATAATTGAAATGCGGCCTTTTGAGACCACGAACGCTATCGTTAGTTGGTGTAAAGAGCATATTTTTTTTAATAAACAACGTAATTATTGAACCTGCTATAACAAAGATTGCTGTTTTATGAGATGAAGGCTATCGAAAGGCTAGCTCTCTAGCCAAACAAGTGATATTTTTGGCCAGCCAGCAGTCATGTTATTAATTTGCTCTAGGCTATGTGTCATTCGTCAGTAAATTATATTAACTTGTTATATATCAATCTTCAAAAAAAGTCAAGGCAAAGGGTTTTATGTTGTTAAGAAGAAAAACTCATAAGAACTCTGTTTTTTTGGGGAGGGGCGGTGGGGGGGATAGCGCCTTGATAAGGCTTTAATTCTGATCTTTCAACAAGCATCCTTGCCACTTTAAGCTAGGAGTCACCCCCCCCCCCCACCCCTCTGGAGAGGAAGGACTCAAGACTGAAGACTCAAGTATTTGAAATCTAGAAGTCGGCTATCTGCAATGTTCCTTCCAAAAATGATAGGTACGAGGGCTTGGGGGTAGACCACATTTTAGGTAGATACTAAAATTTAAACTAGTAATGCTAAATACCGATTTTATCACCTTAATTCTTATTGCGTGCGAACAGAAACGTGCAGTCAATTGCAAGATTAGCTGTTCTTCAAAAATAGATGACCTTCTTATCTATAGGTGCATAAATAACGATTATCATCCAGTCCAGTCGTCACATCTACGTTTTTAAAATAGCAGGCTCCCCCTTATTCGTGATAATTTTAGTCACGTTTGTCATGCGAATGCAGTAGAGGCGAAAGGAAGGTTTAAAACAATATATACAAACATTGAGGAGAAGGACTGCATTATATCTGACAACGAAACAGCAAAATATATAGTAATTTGTTAACGTCAGATACATTTTTTCACTGGATCCCCAGGGCATTTTCCTTAAGGAAAAACCCTGAAGCAGAGGTTCATGCCTTTACTCAATAGCCGACTGCAAAGCTACCTATACTGGTCTACATATATATTTATCAAATGAATTGCGAAAAGAAATGGCTATTTCAGTCGCCAGGTTTCTTGGCGTTTAGGACTGGCAAATCATGAAAACAGCAATTTTTCTGATATCACTGAACTGCCGGTGAACTGACTCCGGTGAAAATGAGCAATATCAGAATAACTTTCCACACTGAATAGGACCTAATCTAGACAATCTATGGTATCCTCTCCTAAGGCCAAGATGAAACTATCACAATCTGTTATATGATGTACTAAAAGTCTAATTGCCCACTCCCTCCCATAAAAATAAGAGATTGTAAAAGACTGTTCACACTCCCCCATTTTCCCGTAAGATCCTCGAGATCACGCGCTTTGCGCGTTACAGGCGGCCGTCTTGGATATGCAATGAGTAGGAAAGAGCTCGATCATGACGATCTTACGAAAAAATAGTTTAGCAAAATACAGCTGTTAACTTTTTTAGACTAGATTGCCTGGATTGTCATAAGAAACCTGTGGATCAATTTAGGTTTAGTGCAGTATCTGCAACGTACGTATTAATTACTACATTTAATTACATATTTAAAAGGATTTTTTTGAAGCTCGATCAAAGCCCGAAGGCGAGTGAAACTAGCTGTTACTTATGACGGATGATGGTGAAAGGATTAAATTTACTCGGGAAAATTGAAAAGTTATTGCTTCAATATATGCAAGAAAAAAGCTGAACGAGTGGACAAACAGCAGCAACAGCGACAATAACGACCTCCTCAACGACATCTTCCGTTGGTCCAACCCCTTACCCTTTTATATACCACTGCTCTTTTTTTTTTTTAGAGAAGGTACCTTTTGCATACTTTCTATTAGACTGCAAAACAGTCGGTTTTTTTCTCTCCCCAGTCTCGCTCTCTGTTTTCAGCCTCGTTCCAGACCTTTTGTTTGACTGCTCGCGCGTACTTGAATACGCAAAAATACGGACTGTTATGCAGTCTAACTTTCAAAACTTTGCATTCTAACTTAACAAAAAGTACCTTTCACACACCTAGTTACCAATCTTTCTTGTAGCCACCCAGTTTAGAGCAGTTCGTCTCTTCTAAATCCTGTAAATGTAATGCTTTTAAATATGAACAAACCACTGCAGGCCGCGAGCCAGTTTTCTTTACTTTGTCAAAAGCATAAAATTCGTCGGTTTGCTATTTAGTTTATAGATCGTCTTACAGATCGAAATGACAGATTTCCTTACTTGAACTAGAGAAGTCGCTACTCTTTTATGTACCTGAACCCACCAAAAAACCCGAGGCGCCTCTTTCGGGCGGAGCATTTCCCCATAAGCCATTACGTAGGGTACCCAGCCCGGGAGGAGTGGAGTTGCCATTGCAACGTTTACCTTGAGATTTGGTGTTTAGTTGCAGGGGCTTAGGATCCGGAATTAAATGCAGAAAATGCATTTCAGGCATTATGCCGCTTTACAATGTATACCTTTCATACTAATTGTTTCTGCAGTGACCTCTGGTTCATTATCATAGCGCTTCTCGATCATCCTGATCGTCATTAATCATGTATTTGGACATTTAAGTGTCTAGTACATTATTTACCTCTTTAACCCTTTGAGATTCAGAAGCGGCCAACGTACTTCCAACTTTCGACCAAATTTCTAAATTTCATCTTGTAAAACGATGTTGAAAAACAATTATAGCACACTTAATGTGAAATTAATGCTAAAGAGAAAAAACTTTGTAGCATATGGATTTCATCCGCATACTCAAACGTTTTAGAACCCGTTAAGACTCAGCTCCATCATTCATTTTTTCTTGTCCCAAATTTTATAATGAAAAAATAAAAAAAAAGGCCAATACAAATTCTGCACCTATTAAAGAAGAACTCTAAACTTTGAAATTGATGGGAACATAATAAAGGTACGTGTATTGAACGTGATTACTGCCCAAATGACGATCGACAATAGTAATGTATAATACTTGTGTAATAAGTGTTAATTCATTTAATGAACATATTAAGTAATGGTACGCCGAGATGTAATCTTGATAACAACATAACTGTCAGCAAGTGGAGATTGCCCACATTATTACAATACGAGAAATTCCGTACTAAAACAAGTTTGTTATAATTAGCAACAAGCCGGAAACACGCCGAATGTACCATAAATTCCGGCAATGGGCGGTTTTCGCCGATTGCAAAATAGGCGAACGAGTCTCTCCGAACCTTTCCGATGATATTTGTGGTTTTGACGCGGGTGTCTGAGAGAAGCAAGCCGTAGGAGACGTTTTAGTGGCCTTTTCCGAGCCTGAAAGCTATCTCAAAAACAGTCTTTGATGATTAAGAAAGTGAATTTCAGTTGTACTTGATAAGTAGTTGTTCACTTCTTTGTAGAACAGTCAAAGAATCAATCAATCAATCAATCAATAGATAAATGAATAAATAAATAAATAAATAAATAAATAAATAGTTTCTCGGTAGCCTTGGACCTGTCGTCTTCGCACCTCTGGAATACATTTCGTAAGTTTAAATCGATCGATTCGGACATGAAAAGGTCACGGTGGGTGGGATAGTACAAACACCTACTTTTGAATCTCTTCAGAAGAAAACCCAAAAAAAAACAAACAACACAAAAAACGTTCAAGACAGTCCGCAATTGGGGGTACTGTCCAATTACCTGTGGGAATTACACTGTCCTTTTTACGCTGAGATCAGGAGTAATTCATTGATTCAAAGTTCTACACTGCAGTTCTATCATTTTTTTTATGATGGATGTTAAAAGGGTTTTGGGCATGCAAAATTAAAGAACTGTTTAAAACTATGATTCATTTCAATAATTTTTGACCATTGTAATCGTAATGTGCATCAGTATAAATGTATCATAAATTATAATTGCGCAAAACCTGGATTCACGCTCGGTCATAGGTACACTAGATTAATTACATTCCGACGATGGGCGGATTTTGAAGATACTGAAGATTTAATACAAAATAGGAATTTTTCCGAACCTTTCCGACTATTACCGTTGCGTGGTCCAGTCGTCGTTGAATTGGGCTGTGGACGGACATGAAAATGATAATCGTGAGAGACATTCTTCAACCGACTTGTCCAACCTCATTTATTTATTTGCTGTTATTGAATTCCGATGATAGGCGACTGCATTCGATTGCGAAATATACGAAATACGAGTCTTTCCGAAACTTAACGATTATTACGTTAATGTGTGGTTTGTGTGAGAAGTCCATAAATTGAAACCATCCCCACTATCCGGTGGTGTCGGATGGTTTAGTTTTCATTAAAATCTTGACTAAGGCTATAAATGTTCACACAAGGCACAAGATACATGCAAGATAGCTTTTGCGCTGGCACGAAAACCGTACCGTAAGGCTTCTGTTGACACAGTAACGATCCATAATTAAGAACGCGGCCGTTGATATTGGCGCGATTTCTGAAACAGTCAGCGAAGCGGTGCCGCGCCGACATACCGTAAAATTCCGAAAATAAGCCCCTCCAAATATAAGCCCCCCAAAATCGTAACGCAAAAAACCCTCCGTTAAATCGCTCCGCCGAATATAAGCCCCCCGGGGGGGCTTATACTTGGAATTTGCCCTCGAATACAAAGTAAAACAAAGCAAAAATGGTAAATTTCCTTTCCACTACAAGCTTGCTCAGTCAATTTTTGAAACGCCAATTTCCCTCCGTACATAAGCCCCTCCGAATATAGGCCCCTCCAAAAATAAGCCCCTCAAAAAGGGCCTTTGAAAAATATAAGGCCCGGGGCTTATTTTCGGAATCTTACGGTATGCTCCAAAGCCGGGAGCTTTTCGTGCCCAGTATAGTGTGAACATAGCCTACGGAATACAAACTCTTCAGTTTAAGACAATCAAGTTGGACAGTAGCGAGTAGACTCTAGCTTCCAAAAAGACCATTGTTTTTGAGACAACAGATTAGTTGATAACGTAACTTTCTTTGAGAGTTTTTAGCGAGATAAATGTGACTGAGAATATACCAAATCAGCTCAGCTTTAACGGCGATCAAAAATGCACCGATTGTTTTCAGTACTTTTTTTTTGACTTTGCAACTGACCCTGCAAAGGATTTCATGATTTTACCGGCATTCATATTGTAGCCAATAGATATCTTAAAGAAAAAAATGAACCTTAAACGCAACATTCCGCCCGGTTCAACGATAATGACATGCTCGAAAAACACGGTTACCCGGCAAACTGAGAAAAAAAAACTCCAATATATGTAAAAATGCAAGAGGGTTTTACCCTTAACTGCAGACTGGCACTAAATCTCAGAACTAAAATAAATAGCGACATTTTGTAATCATATTAACTGGCTATTACGTATTTCACAAAAAGGTTTAAATTGAATCGTGACTGAGGGACCTTAAAATCTGTAACCTTTTGGCCACTTTTGGCTTTCATTAATTGGATCATACATGGTTGTGTAGATACCTTACGAATTTTAATTTGTGCCCTTGAATAAAGAAAAAAAAAAAAAAGGAGATGACAGTTTCGAACTTAACCCAACACTATCACATTCCTCATTGTCTCTGAGCATGCAAAAGACGTACGTCTTCACGTCTGACCTCCAATGCCATGGTGACTGATTCCTTGTTGCATCACAATGCTCAAAACGTTTTGGTAGATTTTAAAATTAGTGAAATACATCCTTCCACTTTATGAAACAATCCTTTTAGCTTTAATTTGAAAATGAATCAGACAGCTATCACAATTTGAAAATATATTTTATTTTAATATATTTGGTATATAATGATGGGAAACTTCTGCTGCTTCTGCGGAGCCAGGTTGGTCTTTCTCGTCTGTCAAAAAAAAAAAAAAAAAAAAAAAAAAAAAGCCTAGTCTACTGTTCAATAAATCCTCAGCTAGCTGCTTTTTCAGGGACCACGAGTGGTCCCTTAAGCTCAAGGCAACAGACAGTAAAACACACACAACACAAACACAAGTTGACTTATTTTTGTACGCGAATTTTTTCAGTCTGAAAACTGTCGGCAACTAATCTAATTTTATTATAACTTTGTAACCGTCCCAAGAATTCCATGCACTTGCTTTCGAGGGGAACAAGATCTGGTTTCGAGTCTGCAAGAGCCCCGTGAATGAAGATCCGCCTGCAAGCCGTCAACCTTGGATAGGGCTTTCCACAAGTTGCTTGCTTGGCAACTTTTTGGCATCTTCTCGTATTTCGAGCAACTGTTTGAATTCTGAGCAATTTCTCTAGTTATCTTCTAATTCTGAGATATTGGAGCAACTTTTAGTGCTTAAATTGGCCATGGCCTTTCTTCCATATTTCACAACGTTTTAGTAGACAATTCATGAATTTCCTGTAAAACACGGAGCGAAATCCTCCCCGCCCCCGGCAGATAATGGGCGCAAGATAAAAGTAGCCGCGTTACTACAGGTCAGCGGTTTTAAGGAAAATTCAAAATGGGGGACGAAGATTAGACGGACTCGAGCGAATCTGGCGAAGAAGGTCACTCAACAATTTTATTGGTTCATTTCATTTTTTGTTTTTTTTAATTGAGGACATTAGCATTGTTGGTTACTCCGCAAAATTGCACAAAAATACTTAACTTAGAAATCGTACTTTTGTCGGTACAATTTGCATGTTTTAGCATCAGACCAAAAAAACTTTTCGTTTTTTCGAGCACCTTTTGAGCAACTTTCGTTACAAAAAGCAACTTTTGAGCAACTTTTTGAGAAATTACTGGAAACGTTTTCAAAAATCTCGAGCTAATCGTGGAAAAAGTCTAAGAACAGAGCTGAAACAACTGGCGTTGAAACAATATTTCGGCTAGCCAGACCAGTCTTCTTCAGTTAGTTGTAATTTAACGAAAGGAATGGTGGGAACAACATTTGCCTGCGCCTGGTGTTGTCGTTTCAACGAATTTTTTGGATCGCGTTTTTTCCGAGGATCAAGCTACGCGCGAGTAATTTCGCGACACGCGAGAAGTTATTATGCGGTCTCCCATCATGCCTTTGGAATTTAAGTTCCATGATGGCGGAAAATTTCCACAATATTTATGGGGTTTACGTGTTTGGCAAATGACGGCATGAGTTAGAATCGACAAAAGAAACGTTGCCATGTCTGGAAACGAAGGAATAACGCTCCAGTCTGTCCGGGAATTTTTAGTCAAGAACAATGGCAAAGTAAAGAACATAGACCTTGTGCATCACTTTAGACAACAGCTCAATGATCCTGCCAACAAGAGTGAGTACAAGTTCGCCGAGCTGAAGTTGGATTATTTTTGTAATCGGTGGCTTTGTTTTTACTGATTAAATATGAATTCCTGCAGGCAAAGTACGCGGTGAATTCAAAGAAATTGTGCACACAATTGCTACTGTCCAAACAATAGATGTAAGTAAACTTTCCCGGATTTTATACTCAAACTTTTCTGATAGTAAGCTTATTATCGTAACTTCCGCCGATTGACTCGGGAAGTGAAACATTCCATTTGAAATACACGTAGCCGTCTTTCTGAGTGATTGTTATTAAAGTGATCATGCATGCTGCGACATATTGCTGTTGTATTCAACGATGTAAGCAGATATAGAATTAATTTTATTTTCAGACAATACTATTAGGCAAATTTTGACAAGGGGCTGGTATTCTTCAAATTAGATAGAGCTAAAATTATCGAGGTTTCTTTTTCTTTTTAGTCTTGTTCAAATTAAGAATCAAAACAATGGTTTTAGGTACATTTGTTTTTTAGTATTATTTTTGAAAGGATTATTCTCAGTACATTCTTATACCTACCATCTTTCTTAACACAAATCACATATTTTGACTTTCCAAACTCAGTGGAGCAACAATACGCAATAATGAAAGAAATAACATATTACAGTGTATAATGTGAGGTGTTGTGTTATAAAGGTGTCAAGATTGTGGGATAATGGTGAAGAACTGCCTCCCACAAAACCAGTTAGAGAGGCAGGGGGGAGGGGGAGGGTGTTTATGTCCCTAGTGTGACTTTTAAAATTGTTGTTTTGCACATTGAGGAGGAAGCTATTTTGCTGTTAGTATTTTACTATTTCATTTGTGCTGTTGCAGTTGTAACCTATCTTTGTGTCATTTGACTCATTTTCTGCTGTCCTGTATCGCTGTTTCAAGGCTATGTCGCTTGTTGGAATTAACCCTAACCGGGCCTCGTTAGATGACTGTCAATCAACTATTCACCAACAGTTGGCTAACAGTTACAATAAAATAACTTTTTTAGGAAGGTAGCTAAGCTATTGAGTACATGTAGTAACAAACTACATAAATAAAGGTTGAACTCTTTAATCATTTCATTTTGCGGAAAAAAATGCCGATCAACTTCTCTTAGCCAATGGAGTGGATGCTTTTGTCGTGTGTGGTGTTTATTGAAAGCTCTATGGGTGTCAAAAAGTTTTACGTTATAGAATTATTATTGTGTACACTGCATTTCATTGTATTCTAAGCGTCTTATAGCAATTATGTTCTCTGTAGGGTGAAAAATACTTTGTTCTTAAGAAACCCAAAGAGGCCCCGGCAGTGCTACGGAAACCTCCAAGACCTACAAAGCACAAGGATCGACCTGTTTCTCTTCCTCCTGTTTTCCGTGGAGCAAAGTTGGAGGAAGTGCCCCAAGGGAATTCTGCAGTTTTTGGTAGAACCTATTCTGAAGATTCAGAATCGCCCAGTCTCGTTCACGCAAACAAAGAAAACAGACCTGTTGATAGAGGAGATGGAAGGGATGGAAATAATGGATCTGGTGATAGTGGCCTTGAATCTGATGTAAGTCTGACTGGCTAAATGAGTACAGGTGTAACTGCAAAGTGAATTTATGGGGGTACAGTGACCTTGTTCCTGGGGTGGAGGATTAGGGTGAGAGGGTGCCCATTGTCTTTCTTTGTGGTAGGAATTGCAGATTTTGGTCTTATGGGGTGTTGTGGTTGGAAAGCTAATATTTTACAGGGTTCTCATTATTACAGTGTAAGTCCTGCAACTGGCTACATGTAAAAAACTGGCTATGTACAGTACTTTGAAATGTGAGAAGTGTACATTACTTTTTAGGAAAAAGGGGTAAAGTGAGGCAGGAAAGCCTGAAATTGCCTATGTACTGTAATTACTTGATTGTTTAGCTGCCTATTTGTACATCCTAGCTGGCTACTTAAAACCTGAATGAGAACCCTGATTTTAGCCTAATTTTTTGTTGTCTCACACTTGTAGGGTTGTAAAATAATTTGCAAATATCTGTTACACTCTACATGTACATGAAAGAGCAAACAAACAAACAAATGCGATCATACTATGTAGCTGTATGGTTGTCTTCAAGGGTCGAATAAAGCCTGAGTCATGCTCAGATTGGTCAACTTTAGGGGTTTGACTCTAATTTTCTGATGAGCATCCTTGTCACTTTCAGTTTGGGAGTTCCAGCCATGTACATTACATTGTACTTTGTGGAGATGAAAAGGGTGCTAGTAGTATACTTTGATTCTTATACAAAACTGTCCACGAAAACCGGCGGGCATGTACACTGTAGTCTCTCTGACTCTTTGTGTCAAAGCTTAGATGGGGATGTTTGCTCTCCATTTCTCAGTGTTTGTTTTTTAGTTGTACCTTTTAAACTGTCTAGGGAATCTTGCGTTGTGTTAAGCCTTTCTAAGATTATTGATATTTAGTATTTTACTGATATTGTAATCTCGAACTTGATTAAATTTAAAGTTAAAGTCAGGGAGTCACAAAATTATTCTTTATATAATTTTGTAGTCCAGCAGTTCAGTTGGAAGTTTTACAGCATCAGAGAAATCCACCATTCAGATGCTGCAAAAAAAATTTTTAAACGCTGACAAGGGACCTTCCAATGGGCAGCCTGATAACAGGGTTTCTAAAAGCAATGATGAACTGGTGAGTAAACGTAGAGGCTAGAAGGAATTATTAAAGTCACAGTATGGAAGGAACTAAAACCATTAGGGCAAGTTACTAGTAGCTTTCCCATTTTTAAAACAAGAAACCAACATATATTCTAGAACCTTTAACTGAAGATACTGCATTAATATTGTAATTATTGTAATGATAATTTATAAGGCTAAATTGTAAATTATCATTTACCAGGCTAACCTACAAAAACTAAAAATTTCAGTTTTTTACATATGTATTCAAGGGCAGATTAAATTTTACTGTAATGAAGTTTGAATATTGATAATAATGTCTAATTTTTTTTGTTCAGGATCGAATGGATGAAGACATGGACGGTAGGTTACTGTACACAGCTGTTAGATTTGAACTTATAGTTTAAAACATGCACTTGACTGAACTTGTACCCTGTACCTTACAGTTATACAGTAATTGGTGCTATTAATTTTTGTAGAGAAGATGTGGGCACCTTCAGTGATTTTGTTACCTCTGTGTCCTGTGTCCCTGATGCATAAAAATCCCTAAAAATGCAAAATAATTCATGGCAAGGCATGCATCCCGTAGGATGCAAAGAGTGATCGATCGATTTGAAGATTTTTTGGTTTAAAGATGCATATTTATTTTAGTCTTTTTTGTGCTTTAAATGTATAGAAGGACTGCATTTTTAATTTCAGTAACCAGTAATAAAGAGTTTTGGATTCTGTCTCCAGATTATCTGTCTGGTTACATAAAGGCCCAAGCAATTCTAAAGTAATTCTGGAAAAAGTTAATGTGCAATCTAGTTTTCCTGACCTGAAAAAAGTCCGGAAAATACATGTAAAGATTAAGTCTCGAAATATGGTAAAAAAAAGTTTGGAGTTTTTGTTTACTATTACATGACTTTGTGCTATCTTTATTTTATCATCGTGTGACTTCACAATGTTGGTCTTCCAGTGAGCCATACGTGTAAAAAAAAATTACATGAGTTTTTCAAATTACAGCAGTAAAAAATTCCAATGTTTTGTATAAACTTAAAGAACAAAGAGTTACAACTGTACAATAAACTTAATTACATAATAATAATGTTACACAGCTGTATTTATGCACTAAAAATAATTTATGCTTTTTACAAAGTCATTGTCTCTGAAGAATGATTTAAAAAGGTCTAAGCTTTCCTGTTCTCTTACTTCTATAGGGAGTTTGTTCCAGAGGACTGATCCTCTGTAGGCTATATTTCCCTATGTCCAACGTGGGTTTTAGGGAATATTCAAGTTAACTGATTAATTTCTTAGGTTATAAGAGCACTTGAATGTTTAATATAATTATTTCTTAAATACGGTGTGGAAATTTCATGAGTTATTTTGTACATTAGAATTAGTGAGTTGTCTCATCTTTCTGTCTTCTAGTACTTCCCAACTGAGTTCATCCAATAAATCTTTAGATAGTGTTTCAGAATTTGATAAAGTCACTATTCTAGCACTTCTATTTTGGAGTAGCTGAAGTTTTCTGATAATCCTTTCCTTATATATCCCCACACACAGCTGGAGTAATCAAAATAGGGCACAATAAGAGTTTGGTACACACATGGTTTCTCTAGTTTTGTATGGTATATGGTTACACACCTTACATGTACATTGTAGACCTGACAAGCCTGCTGATATTTTTTTTGAAATCTTGTCAATATAAAATATGTGTTTTCCATGAGAGATTTTCATCAGATGAGACTCCAAGAGATTTATAAACATTCACCCTTTCTATGGGTATGTTATTAACCTTAACCTTGAAATTATCTGACAGTAGTTCAGGTCTGGGATGACTCTCTGTAACATGTATTTGGTCTTTTTGAAATTTAAAGTAAGCTTATTCACCTTAAGCCATGTCTTAATTTTGTTCACATCAGAATTTATTTTAACTTGTTAAGTACAGGTCGTATCAGGATCTTCAGCTGTGGATGTTAAATTGGTGTTGTTTGCATACATTCTAGGCCTTGAGTACAGTTGACTAAGGGGAAGTCGGTTATGTATAAAGTAAACAACAGTGGACCAAGAATAGATCCTTGAGGAATTCTACGCGTTAATGTACAGAATTCAGAAACTTCACCGTCAACTAATATATAGTTTTCTGTTTTTGCTGAGTAAGATATAATTGAAACCATGCTACATGTACATTTGCGACTAACTCCATAAAATTCAAGTTTATTGAGGAGGATAGAATGTTCCATGGTGTCAGTTCAAAGGCTTTTTTGTAGGAAAAAATTTTTCTTCATTTTTTTTCTCAATCTTATTATATGTTATTAAATATATTATTATTAATATTACTTAAGTTTTTGAAACAAGCTTTTCCTTTTGGCAATGTTGTATGGTGATTTGTGATGCACCATTATGATACAGTTCTACATCGTACATGTATGTAAGAGATTTTGTACTGTTTAGTTTGAAATTGATATATTAAACTAATTATTATCATTGTTTATGTCACAGTTATGTAATGTATTAAAATTTGTACTTCTAACTAATGACTGATTAGGATTTAAAATAGATTACAGTGTATATTAGGTGCCAGTTCAAACCAATGAATTAAAACAGTGGCTTGTGAGATTAATGAATTAATAGATATTAGACGGTAATATTATTAAGTGACTTCTTTTTCAATCCTTGAATTCTCCTGAAAATAAATGATATGGATTGTCAAGCTAGTTAGGACAGTTGCAGTAGTTAGGACAGGCCAGGTTGTACCTGTCACAGTAATTATAATATGGTGAGTGTTCATGAGTACCCCCTTCCTCCGAAACCAGCTGCTGACTTTAAAATGATTTTATAGAAAAATACAAATTTTATCACGAATGTTGTAATTTAAAAATTTAAAGTGCTCAAATGGATGTGACTGAAATTGATGAAAAAATATTCTTGTTATACCTGTCCTTGTATTATGTGTAGTTGTATACATGTCCATTGTGTATGGTGTGTCGTTCTTGTAGTGTTTGCATTTTTGCTTAGTACAGGTATCACTTAGTCACAGCGTCTTGCTATTAAATAAATTTTGTTGTGCTAAAATATGTTTTTTTGTTTTTGTCCAAGATACAATGTAATACCAAGAAAAAAACAATTCCGAAACTTTTTTAAAAAATTTGTTTTTCATACAGTGTGCATCAGTTTGCTTGTGAGGAAGTCGGTCAGAGTTTTCATCTTGAATTAAAAGTTTGAACTCTTTTTTTATTTTGTACTAAATAAATGTTTGAAAATGTAGGATATTTACCTGGAATGCTTAAAATCATATCACTCAAAGCACTTAATTAAAAAGAAGATGCACGTACTTAACAAACCATGTTGCTTTTCTAACTGCTTTTTTGGCTTATGAATGAAAAAAAATCATGTCTGATTTAAATGCTTTGACTCAGTAGTTACATACATGTAGCTACATGTATAGGTTGTCAGTTTATTTTTGATCTGTAAGCATGCTTAAATGTACTCTTCATCAAATATTTATCATGTGCCACCTGCTCGTCTGATGCTATAAGTGGGCTGAGTTTTCAAAACAAAAATATGAGGCTACTGAATGAGATTTTAATACATTCAGAGCAAGTTCAGGTGTAAACCACCAGGATTTTATGTTAAATTTTGCAGTCAAAGCAGGCGGACAGGGCTACAGAAGAAATCTGTATTACCTACTGTAAGGATAGGTTTTTGTCTTTGCTCAGTTATGTTTGTTCATGCATGGCCAGACAAAGGAGGGTCCGAAAAAGTGAGTCTTTCAACTGCTTATAACATGACTTTGACATATATAATTTGTAATTTATTTTACAGCGTGTTTGCATGTAATTCTGAACGAAATATTTTGTAGCATTTTACATAAGGATGCCTGCCTGTCAAATTGCCACATTCTGCAATTATTTTTACTAGTGTATACATGTATTCATTGTACCAGGACTACTTGTACATGTCTCATGGTTTTAAAATTTAAAAGCATGTCTGCAAATATTGATATCTCTGTTAATATGAAGAATGAAAGAAGGTAAATATTTTAGTTTTAAAAAAGGATATTCTTTTGTAATGAAAAGCTTGCTATTGATTCGTTAAGATTATAATAACATTTTTATTTTATGAAGTGGTCTTATGTTTTTTCCCTAATGTATTGTACATATAGTTTTTCACAGAAAATTAAGCTAAGTGCATTTTTTCAATTGTATTTGTGTCAGTTGTATTGAACTGTTAGGGGAAGTTACTATTATTTATTTACTTTATATTTACATCGAAGGCTTTGAAATTTAGGGGTTACCGTACGACTAGGTACACTGTAGGTACAATGTACAGTATGTGAGTAAAAAATTGTAATATTATAGTCGCTCTATTAGCAAAAAGTGTTTTATAACAATGACAACAAATTTGGTGCTTTTAGACCTACGTTAATTTATTCTTTAGACAATTCGGACACTTTGTATTGTTTTCCATTTTTTGTTTAGTGCTCAGGAACTCATGAAGATGTCAAATTTAAATTCCCAAACATGGGAAATAATTTGTAATTATTTCAAGCACTATGCATTTTTGTATTTATTAATTAAAAGTAGTGAATGTATTATTTTAAGATGACTTTTATATTGCATAGACAGTCAATATGAATGACTTTATTTATATTTCAGGGCAATATTTATCTCTTTGTTACATTTAATTTAAGTTTCTCTGCCATGTGTTTAATTAGCAAAAAATTAATAAAGGAATAAACAGTATAACAAGAACATAAAGATTATGTTCTTGGTAAAGGGTGTTATATTATTTAAACTGTATTCTCATTTACTATGTTTTCAACCTTCATTGCAGCTTTAGAGTGTGAAAAACATTTTTTTTTGTAGATTTGATGTTTTCTAATTAATAATGACATTTCTGTTATTACTTTTCTTGGAGCCTTAAACAGAGACAATGACTTCTTTAACTAATGCTTAAACTGTTAGCAAGGTGCTGACTTCCCGTTAGTGGTGTGTTAAAGACGCTATAGCTATCTCTCTATGATGTTTTTAAGCTCCAATATCCAGATACAAATTCTCCCAACTGATCTCAATACTTTTCCGTAGAATTAGTTTAGAGAATTTTCTCACAGATCAGAGCATGATGCTCCCTTTGATGACCATTTATTTTATTAATTCTCATAACCTTTACCCTTGATTATGTATTGTCATTGAAAGGAGAAACCTGATACTGGTCACTCTTGGGACAAAGATAGTTGATAGACATTAATAGCAGGTTGCTTTACATTTTTAGAGGAATTGTTTTTCCATTTTAGCAAGATTATTTAATTTTTTTTTTGCCTCTAGGGGATGACTTGTTGATGGGAGGACCAACAGCTCATGTAAGTTTGAATTACTGAAGAAAAAAACAAAACACAATAGCTAGTACATGTAGTATGTACTTAACAAATCAACAACAGTTTTCCATGCTCTGTACTATAATCAACCATAGAAATGACATCATAATTTTCAAAACTCAAGTAGAACCATTTTGGCATCATTTCTATGGTCGATAAGAGTACAGACCATCGAACATTTGTCTTGATTTGTTTTTTACAATAACATCAGAAGTTTTGACCTCCATTTCTGTTGAAAATTTTTGGCAAGTTGTTTGACGCGTGAGAAAGAGAAAAGCAAATTGTGCCATCATGTTATTTTGATGGTCTGTACTCTTATCAAATGTAGGTTTCCACCAATCAATGCACAAGAAGTTGGACAGTTATTGTAAAAAGTCATGCAGAAATGTTTATCATTATTTTTTATTGTGCATATTGTAGCTAGAGCCATTAGAAAAAGAGTGGTTCATAACAGCAGCAAGAGGAAACAGAGCTCAGATCATGTGTTTACTTGAGCAGGACCGTAACCTGGCAACTAAAAAGGTTAGTTTCCCTTAACATACAGTAGTTTGTTCAAATCACAAGACATTGAGAGAATGTCCCATCACAAGACAGTCATTATTAAAACATCTTAAGCTGCAGACACTCAAAGCAGATTATTAGCCTCCTTCAGTGTGTTTATTTTAGACCTTGTAAGGTCTTTGTTGGGACTTATTTTAACGGCAACCTTGGAAGTCTCTTTAGTTTAGAAAAAAGAAAAGCCTTTAGCCTTTAGTGCAAATCTAATTTTTTGAACTTGCTTCAGAAAATAGTTATAGCATGTTATTATGGGCAAAAGTTAGTAATAAACACATTGTTTGAAGTAACGAGAACAGCTGGATTACCAGGTGTATTAATTAATTATTATAATGGATTCAAGGGCAGTATTACTGTATGTTTTAAACAGTTGATAAATTTGAAGAGCGTACTAGGAAGAAATAATTATACAGTTAGCCATTAAGTACTTATCAAAGTGACAAGTTTGTAAACAAAATAATGTTCAGCATGAGATTGATGACACGATTTGTTGTGGCCATTGAACTTGTCTTTCAAGGAGGGAGTCAGGGTGACTAGATTATTTAAATTTTACATCAGTCTTATGTTCACACAGCACAGCCACAATGCAGCTAGACTCCTCAACTTGCCATTAATTGTTGTTTTTGCTTTACTTATGATTCCAGGACTTTATGCTGGTAGGTACATTAACTTACCTCTGTAATTCTCTTACAGTGTATGACTTGATTAAGGTTAGACAAATGTTTAATTATCAGCTGTATACTAAGAATTATTGACTGAGGCTTGTTAAAAAAAAAAAATAATTAAAACAAACTACGAAAAAAAATGTAATGCTACACCTGTAAGCTTAAAGCTACATGTAAGATCAATGATTATTACTTTGTATCACTTTTTATCTATAAGTATTAAGTTGGTGATTTCTAATTTGCTGAATAATCAGATTTTGATGTATGCTTTGTAAAAATTTATAAAAGGGTTTACTAACTATTTTTCTTCTCTGTGTTTCCTTTGTTGACCATTCCTGATGCAGGGGGTAAGTTCTTTCATCTATTTTATTTTATTTATTTATTTTTTTGCCATCTTGAGTAAAATTGTGAATTAAGATATTACTTTGACTTACTCCAGGTGTACACTGTACATGTTAATTAGGATTAAATCACTAATGTTTTTCTTATTTCTTTTTGCCCACTCCTGCCATGATTTTCTCCTGCTTCTTCACGCAACTAAAAATTTAGTATGTAAGTATAACTAACTGTACCACTGCACTTGATACATGTATATTACAGAACCAGTATTAGGATAATTGCATGACTCAGGTTTTGCACTCTAAACCTGTCAACTCTGTAAAAAGATTAAGTGATCATACCCTTGGATTGGCACTGTACATTCTTATAAACAACTCAGGGCTACAAAAATGTAGGTTATTCCAAGCTGGGTTGAGAAAATCAAGGGTTAGTGCAAAATTTGAATTCAGATCTTAATGTTTACAAAGCAAATTCCTGTTAATGTTTTAGCGTACAATTTTGATGTTTTGATGCTGTTAAACAATCTCACTTAAAGTTAACTGACGACATGCCTTTGAACAATATAAACAGGAACTTGGGTTAAAATTTAAACCCTCCTTAAGAGATACACTGTAACCAGCCTTCCACAAAAACTGGGCCCAGGACGTGACAATGGTCATGGTAACTAGTTCTGGAGATGCACCAATTGTTGCTATCTGCCCTTTGCTCAAGATTGAAGGAACCCTGAGACTTGAATTTCAGTCAAAACTTTGTGAGATTTTTCAGTGGACTTTGTAGATCATTGAATTCAATTTCATGTTAAGTGGTTGAGAAGGCCAAATTTCCATTCTGGTGAAATTATGAGTGTTTTAACCATGCATACGATGGTTCATAAAAAAGTTTGTAAAATAATTCTGTCAGTTGGCTGGACTCTTTATTGTCTTGCTTGCTGTCAAACATGAATAATGTTATTACCTAGATGTATTTTTAAAATACTTATTATCAGTCTTATCTTATTTTGTTATATTTGATTCATTTATTTATTAAAAACACAGACTGCACTTCACTGGGCAGCAAAACATGGAAGAGCAGATATTGTTAAGCTGTTAGCTGGCACTCATGGAATTGATGTCAATGGAAAAACAGTAAGTAATAGTTATTCACTCTCTTTTTTGTAGCGCCAGGATTTAAACACGGATGGAATTTTATCGTCTTTTGCATGTTATTTTAGGAGTGTAAATTCAACAAATACGGACAGTATGACACTCTAAGAACCTAGTTGTACAGACGACTGTAGTAATCGTAAGATTTCAGTGTAAGCATGAGGTCGACTTTAGGTGCAGTTATGTCATCAGAACTTTAACTCACAGTCTCTTTCGTTGTATGGGAATAAGCTATTTAGGTGTCTAAGCGTAAGACATAACATTCTTCAGTACATCTGATTGCATAAATGCTTAAAAGCTAACGTATTTCACGTTATGCACTCACATTTTTTCTTTCTTTTTTTTCCTTTTCCACCTTGTCTTCTGTGGTTTTCGTGAACAGAATGTAAGTATTTGTTGTAAGATTCTTGTCTTATAAAATTGTATTTGTTAGTGTTAAATGGTTTCGACCCTAGGTTCACTTTCACTTCCCTCTGCACTAGGCCTATTTATTCATGATGGTGAATCCTAATCATTAAGAGGAATGGGAATGTAAGGAAAGTGAGAATCAAACTAGGTTGAAACCATTTTAACCTGATAATGAAAACAAAATGTGTTAATAATGACGACGTTTAGGTTTTGTGTAATATGTAGTGTCAATTTACTTGTTATTGTAATAAGTTGATAAAACTATAAAGTGCTGACAAAGGTTTTTTCTTTCTCCTCTCTTGTGTATGTGGATCATTTTTCCGCCTTTCAGGGGGTAAGTTGCTTTTCCCGACATTTCTATATAATTATTGTTGATTGAAGGGAAACGTTGTTTTTCTTGTACAGATTATTATAGTGTTCCAAAATACGCTTCTTACGAGGCCAAATTTGACGAACTATTACAGCTGAGAAAGCTTTACAAACAAACAAACAAACCGCAAAAAGCGGGAATGAGTAGAAATTGTGAGGTTACTTTTGCCCTGCGAGCAAGCTTTGACGAGCGAAGCGAGTGGTGAGAAAACGTGCAAGCAAAGGGCTATGGAACGGACCCTTTCGTATTCGCGTCCCCTCTCGCTTGCCGCTTGCTCTTGTCTTTTCACGTTATCCCTAATTGGAGAGCTTGCTGTCAGGCTAGTTTAATTTGAAAAACGGTACACGTCTCCTACGCTACAACTCAAATCCGATGACATTTTCCAAATATGGCATGGCATTGCCGGTCATTTTTCTCTGCCCTTATTATTATTTTTAACCAACGCTAGCTTCAATTACCTCCGTTAAGGTACAGGTATAACACACTCACTTTTCAGCCTTGCATGGGCGTTTCGTTATGCCCACGATTTGCCTTTCGTCGCTTTGAGAAAATTCGTGGGCAGAGTCTGGCAGGGTAAACAAAAGTACTGTTTACTTTGCTCAATAACAGTAAGGTTTCACCAAAAGTGTTCACAATCTGTTCCATTGTTTCTTTCATTATCGGCAGGGTTACACTCCACTTCACTTAGCGGCCATGCATGGACATGATGATGTCATTAAACTGCTTGTGGCTGAATATGGTAAGTAGCTCTAAGCAATATTCAGTATTCAGTAGTATGAGAAAATATTTTGGAAAGTTTGGAAGGAAGGTGAGCGAACCCCGGACAAAACCTTTGAGACAAATCAAAAACGTGTTTTGTATTCCGGCAAAATTAAACCGCCGCCAAATGAATGGAATCCAAAGTTGGATAGAAAGGTGAGCTAGGTTTTTAACCAAGAAAAGGGGTGGGGAGGGTTTAAATTTTGTGTTTAGACAAACTCTTAAAAAATAGATTTTGTCTCAACAGTTTTGTCCGGGGTTGTGAAAAAAAGGGGACAAACTCTTAAAATGTTTCGCTTGGGCTGAGAATGGGGCTGTTCACACTCGGTTCCCTTGAGTACTTGTTCCTGGGATCCGACACAAAATGATCATTTCTTAAACCTTGGGTACTTTTCATGTATTTGTGTACGTAATTTCTTCCATTTCGCCCGATCGGACGTTATTTTGACACGTGACAGAAGGACCTTCAGTGCCCACTTATGAGCCGTTGGGCAACAGCACCGTGTACGAATTCTGGTGTTGGTACTTGAAAAAACGGTTTGTTCACATTAGTGCCCAGCGAGCACCGTACTCGGGTACCATGCCTGGGCACCAAGGGTGAACGTTGCTAATGCCGCTGGGAAATTACCCAACCCATTATCAAAATGAACATTTCTGAATGGTCACGTTAACATTTGTTTTAAGCTATGTCCAGATCAATCCGTTTGGTTTCGTTAACCCTTTAAGCCATAAGATCCACATACAAATTGTCCAGACTAATCTCCATACATTTCTTTTAAGAACAGTTGAGAGAGTTTTAGATCAAAGCATTGTTCCTTTGGTAATCAATTTAGTAATTCTCATAGCCTGTACTCTTGTTGATCTGCTGATGTTGTTAGGAGAAAATTGATGTTGGTCGTTCTTGGGAGGGTTCACGTATCCACAATTACGGCTTTTCGCAATGTAGTATACATTGTACATGTTATTAGCAGGTTCACAGGAAAGTAATCAGTGGTACAGACGCGATAATCGGGTGACATGTTTCGATTTATCTGTTTTAACGTTTTATTTTGTTACAGATGCTGATATTAACAGTCGCGATCACAGTGGCAAAAAACCCAGACAGGTGGCCAGAGAAGGACTTACGATTGAGGCTCAAGGTAAACAAGTGGATTCTTTAATCCTTTGTGTTAACCATTCAAGCCCCTTTATCAACATACCAATTCTCCACACTGATCTCTATACATTCCTTTAAGAATTAGTTGAGAGAATTTAATCTTTAATCTTTAATTTTAAGATCGAGGCATTTTCTCGTTGGTGATCATTTCTATTAATTCTGCTGACCTTTTCTCTTGATTTTATATCAATATTGTAAGGAGAAAATTGGTGTTGCTCACTCTTGGGAGTTAAAGGGTTCAAGACAGTTAATTAGAGTTATTCAGAACAATTGTAGTATTCACCAATTTCACTATCTCTCCTTCTATTTTTATTCTATTCCAGTACACTCTTACTTGTCCTTATTGTCAGTCAAGGTATGGGCGCATTAATCCAACGCCCTACTTGATCAGAAGGTGAAAACCTTCCCTTCCCACTGTAAATGAAACCACGAATTTCCAGCGATAAATGAGGGTGGGTGGGTCGTTGTGCAACCTACCTCCTTGGGCGCTTGATCAAATTGAAGGCATACTGCAATGGGAGTTTGTCTATTTAAACATGATTAGTTATTAATAGGAATCATAAGTCTTACAGTAATCTATCCATCCATCCTGGTTTAATAGAGCGGTTTTCATTTGAGTATCGTAAAACCAAAACCAAAGTAATTACTCTAGCCAATCACAAAGGACACAGACAATACAGTGAACCAATTAAAACTCGAAGTAATTACATGTAGCTGACGCAAAGCGCGGGAAAATGCATGCGAGCGTGACACAATTGGTTTTGGTTTTCCTTCTGATTGGATAAAAAAGTGGCGCGAATCTTTTAAGCCAATCACGTAGCGTAGTAAACGCAAAACCAATTACCTTTCGACACTCAAATGAAAACCGCTCTAAAGTGGCTGTTAATAAATTCTTTTTTGGCTGTTTTCATGCATGTATAAATAATGGCCAGAGAGGGGAGTCGAGGGAAGTCGGGACACTAGAACCAATTAACGAGAAAATAATCGTTCATCACTGCAGGACCAAAACATACCCTATTTTACTATTATGGCCAGCCGAAATATTGTAATAAGAAACAATACACGTTGTTTTAAATCAGCTTTGCAGTAGTCTTTGGACTTCTCGTTCTTGGTTCTTTATATTTTGACTGATTTGATCTTTTTTCTAGAGATCCAACGTTTACAACTAGCAGGATCTTCGTCTACGGTTTTTGCAGTTAATTTAATCCTATTTTACTCTCTTGTCCCTTCCTTAGCTGAATACGTTCTCTTACTTTTGACAGGTCTGCTAGAGTATCTACGATATTATTCAGGTAAATACATGCGTAAAAGTGTTGTCTTCTTTTTAATTTTTGAGCACCACAATTAAATAATACTTTAGCGGCCTCTTCTGGTCAGCGGCCCACAAATCAAGCACATTCTCACGTGGAACGTTGCCGCCTCGTCGTGACAAGGATTCGAATTCTCAATCGGTTTGTAGCGGTTGCGCAGCATTTGTCGTAGTCTTACAGTGGTTTTTTGCTGCGGTAGTTTGAAGCGTTCGTCCATCCCACCAGTCAACTTTCCTTCCATTTATTCAGGTTCCCCACTGCAGAAAGTATAAGGTGAAGAGAATGGGTACAAGCCTTTCGGCGCAACGATTTCTGGGATCGTGTGCATGGACAAGTGTTCCTTATGATTGGTTAATGGTTGCCTTGAATACCATCGACCAATCATAACTAACGCTTGTCCACCCAAACAATCCCGGCAGTCGTTGCGTCGAAAGCATGTACCCATGTCCCTTATAACTTGGTGTGGAGAATAAGGGTAAAGGGTGCCTGCAATGGAAGCTCATGGCTGAGTAGAGGTATTTGGTAGCTGTGGGTGCTGCAGAATGGATCTCCAGCAATTTGTGAACGCCCCTGGATACCTCTTTGGTTAAGGCGCGGTAGTTGGTTCCACTGTCTATTTTTATAGCTGTAAAATTTTACAAATACACTGTACGTCTTCCCATAAACCTTCCATCACTCTGAGCATTTTAACATCCCGACAAGCGATTTGGTTGAAGCTTCTTTTGAACATATGTTGTTATTTATCGGCTGATAAATTCAATCAGAGGGTCGCCGTTGCAAAGAGTGAAGTTACTTTTAGTTTTCTGAGATGTTGTCCTCTCCTTATCATGGAAATATAGACGAGCCCGCGAGCCCAAGCAGACGACAGAGCGGGATTTTCATGACTGGTTTAATACGACTGAGTCGGCGACACAAGAAAGACAAAAATAGCAACAAGCAACGGAAAGAACAAAATTAAACTGCCATTCAAATGCTGTGGTGTTAGATATGTTAGGAAAGAATAGGCTCTGTATTAAAGTTAGTATATGTGTTTTGTATTTTTTGACTTCTAAGAAGCAACAGTATTTGTTGAAAATTAGCAAAATTCTTACTTTTGGCTCCATTAAAAAAATTGCGACCCGTTATAATAAGGCTTTGCATAGAAGTATAAAAATATGTAGCTTTAAAATCGATCTCTGTAAAATTTAACGTTAACTTTTACCAAAAGTAAGACTAAAGCAGGTAATCCATCTTTATCCATGTTAAGAAACAAAATCATCTCATATGAGTGATTTTATCGTTCCCATTGCATATTTCACGTTATGTAATAGCGGTTTGATTTAAGAACGGATTAGGACCTGTTTCAGACGTAATTTATCCGTTTATTGTTTAATCCGTTGATCGTCAGTTTTCCTGATGTTCAAAGACACTGCAGTAAAGTCAAGAAATGATTTTATCGCCCATACTTAAAATATACATGTATTTTTTTCAAAGCGCCTCCGTTCAGTGCGTGTTTCCTCTAAATGTTTAGCGGGATTTGGTAGAGGGGTTGACAAGCGAGACTAGGTGCGGGTTTGAAGGTTACTCGGTGTGGAATGATAGTCTCTTGGCGGGCCTAGGGCTCGGTTAGGCTCCTTTCCGCATGCAGTGTACCTGGAGGTGCTTTGTAAAATTATAGTACGTGATGATGGATAAAAAAAACTGGGAATCAGTACAAGACACACGACGAACCTTTGTCCGATAACATGCAATGTCTGTAATCGATGAACTTAATTTCTTTTGAGTAGTTTGTTTCGCTTTTCCTTCTGTATTATTAAGGCGATGCATCGTAGGCTTTTCTTATATTTGGATGTCAAAAACGTCCCGCTGTTGAAACAACCTCTGTTTTCTTTTCCTTTCCTATCCTATACTATCCTATCCTTTCTTTTTTCCCTTTTTTTTCTTTCTGTAAAAAAAGAGGCTAGCCTGGGGGAGCCTGTACATAGGCGAAAAAATACTTGATGTTTAACTTTATGAGATGCAGTCTACTTTCAACGCACCATCTGTAACCTTAAGCTGTATATACCAAAATTTCATTACGATGTAAAGTTTGTAAACAAGTTGGATAATACTAAAGCAGTTTGCGTTAAGAGCGCTTCTATATTGACTGTTTTAAAACCAAACCCTTAGAGCATAAGGCCTACTTTTAAATCACACTCAGCCACACCAAACGCAGACAATCAAATGGACCTGTCGGAACGCGGACCTAGCAGTTATTTGAGAAAGTGGAGAGATTGTTTTCTGCTTTTACTTCTTATAAGTCAGAAAAGTTAATGGGGACTATTTTCCAGCCCATTTTTCACCCGTCCTCGATTTAAGACCAAACCAATGACGACGTTATTTTAACACTCAATTGAAAGCTGCTCAGTCTAAAACAATAGGAGACCGCGATAACTTACGTCATCCAGCCCTAAAACTGCCATTTCTAAAATAGGCGACTGCAGAGGCTAACTCCAAACCAGTGAAGATCGTTGTTTGCCCGTCTTTTAGCTGAGTTATTTTGTGGAACAAAGCGTGCTATTTGAATTAAGCCAGATACTAAACCGTGACTCGCGTTTGGAAGCCAATGGCAGCAGTTGCCACTCGCACAATTTAATCTGTGCACCCCCCCGCCCTGCTCCCTTTTGAACAAAATTGTGCAACCTTGATATCTTGATATGATATCTTGATATGTCATCCCGTCCGGACATTAGAAAAATAACAAAATCATGAGCCAATTTGTATGTGTTAAATGTGAAGCTCAGTTCGCGAGACGAACAAAAATATATCCAATGAGCGGCAGCCTTACCGTAGAGTGAATGTATACAGTCTGAAAGCGCCACAAAATGGTTGGCTGGAAAAGTCTCGGAAAACATAGGAACTAGTTCTACAGCAGACTGGAAAGTCATGCTTTGGTCGTTGATTTTACATTTTACACAAGCTCAGTTTCCCAAGAACATTTAACACTTCGGACTAACTTTTCCACCAATCATATGGCTGGATACGCCTACACGAGATTCTTAGTGGACGTAGTCCACGTGCTAATGTAGAGGATATTACGTGGCTGCGCGGAGACACGAAATTCCTCTTCCAGTGTTGAAAAATGTTTAAAATGTTTTTGAACACGAGAAGAGCAATTTCCTGTCTCCAAGTAGCTATGTAATGTTCTATTTATTATACAAACGCCAATAAAATACGAAACCATTTCACTTGAATATCTTCGCGCGATTTATCATGTAGCCATAGCAACGGTGATATTTCCACATGTGCAGATAACATGTTATTTTTACTGTTTTTGATCGAAAGCTCACCTGGTATTTCACTGTTGTTTATAATTCAGTGTATTATTTCATATATCGTTCCATTGTCATAATAGCGCATGCGTTTGTTAGCAGATTTTAAAGGAGCTCTGTCGTGTTTTTGGTTTTTCCCGCTTAAAACTCTACTGTTTGTTATGGAGATAAAAAAAGGATTTCAATTTCTAACAAACCTAGACCATCTTTTTTCAAGGTTGACTCGTCTGTTGTCGCAAAAGTTACCAAAACTGTTAAGTGACCGCGGTTTGTTTTGCATTTGAGTGAATCTGTATATCTTTCTCTTAGAGTTTTTAGTACGAAAAACGCTGACTTTCCATTAAATTTGAACCCTGATTTGGCTCAGTTTTCACCGGGTTTGATTTTGACCTGTTTTAACCACGAAAGAAAATAGCAAGGTTGTTTACTTACCTTGTGTGAGAGGTACCTTGGGTCCCCTTTCACGGCTATATATTGAAGATGATTTTAGACAAATTATGACATAGAGGGAAATACGGGATACGTCGTTGTTAAGATTGATAAAAATCAACTTTGTGCTAGCTGTCGTTTTTGCGCTTAATATCGTGATAAGGAGTTTGTTCAACCTAATTCTGTTTTTGGGTATCTAACGAGCCACACCAACCAAAAAATCCCAGGGCGAAATTTTTTATCTTTGAGCTGTAGTTCCTTCAGTGCTGAACACATTTTTCGCAAAACATACCCCTGGAAGTTCTTCTGGGAAACCTAAAAGTTGTCAGTGATCTTGTATTGCTTTGATTGTTGACCCATGTTCTTGTTTTCGTAGACTCCTCTTCAGAATCTTCTGGTTATGGATCACTGCATAGTAAATATGGTTCCACAAGCTCTTCACCGAGTATTACGCTAGCGAGTCAATATGCTAACAGTGACAAAGGCAGTAAAAATGAGGCGTCCGACGACAAGTCTCGATCAAGATCGGTAAGGACCAGTTATATATTATATAATATCATAGGTGACGAATTACTCCTTAATTTTGGCGCGAAATTTCAGCGTTAATTTGTAATTTCGCATGTGAAATTACTTAACTGCCATGGCAACCTGCCCTGCGCCCCCGTTTCAAGATGGCGACGAAGTTTTAAAATGTCATGAATGAAGATATCAGGGCATAAAAAGACGCTTTAGAAAACCTAAACAAACGAAAGAGCACATCCAGAAGGATTCTTAGACGTATGTTGTCGAAAAATTCTGAAAACGTAAGCCAAATTTTAGCTCTAAACGTTTGAGAGAGTGGAGTTCACGATGGATCGATACAATCCAGGATAAACAAGTCAAAAATCCTCGATTGCTAACGTAATTCGTCACCCATGATATTAATAGGTAATCAAATGGTATACTCGTGAAATTATTCCCTAATTTCACTCGTCACCATTTGATTACACATACTAATTTAGAAATGGTAAACGTGCAGCGCGCAACCATCGAGTTATTGCTGCGTGCGAGAGGTTGCTAAGCAAGAAAGAAGCGTAAGAGTTGCTAAAGGCGTAGTGGCGTGCAACTCTAGCTTCTTGAGTGCTTAGCAAACCGTCCAAGTGTATCCGTAACTCCATGGTTGCACACTTACAACGTTTACCATTTCTTTTAAAACATAATCAAACGAGAAAAGCTTTTAATTTCGTTCAAAAATAGCAGGGAAATGACCACGCGACCGCTGTTCTCTGCGCGAGCTATGGCGTGTGAAAATCATTCTTTGCAAATTCCTCTCTTTCAAGAAAATCGTTCCGGTGAGTAAGTTGTCCTCTTTCTCAGCGTGGAATGTAAAAAACCTTTTACGTTATCTTAAACGGTGTTTGTAAGACTTTCTTTAAGTATTAAGTATTGAAGTACATACAGCGAACAAAGAGATCACTCCATGCGTTAAATGGTCGCTAAAAATGGAAAATTATGAAAGCGTCAGCCAAAAAGTAGTCGCGGTCGCTTACTTAGGGTTTGACTGGAAAAATTTTGGTGTTTTGGATATGTGGTCGCTTATGGGAGGTGGTCGCTTATGGGAGGTGGTCGCTTACAGGAGATGGTCGTTTACAAGAGGTTCCAACTGTAGGGCTTTAACTGGGAAAGTTTGGGTGTTTTGGATAAGTTTGGATAGGTGGTCGCCTATGGGAGGTGGTTGCATATGAAGGTTCAACTGTAATGGTAAATGATAAAAAAATGTATATATCGAGTGTTGGTGGCGATTTCATTGATTAAAGTGATTGAAATGATCCTATGAAAATTATTCGTAAGATGAAAACTGAAGTCTATTTCAGAAACTAATGTCGCAACCACCGCTTGTTCTCGCAACTTGCGTCCACATGATCATAGCGAAGGAGAGTATCCTCACTTTTACGATAATCCCCCAAAACAATTCTAATATTGATCTCATTAGTCATGACCTGGAAGAGACTGGAGATGATTTTTTGGGGTCAGTTCCGTTAAGTCTTACATCAGACGTGAATTGCTAACTTGTTAACTAAACAAGTCTGACTGGGCTGAACGCCAGGCGTTGGCGAAAAGGTCTGACATTAAGAAATACGCAGCTGTTCCTTGAAGATGCTTCTGAATGGGACTATTGTTGACTGTAGCTTTTTCGGACTGGCTACTACTCCCCTTTCTCTCCCCTGCCTCCTCGCGCTTGCTGGCTTACTCTTCGTCTTATATACTCCACGGAAGATCCTGATGAAAGCTACTTAACAACGTCTGACGTTAAACTTTGATCAATTTCTTAGCAGCCGCTCGTGCCGGACCCGACCCGTGGACTAAAATTTAAGCAACTGGTCCCTGAAGATGATTCTGAACGGGACTGTTGTTGACTGTAATATATCAACAGGGTCCCGGGGGAGCGCGTGGAAGGACTGTCGCTCCTCTAACGCCCTCCCCCCAAGTCGTCTACTCGTTTGTCAGCTGCTGCCCGGGTTTCGAAGTTATAAAAGGTAAATTTAGCAAAGTCAACGCGTCGACAGTGACGACGGCGCGCACAGATCCAAAAAGCTATTTGACCAATGGTGGGGCGTTAACGTAAGCACAGGAGAGTTACGTCAAGTTCTTTCCTCGATGTTTCGCCTTCTCGTTTTAATGTTCTTTGCCAGACCTACCTATTAAGAGAAGCGCCGCGCGAATGGAAATTACTGAAAGAAACAGGCCGCCGGTAGGTCCCTAGTTCGGCCTCCAGTGGAAGTGTTTCTATCCGTCACTTTACGCAAGCGCTATTCCAACGTCCACTAATACTTACCATTGTCGACCCTTTTGCGGTCTGCGGTGTTGCTGCTATTTATGGTAGTTTGCCATTCAATTCAATTCACAAAAGGGAAATGAAAAGGGTTCCAAAAAAGAAGCCTCGAAGCTTAATGTACTGTTAAGTTTCCTTACAAATCAAACGAGGGAGTATCTAGTAGTGTTAGTAGCATCCAAGCATTTCATTATTCAGGAAAGAAAATAAATCAATGATTTTTTAAATAGTCCTGGTTTTTTTCATCACGTTTTTTAGTGAGAATCATCTGGTAAAAATCCGTCGACATCGCTGAAAAGAGCGCCTTAAACATCAGTAAAATAACCAAGTTTGTTCGTCAATCACGAGCAAAGGTATAGCTTTCTAAAGTCGCCAACTTTTGCAGACGTTTGTAGGGTGGTGGACAAGTTGGCGCCCCCATCATACAAACGTCTTCATTTTTAAGAGTTTGCGACCTTGTCGATCCTCATCGTCGTTCTTTTTCAACAAATCACTCTCAAACTTAGCAATTGCCGTACGACTTTTTAAGCTCCCTTTCAGCGGTGTCGACGGATTCTCACTAACTGGTCCATATCAAAATTAAAAAAAAGAAGAAGAAAAAAAAACGTTTAGTGTCTATTGAACATTTTTGAACACTGGATGCTTTTTCTATATCTGCTTTATTTTGTCAACTAGCGAATCCAGTGAAAAACGGTTTAAGTCTTTATCAATTTTAGGTGTCATCTCAATAATGTGCGCTGTCAAAAAAGGGTTGACGGTCATCTCGCTCCCAAACTATCCCGTCCCAAGCGAAGTTGCCACCAAGAAGTCAACTCGCCATCAACGAGTAACTCGGAAACACTTGACACAGTTTAATACCTAAGATTTCTTACGTAAGATTTTTTTTTTATTCGAATTTGAAGTCGAGCCAAACACAAATATGTTAAACCTTTTTAACGATTATTGCGTCGAACGTCTTGATGGTTTGGTGGCGAGGTGACGGGTTAGCCACAAGAGAAGGAGATGAATGAGGGAAGGCTGAGAGCTGTGAGATATTTACTGTATAATAATTATACTGTGACAAACTACCTTATTTGGCAAACTAATAAACCGCTGAAATCATAGGAGAAAATAGAGTGAGGCTGTGGCCAAAACGCTTTTTTTATTGTTTGAATTAGCGCTTTTGGCTTGGAAGTTGCTAAGACTCAGTGAGGCGGAGGAAGAGAAAGTGGAAACATTAAATTTTACCCTTTTAAAAGCATCCTAATGCGTTTTTTTTTCTGTCACCTTCAGTTTTCAGAAGTGAAAAAAGATGAAATAAATATAGTTTCTTTCCGTCTCTCTTGATTGTAACAGTGTACGATAGGAGGATTAACAATTTCTTCAATTGATCAATCAGGCAAGATTGAAACAAACAAACAAAGGACACACATTTTGTAGGGGCTAGTAAGGTTTAGTAACAGCGTCAAATTCTGCTATAGGTCAGTCTGACAAAATCAGTTATCAAAATAAACCGCCAGCAGTCACCATGGGTAATAGAAAGGCGTTTCTATTATCCATGCAGTTACTAACGGTTTAACGCGCGGGCGAATACGTAACGTGCGTGCGAGCGAGGCAAATGCGCAGAGAAAAGCACGAAGGAAACTCGGGGGAAAATAAAATTAAGTAGATAGTCAAAGTGGATCTGCAGTATGAGAATTAATTTCCTCCGGCGGTAATTGGAAAAAAAAAAATTGGTTCTCAGACCGTCAAAGTTTACAAAATGATTTAGTGGATGCCTTGCATGCGAAGCGGAATGAATACGAAACGATACTGAGGTGATAGAGGTGATATTAACCGGCGAGGGTGCCTTCTCTAGATTGTTCTTTGTAGTTTGCTTGCACATTCCAATATTTTGAAGGCCAATTGTAAATCATAGACACGACGTGATGTGCGAATTTTGGTAACCGTTAAATTTCATTTACTTTTTCTTTAAAAGTACAGCTAAGACGGTCAGGTTGAAATCAGTTGACATGTTGAAATGTCAAGTATAATCTTTTAAAGCTTTGGGGAAATGATATTAGTCAAAACTGCTTATGTTTGGATGTTTTAGATTTCTGTAAACAATTTAGTTTATTCATTTTGTGTCATGTTGTCGTTGTTTTTTCCCGTCGATGAAGAGGAAAATCATAATGATTGCAATTTTACTCATCCCTGAAACTGAGGCAGATTAGAAAAAAATATTGTCTCAGTTAACGTTTGAAAGCCAATTCAAATAAACCAGATCGAAAGTTATGGTAGAGAAAGTGTGTTGGTTTCTGATGACTGTGGTCAAAAATAGTACTTGGCTTTGTCAGCCAAATTGTGACGGTGAACTTACCAGTAAGGAGCATGGCGAAACTCATTCGTTGTCGCGGCCGAAATCTTCTTGCGTCGCTGAATTAATTACAAGAATTTTTCCCATTTCCCTACGAAATCTTTTTGTTGTAGTTGTCGTTGTTTTCCAAAAAAGCCGGTTAAGCTTTCGTGGAGCTTGAAATTGTCTCAGTAATGAATACTTTTCGTACGGAAGTTTCAGTCATGAAAGCGAGGGGTCGAAAGTCTTGAAGCTTGTCAACCAGGCTTGTTGCTTAAGGAAAACCACAAGTCGCTTCCTCTCTTCCTTTGCGCTCGGGGTCAATATTTTTAATGTGTGAACGGTTGAATGTAAATATTCCGCTCCATAAAGTATGCACTTGACTTCACTGGCAAATTGCCTGCGCATCAGGTCAAAAATAACAACATTAAAACCGTCAGAGGATTTATATTTTTTTGGAATGATTTGACGCGGAAATCATGTTTTCTCTGAATACCCATTGCATTTTAATAACGTAAAGTATTTGAAAACGCTGCCAATACTTTTACAGTGATAAAACAAATTAATAGTTTGGGCTAGAGGCGTATAATTTGGCAAGAAAAAAACAATAATATAGTTTTGATTTGTTTGAAAGTTAACAGCTTCATCCTGTATTTAGAATCGTTTAAGGTTATTTGGCCGAAACGTTGATGGGTCGAGAGGAGTTGGAGTATATTAATGTTTAGTTTGGATGTATTCAAGATTTGAACACATCTACTTCAAAAGAAAAACAAATTCCTGTTTAGGCTATAAACATTCTCGTTTTGTGTTCAAATTGTCAAACGAAAGATTTCACTAAGATAAAAGCTTCATAGGAATTTCGGTATTGTATATATTTTCTTCAGTAAATATTAATGAACAAAGAGTAGCTTTTAAACAAATATTTGGCTCGCCGTCGCCGTCGCCAAAAAGCTCTAACTTGTGTTTAGATAACAAACTTTAGTGTCGTACATATTTTAAAGCTGTTTAATGTTGTTTTGATTTTTGGATGGTCTATGCCCTTTCAGTTTCCTTTTTTTGTGTAGAGATTCATTTTTCCTTTGATTCACATGTGCCTTAGGCTACGTCATTTACTGACTCGAATGAGCGTCGCGGCGCGTACACTGTATTAATGATTTTAGTCAATGTATACTATTAAAATGTCTCTGAACTAAACATGTTTTATTTACTTAATTTCTTTTTTTGTTTCTAATCAGTCATCAATAGGGCGATTCCTTTTGAAGAAGAAACAGAAAAAAGAGCGAGCCCCAGTCCCTAACTTTCCAGCGAGTCACGCATCGGCAGGGTAAGTCACACCTCTCTTGATTTACTCAATCTACGAAAATAACATCAATAACGAGCCAGACGAGCTTTATTTGCATGACCATACAAGAACGTACAGTATTGCAAAAGCTATTTTAAGAACCAAAATTACATCATAGGGCAATTACATTACTTTGAATGGTAATAGTTTGTCCCGAAGATCAAAGCAACCTGAAATATATTTTTGAATTGTATATTGATAGAGTAATTAGAGGAGTTCATCAGTTCATTGATCAAAACGTTTGCAGGTAACTGGGTTATGTTTGGAATCAGAGTCTTGACTTTGTTGTAAAAATAGAATAAAAAGTAAATAAAAAGTTCCAAGTTCAACAGTATCAACCATAGGTACAGAATTACGTTTCATAGACTGTTCACAGTTCCCTATTTTTCCGTGAGATCGTCGTGATATAGCGCGGCGTCTTACCGTTAATGGCGGCCATCTTGATTTTCAAATGTACCGAGGGAGCGGGCATCGGAGATTATACATGTAGCTCTAGGGGGGAGTAGTAGTTTTAACACTCATCCAAGATGGCAACCCGTAACGCGTAGCGCTCGATCTCGACGATCTTACGGGAAAATAGGGGACTGTGAACAGTCTACGATGCACTGAGTTTTCTTCTCCATTTACATCGTGCCTATTCTCTCCTCCGCTGAGCCTCCCGCTGGGTATTCCGATTAAGCAGGTCACGTTTAATAATTTAACAATTAATGAATGAGGCTGAGTATCTTATGAAGAATTATGGAGATTGAGGAGGGTGTTATCCATCGAGGCCGTAGGCCGAGGCGGATAACACCCTCCGAGAGATCTCCATAATTCTTCATATACGAAAGCCGAATTCAATAATTGTTTTATTATTCATTCAAAATAATTCCAATTTTAAAAACATGGCTAAATCATGCTTACCTCCATCGATCCATCGATGTTAAGTTCATCTTCGATAGTGCACGTTTAGGTTTGTCCAGCTCCGCAAATATTCTCCAAGTAGCAGATGTCGCCCTTCGAGTTGTCTTCTTGCTGTTCTTGCCATGTTTTTAGCTATTTTTTCGCCTAGTGCTTACTATTGAAACGAGTGAAATGTCCGCCCTTTTTTGTTTTCACAGCCAAAACATCTCAACCTCGTCCCCAGGTCTTCTCGGTTAATGGTGCCTTAACCTGCACGAACGCTGCATTTTTGACGTCATTTCCTCGTTAAACACAAAACTCTTCCAAATTTGGTCATCAGAAACTGGTTATGGCGAATTATGCTTGTGCTTTTAGCCAATCAGAATCGGGGAAATATTTTGAATGAATAATAATAACGATTATTGAATTAGGCTAAGTATCATCTGAAGAATTATGGAGATTGAGGAGGGTGTTCCGCCATTTTGTATACACTACCAAAACAACTCAACCTCGTCCCCAGGTCTTCTCGGTTAACCGTTCAATAATCTGGCAATTTTGCGCACGATTGACGTCATCAGTCCAAATTTGGTCGACATTAGCTGGTTATGATGAATTATGCGAGGGATTTTAGCTAATCAGAAACTGATATTAAATACTTTGAATGAGTAATAACTAGATTTACAGGGATGTCACTAAAATGTGAAGTTGCCGGGTAAATACAACAAGTAGGTGGGGAATAAACCAGCTAGGGATTTCTTTTGGTTCTATATTTCTTGTATTTTCC